GTACAAATTAGAAATATTACAAAATTGTGAATACATCCTTGAATTAAAATATGTATTGTTTACCGAATCAGTAGCAGGTGTGATCCCTCTTCTCAATCGTCGTGCAAAATGCAGCGACCCACAAAGCTTCAGCAATTTGAGTTATAGCATTACTTTATAACAACCACTCGCGTTCGACATCAATGAAATGGCAGAACTGCAAAGAGGATCATGTTTGTTGATCACCAAGGTCCTGGTCTGGGAAAGGCTGCCGCAATTTGTTTAGGAAGAAATATCTGCAAAATGAAGCAGACGATGGCACTTTATTCCCAAGTTTTTGGCATTGAAGCATAGATGTTTATTAGCGACGCTTTCAACTAGGACACTTTTATTCGGAACCTTGTTTAATTTGAAATTATTAATCGGAGCACCTAACTTTTAGTAAACACGCTTGTTACATTTTTTTATCCGATTCCAAAGTGCTCGTGACTTTTATTTGTCTACCAGAGATCATTGTACCACATTCAATGCGAGTTTTCAAAGGCTGTTAAATTAGTTGTGCACACAAATTTGGCAACTTTTCACACTGACGACTCTCCAATTAGCACAAAGTTTACTTATTACAAATGCTTATTCCTCATTCTTAGTGGGTTTGTGTTCGTTTCATCCAACACCGCGGTCGTTGTGTTACCCACTCCAAGTGAAAAGCCATTGACAGTTGTATCATTAAATTACGGCACGGCTTTAAATTCAGTCTAACTTTTTTACTAAACGTGTTAGGATTAAAGCAAATATTCTTAAAAATACCTTGGATTTAACAATCTTCTGAAGTCGGTATTTGTAAGCTGTTTATGGAAGGGTAGATTTGTTCCTTAGAGGGCAATTGTGCTTCAGCAGTGCTTGCCCCTGATTATCCGCTTTAATAACTAACTTTTTGTAATCCCAATGTTAATACATTTTTCACTTTAGGAAAATCTTATCAACGTTATTATAGTGGGGAGACAAAAGCGCGCTTAATTTGTATCTGCGCGTGCCTTATCGTTGATTGCATCAACAAGAAGGAAACGCCTTCCTCTCCCCTTCACCTTCCTTTTCCTAAAAAACTGGCGTCGTCTACTTCAGCGCAGCTAAAAGGCAGAATTAAGCAAATTTGAGCCTATTAAGTAAACGGTGCTTCTTATCCCTTTTGTAATCTGTAAGGAAATCGTCTGTTATCGGCCATTAACCTAATCATGTGGTACATGTTTGAACTGTGCCCCGAGGCGGAGACGAAAGCTGACCCTTGCTAACGGCTTGAAAATGTGTCGGATATCTTTCTTTTTCCAATCTTCTCCATCCAGGAGCTAAAACTGGAGGTTAAAGAGAAAGGCAACGAGAATATTGCAGTGGTGTTACACTTTTTATCCGAGGCCAAAGTAAATAGTAGAGGAAAATGTAACACTCTGCGCGAGTAACAGGAATGTGATTCTTGTCTAAAGAAACTTCTTGCGTCTTCGAATTAGATTCCATATCTAGGCACAATTTTAATCCTCTGCCTTGCCTTGAATTCATTTTATCAGATAATTTAAAGAGACAGAAATGGTTCAAATGTACGTATTCGCTCGGATGTAAAATAACAATCAAGGTATATGTAATGCTTTGATGGTTTGTTTGCCTCTGCAACTGACTCTGCGGGGACCTATTGCTCTGCAGATTCTGCTCCCTTTATGCGGCGTGACCTTTGGGCTGTGCCAGTAGACTCTCAGCCCTTTAGCCTGTTATTGGAGCATTTTTTACCATGCTAATGTGACCTCCTACGACTCTAAGTTAAGACTTAGGCTGTTCCATATAACTGCACGATATAAGCACGGCAGGGCATATGGTAGCACGTACTAACTGGAAGCGATGGGCACGAATAGATACTTTTGATAACCTACGTGACATTAGTCAAATTCAACCAGCTAATGAGGACATAAGGATAAACTTGAATTCAAATCAAATGTGCTCAGACGCAGTGCGAATATTTTATGTAGCAAATGCCACCTGATTATTTTCCATCTCAAATCGTCACGGATTATGATCCACCTTAATTCTATCTACCAATGATATCTGGCTAAAAATAGACTAGCAGGTCTTGAACATGCTTGCGTGAATGTAGAGTTTAAGAAAGAAGTGTTCGGCAAACACGAATCCCCTGAGGGGAAGGAAGTCAACTGTTCTCGTGGAAGTAGTGTTGGGCGAGGCTCAAAGGTCCCCTCTTCCTTGCTCCGCGTACTCTTGGAACACCCAGGTTGGTATATTCTGATATATTTATTAGGGCAAGTAAATAGGGAAAGCTAGTACAGTGTTCGGGTGGGCGTGGACACGAAACCGCTTTCAGGCTTGCAGGAAGTCGACTCTTCTGTCATAGCGTTCAATTCGTATCCCCGCATCCCCTCTGAAAGGAACATTAAAACAGCATAAGTATTACAGTAGTGTACTCTGAACAGGCATGACATTGAGCGATGCAAATTGTTCATAATATTACAAATAATGGATATCCCTACTTTGTAATACTTACATTGTTTTAATGTACCTTTCAGAGAGGAGGTAAGGTCAAAATTCGAATCTGGTGACAGAGTAGGCGTCTCCCAAGCCCGAGAGCGATTGCGTTTCTTCCCGTCTCTAGACTTTGTACTTGATTTCTCGATCCACCTCCCTCTATTAAACACGTCGAAATTATATCATCCGGGTTGTTCTAAGAGCACTAGGAACAGGGAAGTGGGGACCTGCGAGTCTCGTCCTACAACTTAGTCTGTTTGCCTAAAATGCGTAAGCAGGAAACCTCTCAAACAAGGAATGAGATTTGCGGTTGGCTCGCAAGTAAACACAAACCCACATCCCTAATAATACACTAAACAGGTAGTTTCAAGTATGTTTCTAGTTAGTAAACAACTGTCTCCTAGTTCATTATGATTGATTTAGCTATTTAAATCTTCAAAATATCGTAAATAAAAATTTTTACTTTATTCTTCTTTCGCATCACAGAATTCCAAGTCATCGTGGAAAGGCACATATAGAACATTATTAAAAAGTAGATGTTTTAATTCTTTTTTTTTGTCTTGATGCGCGTGACGTTGTCAGGATTTATTAGAAACAAGTTTTAGAAATTTTCTAGCATGGTAATTATTTTTGTATATTGCTTTGTTTTATTAAATAGAAATTCATGATTGGTTGGCCTTTCTTTTGGGTTGGTATTTTGAAGGGACAGTTGTTCCTTTGTCCTGCCCAATGCCTGAGTCCCGTGTGGCTGAATTGCCCACACCCTATGATTGGCCTCGAGATGTTAATTACTACTATTCTCTATGGTCTCTTGCCAGTTTCCTTGGAGTCCTATCATTTAACTACTTCGTCGGGCCTCGTGTATTTGAAAGAATGTCTCCTGCTTACCGTCGTCTTACACCTCTCCAGAGACTGGAGTGGAATTGTCGGTAAGGATGATTTCCGTGTTTTCCTCTCTAAATTGACTTTAAATGGAATGGTCGTTGCTTTGTAACCATGGTTAATGGGACCGTTATAGTGAAGCCGCTGTCTTAATTGAAAAAAATGCGTCCAGTATGTTGTAGTGCCATATTGAAACAGATGTTCTTTTTTCGTTTTCTGTGTATTGTAACACAAAGACCTTCGGTTACAAATTTCGGGTGCCGTTTGATTTGATTCAAATTAGTTTCACTGTTGTCTGTACTCTTTTGAGGGATATTTTCCTTCGTCGCTTTCACTAAATTTATGTGCCTATTTCTAATGTAATTTTTTTTATAAACTAACCTTACACTCATTTTAAGGCACAGATTTCTTTTTGGATTATTTGAACTGACGTTCGTGTTGTTCTTCCAGTCGTTACCCGTCCAAAATTTTTTTCTTCGATTGTTTCAATGGTTTATTCTTGTCATTATTGAAGTTCTAAATCATTTTAGTTTGGAACATTGCTTAGAAGCTCTGCCTAAAGTGCCGACTAAATATGGTGCATTTTCATAATATTTTCCTAGGTAAGTAGACAAACAGTTTCTGCTGTTTGCGGTTTGTGGTAATACTAAAATATTGTTGCACCTTTCATGTTATTTGCAAACTGACGTCTGATTTTTTGAATAAAATGATAATAGTTGTTTCTGACACTAAAATATGTTATTTGTGCAATTATTAAATTGGGGTTATCAGCTTTATTTCATCAATAGCTTATCCTACTACATCTTCCTGTAATTCACTGTGACTCACTCTCAAATATTCCAGCATTTAACGCAGTTCTAGGCTGAAATTATGTGTAGCTCATAGTACAAACTTCGTGCACAATATGCTAATTCGCATACTTCATCGCTCTCGTGTAGTCACTTTTGTTACTTCCGTTACATAACAAAATTCATGTGATCGTCATCCATGTGCTTTTTTCGGGGAGATTTAACCGTCACAAGATCTCATTATTATAACCAATCTAACCACGTGCCGGCCCTTCTGGTCTCGCTTGACTTCCGTTGACACTGAGGATAAAATACGCTTCTCCTGCCCACGCCCGTTCACACTTGCATATCTTCTCGCCCCTGCACGTCTATTGGCTCAAAGTCGCGGTTTTCACCTTGCTTCTGACTGGACAACCAGTGCCAGAATGTCCATGCGCCGTACCAGTTCCCACTCGCAGCGTTGCTCTTCGCAGGCAGAATTAATTCGGCTTATTTTTGCGATAAAACGCTAAAAATTTCGATGTTGTTGAGCGTGAATGAGGACAACTTTGATTTCTCAAAAGGTTACTTGGTGTCAGTGGAGCTTCCTCTTTCCAGACACAAATATAGCTTATTTCAAGATATTTCTTTGTAAGACTTAGGCTTTACTTGCTATTTCTATTGATCCATTTTATTCCTATTAATTTTTTATTAGCCTGATTAGATGAGAGGAAATTCACCCAGAATTCCAAGACTCACCCAGACCTTCCGTCTTCATTTCGCACATGAATGGGTCATCGCTTAAACGTGTGAATAGTCGCGCCTTGAACGTCCCGGCATGAAGTATAAACACACCTTTCATCTTCTGACATTTCTTCACATGTGCCAGTCCTAGTTTTCGGTTTTTTAGTCAAACTTGATTGGTCTCGTACGCCGGCAATAGCTTGATTGGTGATATCAAGATAGGGTTGTTGCTATTTCCCTCGTTAAGTTTAGAAATGACAAATTTTATTTTTCGATGAAAGTATTGAGCTGGGTTTGTACTATATTTGGTTAGCACTAGGTTTTCTAGCGGTTTCTCATCACACTATGAACCAAAAACACAGTAGCAGTACTTTTAACCTTAAAACAGTTGTAAAATTTTATGCTGCCCTCTTATTCATCAATTTAGTTGTCCCGGTAAAAAGGTTTTTAAAACCATCACGTTTGCTGAGCTATTATTTAAATTCTTTATCTTAATTGGACGTCATTTCCTTTCCCTTCAATGTCGTGTACTCCTTTAGAATCGGCCTCTTCATAATATCATTTCAAAAGTTAGACTGTTGCTCTATTTAAAAAATTCTAGGTAGGATCAGATGTAATCTCAGCAGTTTTTTGTGTATCAAGAAACTGACTTTAATGCATTGATTACAACTGCTTTCTATTCCTATCGGAACTATATTTATTTGGCTTTGTTTGTTTCAGCGTCTCCTCCACCATTCATGCTATCTTGGTGACTCTCCTCAGTTTCACGTCCCTTATCTTTGACACCTCTCAATGGGCCGATCCAATCGCGTAGGCTATTCATTTTTTTCCATTTGGAAAAAGAACGCATTTTGGCATTTCATTCATTAAAAAATGATAGCATTTATCCTCTAATGTCAGCACGGTCTCCTTGCCCGTGTAATTTCATTTTTCAGGTGGATTGGTTGAATCCGCCTCAAAGGCTGAATTTATTACCATGTTAGAAGTGAATAATCATACAGATTAATGGCTATGAGTGTTCATTTGTGTGTGCATATATGTGTGGATGTGGAGGGATTGCATTACACTTTTTACTGACGTTCCACATTTGCAAAGCGTGGCACCTCTAATGAGCAGGCAAGTTTTTCATTATTTCCAGAACTCTATCCATCCCCTTTTATAAGTTTAATCACACGATAAACTCCAAATTTGGGGGTTTTATGAGCAGGTTTACATTTTAAATCATTGGAAAATTTGTACCTTTGCCAAATCACATTAATTAAGTAGTGTGAGATTGAAACACTCCTTCCATTTGGTGAAAATTACACTTTAATGAGCAAATTAGCATTCACTGTGCACTTTCCATTTATGTCTACCACGTGGTTTGCGATGTTTTAAGTGAAATATCCATGAATTCTCAACCCACCCAAATGCTTTCCTTTTTGGAACAGCCGTAGAGTGCATCTAGTTGCAGCTATCCCCTGTTCATATGCCCTTGATCAAGAACCACGTCTTGTTTAATATCAACTCATGCCTTATTTTTATAACTGGACTTCTTCAGCTCCATTTCGCGGCCCGGTTGTGTAGCGTTGTCAATAACGATTGGATACATGCTTGCAGGCAAGTTGTTTGGAGTCAAAGTCGCAAAAATTCTAAGTTAATTATTTTTCTGAAAAGTCCCGTTAACTTCTCAAGGCTACCAATGGTAATAAAGTATGAAACGATTTAGAATTTTTGATTATTTGAAATCAGTAAGCTCAACTTTTCGTTGGGACTATCATGCTTACGACATACACCGTTGTTCATTTACTGGCAGTATCACGATGGAAAGGGCTCAGAAGCGAAAACTGACACGAGAGAGCAATTGCCAAAAAAGTGCTTTAAAACATCTCAAAAGGCAGTGTTTAACTGGCGCACAGCTCAACGTAAGGTAGATTTGGGGTCTTTTAGATGAAAGTTTGTGTGTATATTCGGACACCGGTCGACTATCCTTAAAACAAGTACTTCGGCTTGTTGTTTGTTTTTGCGCAGGCGAATAAGGTCACCTTTATTGTGTACACATGATCAGCAACACGAGGCCATCATCAGTGCCTCTAAAATCCAGCATATAGTAAGTTTTTTTCGTAGAACAAAAAGTGTACGGCCTCTTAGATAATTTGGATTTTATCTCTTCAAACTTGCGTGATTGTCCATCACATGAACCGAGTATCCACCTTTGGTGATTAGTCGACTGAGATAAGGTTTTTATCACCAGTTGACAAAGTGAAATCAATCGTGTATTTAGTTATTTCGCTGTACGCTTGACATAGGCATATTTTGCATCAAAGCTGATCAGGAAATTAATAATATAAGTCTAGCTTTGTAATAAAAATACACTACCTCAACATTTTTGGCGTAAACGAAGTCCATTCTGTTTTTTGGTCTCTGTTTTAGATACAATCTCGATGTTTACATTCCAAAAGGGGTTGGAGCTGCTTCTGTTTTGCACTCATCACCTCGTAGTCGTCATCTGTTTCACCTTCCTGCTGGTAGGACCGAATGTAGCTCCTAACCTTTCTCTTCCGTTTATGCACTAGCTTTTAAAGGCCACTGCATCCTCCCCTGCCCATGCCTATGCATGCGTATGCGTACGCGTCTTTTGCAGTGTGTTTATGAGTGGCAGTACATTAGGACATCGCTAAAACCCCGGGAAACCGACAATTTTCTAGAGTTCAGAGTCTTCTGGTAAATCCACCTTCCACACAAACCTACAAACACACATGGGTAATAAGCGGCTTACCTGTTGCCCCAAGGATTTAGCAGTGGTAACTTTTAATCCCTTCTCGAAAAAAGTGGTCCCATGGGTCCTTTTCTTTCTGATTTCGAAAAAAATAGATTATCCACCATTAACGGAACTTGAGAACCTTGTAGGTTTTACTGTGTGCAGATTACTCTTGTGAATTGGCAACATTAGACTGATTGGAACGTTCGTTTGGTGTTTTAAACTAAAGCAGAATGTTTTCTTTTGCTTTCTCTTTGGACTCCCCATTTCTCATTTTCGCTTGTTTGAAGCCCGTGCTTTATTATGGCTTAGAAACTAATTCACACAATTACCTGAGAATATTATATTCCAATTATAAACACCAATTCCGCCACTTATTTGTGGATGCCCTACATGCCATTATGCGAGTTTTACCGACTTCTGAAAGGCCGTTAAATTAGCGTCGGTCTCGGATACTCATCCTCATAGCACCAGAATGGGCTACGGTGTACCAGATTTAGCTTCGCTCACACAATTTCAAAACTTCAGCTAACTGGACGTGTTGTGACTACAAGGCGCGACCTAACCATGGCCTTTTTTTATTGTCAGATCTACAGGATAGCTCCTGTCTACGCCATCATTCGGCTGACTAGTGAAATTTCGACACCATTTCTAAACCAAAGGTGAGATTTGACATTTTGTATACCTTTCCTCAGTTGGTGAGTCAAACGTGCGGTAGAGACTCTTTTTGGCTATAGCTCTGTGTGTGTGCGTGTGTTTGTCTAATGGAGTGAAAGGCGATTGCGATACGCACGCAACACGAACGGTGGGCATTGTCAGCGCTAAATGATTAAGAAGTCAGCGTGTAGGTATGCGAGTGTGTTACTTCCTCTATGATTTGTATCTGTGAGTAGTCGGAGAAAGGCCTGTTTTCCTCAGTTGTAAGTGCAAATGCTTCAAAAGATAATTATCTCGGTTAGCATTGGAGTCGGATGACTCTGGGAGGACTCTGTTTTGGCCTAGTATACATTTAAGCCCTCCTCGCGCATTATTAACTTGTGTAGCATTTGTGTTAGTTGGTAATTAGTGAGATTCTGCTCTCTCGTTCTACATTTTCCCTTCTTTTTTCAATTATCACTACCTGTCAGCTTGCTAACAGGCCAAGGCAATGCAAGTACGAGTTACAGCTGTTGCGAACGATTCCGGTGGGCTTTTAGCTTTTGGGATTTCTTCAACGTTAAAGGCTGTTTAATCTGTTGCATTACAATTTAATGTGACTTCCACGTGACAAATTGTGGTCATCATCTGTATTAGTTTCCCGTTGACTAGTATGTAAATTTATTGTGTAGTTGAAAATGGACTTAACAACCAGGCAATGTTGGGAAAGGAATTGCCCTGATTAAGTGAATTCCAAAGACTGATAATGTATTTTAACCTAAAAAGATCGTTCGTTGGACTTCGTAGACTTGATTGTGCATTGGCTGGAAGATTTTGGGTCCGAAGTGCCAAAATGCTACAATGAACTAGGATGTTTCACCAACTCACATAAGGGCCAAACAAGACGGTCGCTTCTCTCACTTTTGCCCGTTTTATTCCTCCCCATTAAATGTTCCATTCCCCACTCTATTGGAAAATTGACCTTCCTGCCTCCTTTTTTCCATTCATGTTAAAAATGTCAACAGATAGCTGGTAAGTACATTGCCTGATTTATTTCAGACAGACCATTTTTGATAACGCCTTACTAATTGCATGCCATCAATAGTGATTGTCTCCAGGACCTGTTAATGTCGTATAGATGCCAAATTTAATTTTTTATGCATATCCAGCGACAGTTTTGTATAGGAACACTGATGTCTCTGCAATGTCTTGGAAAATTGCGTTCAGATATTCGTCAGATGTGAGGTGAAGCAGTCCCCCTGTTTTATGTTCACATTTTGAAGTAACTTATTATATTACCTCATTTGTAGTTTTATTTGAATTTATTTTTGAGTATGCTCCGAACTCTATGGGGAGCAATCGACCACAGTAGCTTTGATGCCTTATTGTTTCAAACAAATTCATCTTTTACTGAAATGGATCACGTCAGTGTGACCTATGGCTTTGGACGAGCGAATTGGGAAGTCGTATAAATGTGGCGTTGGTGGCAAATGTGTTGGGGTAATGTGTAATTAATGGTCCAGTCAATTTAATGTCGTCGTAACCTAGTTTCAATTTTCATGGTTGATATTTGGAGCTGTATTTGAGGTATTCCCTACCATCGTGGCTAACTTTATTTTAAGTAGGTTTAAACAGCAGTTCTTAATTCATTGGAACTGCATCTCTACCCAGATGCTGTTAAGTCGTGCTTTGTAGGGGGAAAGGCCAAGATTTTCCCTTTTTATCGGTTTGCAGATGGTTCTATCGCATTATTGGAGGTGAGAATGCGGACAAGCGGGCAGCTAATGCTACCCTCGTTTTCGCCTGTCTTTTCACTCTGGGGCGATGCATCCTGCCCTTCCCCTACTGGGTGGTCTTCTACCGTCACTTCAACTCCAGGCCCCATCTAGCCGTAAAGAATAGGTTGCCGTCCTTCACCAACTACTTCATTTCTTGCCCCGTCCTCCTTGATGTTCTCAACGCCACCTGGGGCTACCCGGTCTTCGTTATAACCAAAAAGGCTCTCGCTACCCTTGGCTATATCCGTCCTACGCCTAAACGGAATGGAATGGCTACTTATAATAGAGCAGTAGGAAGTGGTGTTTACTGTAACGGGAATCTTTACTAGTAGTCAATCCTATTTGCTTTGCCTCGCTTGTACCCAATTGTGCATTTAGTCCCACCACAGGCGCCGTGTGTGCGTGGTTCTGTCCTAGGTTCAGTTTCTTTTGCATGCTCTACCTCGCGACCTCTCTCCCCTGGGTCTCCTTTTCCATTTGTCCGGCTGTCTCTATGCTTGTGCCCTTAGATCTCGCCCTCTTTCTATCTCTTTCTCTTGTCCCGCTCCCTCTTAAGGAAATGGGTGCTTTCAGCTGTATTTATGGACAGTAAAGTTCTTCTGGAGGTAGTGTTTCTCTTTTCTCTTTCTCTTTTTCTCTCTTCTCCTTTTTGTTCATTGCAGGATTTTGGGGGAAAGGTTTATGGATTAGATAAAAAGTCCCATTCTTCTAATATGATGACTTAGGTTTTGCAAATTACATTGAGAAGAATTGACCTTCGCTTTTCACCCCTCTACCGTTTTCTCCTCATAGTGACTGCACCTTTTTTACTGATGTGGTAATCAAAATTCAAGCAGATGTTGCTGACATAGGTTCTTCTTGTATGTAAAAGTTACTACAATGGGCAACCGTGAGATGGTGCGATGCTTGAAAAAACTTCGTAGTACTTGGTAATCATGCTGTGGGAACTTTGAAATATAACCTGATGTAAAAGGCATCAAACACGAGTAGTTGTAATATCCACATGGGATTGAAGGAAGCTATGTTAAGGTATTAGTACGTCGAGGGTTTCAACCAAGCAATAGACGTACAGATTAATGGGATGTAATGTAGTGACAAACAGCGGTGGACCCAGGACTCAGGACGCGCATTTTCACGCAACACTAATGTATCCGATGGTCACTGAACTTAGGAGCACATGATGATATGTTCCGGCAACTGGCAAATAGTAGAGGGTGGTCTTGGCTGAAGCATGGCTTGGCTCTCACTCACAAGACAGCTCGCTATGTCTGCGAAACGCGGCGACCGACAAATCCTAAATGAATAAGATTGTTTTAACACTTTAAACTGTTTTGACAGGATTCATTCATCCGCCTCCTTCACTTCTACTTAAATATGAGAACGATTCCTTAAAACTAGAGTTATTGTCAACAGATGAAAGAAAGGGAGATTCTGAGAGCTTCAAGAGCCTAGAAAATTGATTTTCAGATGAGCCAATATCCAGCAACTACTAATTTTTGAGAACCTTTGATGGTACCTTCAGTCATGGCAACGTCTCTTTCAAAGTGCGGGCTGACACTCATCTCTGCATTTTGGGAAATCAGTTTTCTTATTTTCATGAAGGTGCTGAGCTGTGCTTGTTTTGGAGTGCTCACATTCGAACACAAACCCGGTAAATTTGAGTGCACTTCATCAGCAAGAAGTGTCATTTAGATGAGACCTTTCATGATCAGATTTGGGCTGCAGGATCCAATCGTTGAAATACTTTTCTTATAGATTTGACTTAGCAATAATCACAACTTGGAAAACATGCATGTGCAAGATAGGTGTCTCTAGAAGTAAAGCGAGATAAGGAGATACGTTGTCTGCTGTACAACTGATTCGCTGGCGAGGATTGAGCGATAGTGGTTAGAGATAATGAGACTCAGAAATCCAAAGCGCAGAAGAGAGCCACGCCTCGTTTGACCCAGTGACTCTGAGGTTCTCTGCTGGGAATCTCTATCGCAAAGACGAAATTTGTTGACATGCCGGTGGTTGACAATACGCCTGGTGATAAAAATAGCGCAAATATTAAATGAGCAACTGAAGCATTTAAGGCGCTATGCTAATTTACTACTTAGAACAGTATTTAAGGGAAAGTTAACCACTGTATTAGTTCATTAAGGACGTTAAAGATGCATAATTTCTTCAGTGCCATGAGTCAGACACCTTAGATAGTCGTTATGCTTAAAAGCCTTTTAAAGTGCAATGAAAAGTGGATTTGCATATTTTTCCCAACAAAAACGGAACCTGTCATAATAGTCGTCGCTGAAAGCGGAAAATAACCCAAAAGAATTCGGGTTTACTTGTATTCAAGTCGTCGGATCATAAAAACTAGCACCCCTGAGTAAGTTTAGGCTTAACGCTGCATTTTCTGAGTCATTGAATAAAGGAACTAATGGCGAAATCTAAAACAGTCAGATATCATTAAATGTCCAAACATCAGATTTGCTTAAAGTGGGTGATCTAAAAAGATGCCATTTACACAGGCACGTCTTAAAATCCATATTTAGGTTGGGAACTAGTCTATTCCCCATTTCATTGCTCCGTTTGTCCAAATTTTGGAATTAGATTTCTAGTTTGCGAAGAGTTGTGGCATATTTCGTAAAAACAGATGATGAAGAATGCTAAGGCACATTCCTGCCGAGGGATGTCACGATGAATTGCATAAAATACGACAAAAGCTGCAGGCTCACCAGATCGAGATAGAGTTTTGTAGACTGGACACTCATAAATTCCCTCCTCAGGTTTTAGTCTATTAGCTTCCGGAATCAGCCAGATGATCGGCATGAGAGTGTAGAGCTCCCTCGGTCTGGATTCTGTCAAACACATATCCAATAGATCCCACCCACAACCCTCCAGGTAGAGGCCATGAATGTAGCAACCGTCAGCAGGAGCTTGATGGAGACTCGCGAAACCCTCTTCCATTACCTATCAGGAAAGACAACAAATCAATCGCACGGCTCTCCAGGCCCATATGAATGTACGCTGCAATTAGAAAACTCACTTTGAACTTAAAACTGACAGTGTCCACAGGTTGTGAGTGCTTGCGGGCAAAGTTCTGCAGCTGACCGGTGAGGAAGGCTTGTGGAAAGAAGAATCCACTGATCCAAAATACCACAGGTGTTCCACTGTCATACCATGCTTTTAAGTTGCCAATTCTTTCTCCCAGATCCTTTATCCAGGCACCAAGAGGTTTTAAACTAGGATAGGCCTTTACGTTCCACAACTCAGGAACTTGGTTATTAAATAAGGATGTGGCCATGGCTTCTAGTGTAGCTGACATCACCACTAAGCCCTTAACTGCTTTGACGAGTTCTTGCAAACTGGATTGAATTTCACTTAGGAGATTGTTGAATCTAAAGAACGACATCCACTAGTTGTTTTAAAGCTTTTGAATGAATCGGGAAACATGTTACCAACTTACCTTGTGACCTCTTGAATTAGAACGGTATTCATGGACTGCTCATAAAGTATGGGGTACCTCATTACAATGGCAGCTTCGTCTAACAATGGAGGACACTCAGTTAGAAGTTGCATAGCAACCTCCTCAATAATATCCTCGCGTGCTTTGCCTTCTTTGGAGGAGACATTCGTTTTTGGTTGCAGAAGGACCAAATCCGCCAACAACTGAAAGGTCTCGTTTTGTGCGAACGTTATGTTTGCATTTTCGTGCAGGCCAAATATTTCAGGGAGGTCATTTATTGGCAAAGACTGAATATATTTTAGGTAACTCTAAAGGCAATAATAAAAAGGATGAGGTGGTTATAGTATTTTGAAAATTTCTAACAGGCCCAAATGTACATTATTTCTATCTTTCTCATTTGCGATCGAATAAAAAATACCAGTAGCGACTTACTTCCTTTAAAGGAAATCAAAAGGAATTCAGACTAAAAAAGGCTACAGGAAAGCTTTTACCTTGTGATCCGAATCACCACTTATTTGCTTGTAAATGCCTGATTCCGAATATACATGATCTGCGTCAAGAGAGGAGGCATTGTAGAAGTCGGAGAGAATACTCATTAGGCAACGCCGATCCCAGTCATCGGTCACGCGTCCACCATAGTTGATTTGACCAGAAGTGTATTGCAAAATCTAATCTCATAACAACAGAAGAACATCAAGAAAAATGATATATATTATCTCAAAACAACCAGAAGCCCAAAGAGATTAGCAAACCTTATAGGGAATTTCATCGTACTCAGTGAGGAACATAACGAGTTGGTCCATGCAGATCTTCATATCACCAGTGGTGAATTCGTAGGGGATACTGAAACCTAGGGCTCCAAACTTCCGTCTCTCGATGCAAATGGCGTGAAAGAATGAAAGTGCCAAAAGGAGAGACTTAAAATTCGCGTTCTGAAGTCAACCAAAGATCCCTTGATTAATCTCAATAATAAATGCGCGTTTAAGTGCTGCAAAAATTTATCAATGTAACCTTTCTAGGAACGCTTTTCAACTGCTTATCACTGAGTGAAAGGTAAGTTCTAAGGAGATTGGCTTTGATGCCTCTCGGTGGTTCGATGGTCAACTTTGAGCCGTTCTGCAGGATGTACACAGGAAAACTGGAACTAGGCATACTGGTGAGCCACAGGCGGAAGTCCTTGCTGACCCGATCCTTGTCAATTTGCTCTACTAGACGTTCCAGAGAGGGCATCCACGAAGGTGCCAGGTGACAGTTCTGGAAAAAGACCCACATTCCACGCTCCATAGCTGCGCGCATCATCTCTTCCGCTCGTGGACCTTGACCCTGACCCAGTGAAATGGCTGATAATCTCTTACCACCGAAGTTCATTTCTTCCGCAAATCTGTAGAGATCTGAAGCCGGATCTGTACCCTAAAACTCATAATTTCAATCAGTGCTAAGATCTTTTTCATAAACCGTTTTCGGTTTCATTTCATTCTAAAAGCACACCTGTGATAAGATAAAGATTATGGGAGCTGTAGGTGAGCTCTCCTTGAAAATTTCGGTGAGGTTAGTATTCTGGGGTTCAATAAAGTTTTGCCCAAGGTGATGTGCGACAAAGTCTTGCATTGCGTTGGTGACTTTGTCAGGTCGGAAGCAACGTAGAAACAGCAACCGTTGAAAGCTGTCTAACTTTTCGCCCCAGTGACCTTTCAAGGGAAAACGGTGGGGCTCTGGTGAATCAAAGATTTCCTTAAAGTCATCTAAATTTTGCACAATAAATGAACAAAGGCCGTCAAAATTTGGCAAAGCATCCAGCGTGAGAAGATCGCCCCACATGCGATCAGATATCCATTCCGGAGCTGGGTTTGGGAAGTCCCTATTCCCGACTGAACTGCCGGATAGGAGATACCTCCATTCTTCCTAAATAATAGCGAATTTTGATTGCAATTATTTGGTCTAGGTGAATCCATCCTAACGAGGTGTCGTCCAACCACTTACCGAAATGATCAAATTCTCTTCCTCAAGAATCTTGATGGCTATCAAAAAGGAGAATAGCAATTTATGTCGTTCAAAAAGACTTCTGCAGACATTTGCATATAATGAGAATGTGATGTAATTGTTCACATTCTCTATACGCTCTGTGATAGTCGCTGAAACAGAGGAAGAAGTCCTTAATATTTCTCAACTTCTTGCTTATAAGAATATCATTATGCATTCTTACCTGCTTTCTCTGCGTTGGTGATTCCTTTTACGAAAATGTTAATAAACCACTCCAGAGAATACTGGTACATTCGATCAATCTTGCGCAATGAAGAGACACAGAAGAAAAGGATTCTGCCACGAATGGCGACCGGAATATACATACTACGAGTCTCATCTATATCTCTTTCTGTTTGTTCGGCTACAACAACTTTCACGCGTATCTCTGAGGACTTCAGCTTAGAAGCTTCGAGGGTACTGATGAGGTCAACGTCGTCAACCGGTGAACCCTCAGATAAACTTAGTTTCTCTAGAATGTGGTCCTCAATCTCTTTAAGTTCCTGCTTCATTTTTGCATTGCTGACAATAAGCTGACCTTTTGCTTCTTCCAAATCAGGACGTTCTTCTGCCACAACTAAACCAAGAAGCTGATCCTCCAGACCTTTTGGAGCCAATGTGAAATTAACGATTCCTATCCGAGCGGAATTCTCTGGCGAGTAATGAGGATTTGGTAACTTGGTTGTTAGGTAGAATCGAAAGTCTTGATGGTAAGGAATTACGTTGTCACCTATTTTGATGACAAGGACTCCTTGTTGTGAATAAGTCTGTTTCAGTATGATAGGGTCAAGAGAAGGATCAAGTTCTTCACCCACATTTTCCAGGAGGACTGGTCTACCGAATCGGATTGAGTTCTCGATGGTGCGCAGAAAATCTTTTTCTGAGGGTTTGATAATTTCAAGACCCTCATCACCCTCTAATGACTTTATCCATCGGTTTGCTTGACCCTGTGGATCCACAAACAATGGCCAACGGCGGGAGAACTGAACTATCACAGCATTCTCTATCGAGAGACTATCTTTTGGTAATCCAAATATATGCCAATTGCGAATCTTAACGGGATCTCCAAAGGTATTAATCAAGGTTGGGGTCGAGGTGTGAGGCACCTTGTGTTCTTTCAGACATTCAACCCACTCATCGTACATTTCCTTTCTGTAGTCACCACTGAAAGGACCTAAGTACGCTACTATACCTGACGAGCAGAGCACATTTCCAATGAGATTGTCGATCAAACTCTCCACCTCCACAATAGAGTCCATCCACCTACCCTTTTCGCTACTCAGACCCCCAATCAGTTTGTCGGCACGCAGCAGACGAGCCTCACAGAGGTTACTTTTATCCTCCAGCTCCTGCTGCCTTCGCATGCACTCATCATACTTCACTTGTAGACTGGCTATTCGGTCTTTGCAGGATTGAAGACGAGTGCGTGCTTCTTGAAGTACGTACTCGGTCTCTTTTAAGTCTTCCTCAGCCGCTCTCATTGCCGCCCTCTTGGGAGCTACCATCTTTGCTACATTATGGTACTTATGCATGGCTCGCACCCAAAGGCAAATGCTTGTGCATGCCTTGCTAACTTTGGCAATCGCCTGTGGTGTGAAGGCCTCAGACTCTATGTAAGGCTGGATTTTGGCGATGATGGCATCAGGGATGTTGTCGCGATCAAAGTTAAGGAGAGATTCCAGGAACTTGCCAGGATCCTGAAGCAGAGTTTTACTAGGCTCCCAGTAGTCGTCAACTTTGACACCCGGTTTGTCGCCAGCCACCTTTTTTGGTTTTACATCTTTCATTATGCAAACGGCCTCCATAACAAGACGTACTCCCTCAGGAGGACGCATCATGGCACGAACCTCAGTGATGTCGTTTTTGTTGAGTGACTTTACTGCATCCAAGGAGGCGTACAGTGCTGGCAGTGCTTCATCTAGGTCTCGCTGGGCGTCATCCCTTATCTCTGCACATTCAGCCGTCTTCCTTTCTGCGGCTTCCTCCTCGCGCTGCACAATCGCGGTTGTCTCTTCCGCTACTTTAGAATCTCTGGCGATCTCCTCCATTGTCACTTTTGAGGTCTCAATAGCCTTCTCCAACTGTGGTTGCATGATCTCAAGTTCCTCTTGCAGCTTTGCAACAATCTGTTCTGTGCTAAGAAGCTTATCCAAACCCGTCTTAGTGCGGTTTCTCAAATTCATTAACTCTGTCAATTTCAGGTTGTACATCTTGGCGAACGAAGCAAGCAATTCCAGGAAGCATGCTGGTGTCACGTAGTTGTGACGACCCATTTCGTGCAGGTAGCGAGCTGTGTTACTAACAGCTGATTGGTGCATTTTTTGGCACACCTTGACAATATTACCCAAAAGGTCATCTTTGATGTTTAGTTCTTTTATATCCCTAAGCGTTTTCAGTGCAACTGCTTCTAGCGCCTCGTCAGGCCATCCAGCATACCAGTCGATGGTGCAGCAACTAACCAGTGCTGGGAATTGACGCAGACGCGCACGGAAAACCTCCCCAAGAGGACTCATTGTGACCACCGTGTGGAGATTTCGATGCACTCGTTTCACATAGGTGGAGTATAGATTATTCTTTGTTGGCATCAACCCAGCATTGGTCACCACAGGCTTCATGGCGTTGTAAATATTCTCAAGATCTTCAAATGCGTAGATATTAGGTACATCACCAATATTCAGAATATTGTTGAGGTCCTCCAAAAAGGTCTCCTTCTTAATCTGAAACGAAAATACAAGCTCCAGTAGATTAGGATGAACGAAATTAATCGGCAGTAAAATTATTTATTATACTTGTGTATCGGAAAACAGAAATAGGACTTGCTTGTCCTCGATACCCGCCAGCATCATGACCTTTCTTAAATCCTCCTGCCAATCATGGGTGCTGTAAGTTTTTGTCAGTTCAATTTGGAAGCATTCAAATTCAGCACTTTAAAAAAAATTCATTAAATTTATAATAAAAATCACGAATTTTTTTGCAAAACGGGCTCCAAACTCACATATGGGCGGCGAGACGTGAAATACTTTGCCGTCCGCTACCGCCGAGCCCCAACAGCAGAGCATTGCCTTGAGGTTGGCGAATAATTCGAGACAGACGACACAGATGTATAATAGCGTCCATGAAGAGAACAAGATCCATACGTGGGCTATTTAGTTGATTATAATCCTCCAGATTTAATTCACACACACGAATCACTTGCGTATGATCCACCATCTCGATGTATTTCCTATTTTCAGCAGCATCAGCTGACAACATACCTCCGTAGAGCAGTGGTTCAGACGGAACCACTTCCTCAAATTTCGTCTCAAATTGCTCTTCCAGGGTCCTGATACACAAATTCTTAAACCAATTTCTGTCAACTTCATTGATTAAGCGATCCTGATAAACACGACAGGATTCATGATACCAAAGACGCAAGACATCCGTAAGGCGTCCCGTAAGGTGTAAAATATCGAACATGTAGATACCTTGAAAGACTTTTGAAAGATCACGGAGATTAAATGTGTAGTGGCTTTTGGTTGGTGTGGGCAAGAGCTGTGACTGTACAGTTGAATAAACCGAAATGGAGGCCTTTACCAAGGGCTCCACTTTGCCTATTAAATGACGAACAGGTGAATCTTCAGGGGTCTGCATGAACCAACTAGTCAGAATAGTTGAGAAGATGGTCGACAGACTAGCCTCATCTAGTTCGTTAAAGCTCAAGAAGTTGAAGTGTCGAAGCAAGCGCTGAGTGATTGGATTCCTACCACCACCTGGTGGGCACATAGCACCCAAGAAATTAACATCAACAATTTGCTTAAAAGCGCCAATCTGCTTTCGATCGTACCATCCCTTAAAGTCCATCCATTGGCGAATCAATTCGATTGGAGGTTGAGCACCGAACATATCGGGTGCAGGCATATTCAAGTCGTCAATGAAGAAGACGAGATACTTCCCGGGCGGGGGACCATACACACCACGCCTGCGTTTGTCCATTTTGCTTTCAATCACATCCTGTGTCTGATTGGCTGAGGATTTGGCGCTGAACACCATGAACTCGGGAATAAATTCTTCAGGCATCCCTCGACAAAGTTTGTCTGCAATACACACCGTCTTTCCTGTGCCTGTGGGTCCAACACTGAGGACAGGATTTGCGTTTTTTAGCAGCATTTCCATGACTTTAACTAAACGAATGCTATCCAGAGTCGGTACGAGGATATCCGAGTACTTTGCACTCATATCTACTTGATAGGATGGCACATTTTTCATCCAGTGCTCCCAGTGAACCTTTCGATTTACATTGTCAGGTAAGATTTGAATCGATTGAATCAGTTAAGCGAATCTAAAGAAGCCTACCTGCTTTGGACTTTGCTCATCACAGTCCACATCCTTCTTGTCCATGCTGAGAATGTCAGCCTCTTCTAGGTAGTAGTCATACACGGTGCCCTCTGGAGGAAACGGTCGGTAACACTGTAAAAGTGGTAAAAATTTTCAATATTTAGAATGAATTGGATAGTTAGGGCTAGGTTGACATCAACAACACCTTCGTATCCTTCATTTTCTGTCTTAAATAGACGTCAAAGGCTTTGCGTCCATCGTTGGTACAAGTTGCACCAACTGACCAGACCAGTGAGAAGAAGAACCAAGATTCAAAAACTTCCCCGGTCCTTGAAACCAACTCATCGGACACTTCCCGCTGTAAAATAAAAGCACCGCAGAAGTAAGGAACAATCTGCAAAAAATTAGTAAAAACGTAACCTAAACGATTAATTAGTGGCATACGTCTCCTGGCTCATTGCCCATCGGGCGAAGTGGCGCTCGAAGATTGTGATTATGCCTGGTCTATACATTACGAGCAGAAAAGGTAATTAATGAGTACCAGTATTTGAACAATTGGCCTTAACAAGATACAAACGCTTACTTTAGCCCGTTCATTTCGCCTCGCGGATATTGATAGGCCTGATTTCGGCTGGAAACGACTGTAGAAGCAAGAATAGAGCTTCAATAAGTTGAATGTCAGCTGACCGTCCGAGCTTCTTACGTTTTCAGCTGTGTGTTCTCGAATGAAACGGATCGAGTCCTAGAATTTCATTTGATTGGATTTTGGACCGTTTCATTTATAAAACCTACCTCAAGAAATAGGTCAAACAGGCGTTCTAACTTTTCCTTATGAGGGTAAATTGGTGCAGGCAGACTTTGAAGCCAGCACTCTACGAAGGGCTTAAGACCAAGGATACTTGTTTCCAAGTATACCATACCGCAACGACTCACAGTTGCCGGTGATGCAACTGCCAAATCAGCAACTTCAAATATCATAGTCATTGCCTCGGTCAGTTTTATTATCTCACCGCTGCTTAAGCAGAGTTTCTTGTTGTCGTCCAACACTGTGTTCATATTTTCAATCCACAAAGCGTCGACAGGCCCATCAAAGACATACCAACGTTTATCGAGGTTGTCGGCTGCAACCCCCTCCCGAATGAGTACACTTAAGATACCGTCAGTCCATTCATGTGTGACAAGATCGAATTCACCGTAGAGTTGACCCATTGTGATGGATTTAGGGTTCAAAACATAGGTGACTACGTTTTGGAAGTAAGAGCCATCAGGAGAAGGCTGATTCTTCAGAGAGCTCAGAGCATCTTTCAGTACTTCATAGCACTTGGTTTTGCCTGACCCCGTTGGACCAAGGAGCATCAGGCCGTGCCTTACGACTGTGGTGTCAAATAATTGAGTGCATTTGTGAAGGAAGCCTAGGGTTGAAAGGTTAAATCACCATCTTTTGCAGCACACGAAAACAGACTATGTCTTTTCCACTTACCGTGATCATCTTTAAGGTTCATTTTGCGAGCAGCAGTTTTCAGAGCGATTGTCAGATCTTCGTAATTAACTTCATTTGCACTGAAATCAATATAGTCAGACAAGAATAGAATCAAATTTAAAAGGTAATATCAAATTGGAAAGCTAACACAAGATGACGAATATTTGGGAATAGATCAGCGACAATGCCGTTGAAGAGTTTCAGATCGTCCTCCAAAAACTTTGGTAGGTTCACATCACGGATTGCCCGGAGTACGATAAGTTCCTGCAAATAATAATATGTTTAAAATTGCTCCCTGTCGTGTTTATGTCAACTCACCTCATCCATATCAGGTTCGTTTCTTTTTAAATTGCCAGCTGCGGAAATGACACTTTTCACCGCTCGCATACCAAAATCATAGTGATCCTGGTTACTCAACTGTTCAGACGACAATTTAAAAGTCGTGACAATCTTTTTGGCCAGAATCCGAGCATCAGCAAAGCCGAAGGAGAAGAGTGAAATTTCCGCAATCAGTGCGTAGTCTGGAACCATCATCGCAACCGGTCGGAAAAGCGCTTTCAAATTGTCTGGCAACTCCGTGCGACCCGCATAGCCAGGATTCATCGTAATAAAAATGGCGCAGGAGGCTTTCAAAGCCAGTTCCACGCCTTCAAAGAGGAACCGGTCGACTCGTTGCATTTGTGCTTTTTGAATGGTTGTGATTTGCTGCGCTACTACAGACAAGACTTCGATGTCAATGCGATTGAACTCGTCAAAACACGCCCACGCACCTGCTGCTGCCAGACCTTTGAAAAATTTACCCATGGCCATGAAGTCTAGCTGATCGGAACAATTAAACACGACGCATTGAACAGCAAAAGCCTTTCCCAAATCTTTTGTTGTTTCCGTCTTCCCCGTTCCTGCTGGACCCGATGGAGCACCACCAAAGTTGAGATATAGAGCTCCTGTTAGGGTAAGATAGCACCGGTCTGTCAAAGGAGTAATCACTAGTCGTGTGGTATTTCCAAGATACTCGTAACCATAGGGGAAATGGGCATTGACAACACGTATTTCAAGTTCCTCAGTCGCATCTATCCAATAGTAACGAAGTTGACTTATCCACTCAAAGGCGTTGACGGAGGAGACGCCTTGTTGGATCATGTTGTCAACCACGTCTCTGGCATGCACCTCGATGACAATCAATGCAGCGAGTGTAATTCGTGCAATTTTTGCCAGATCTCCCTTAACTACAGTACGAAGCTCATTCAACTGATTCAGAAGGTAGGGGAGTAACCCTCTGAGTCCACCAGAGTGGGCACGAGTAAGTGATTCTGTGACCTCTGAGGTCCAATAGGTTTGACAGCCCGCTATGACGATCTGACCAGGCCACTGAAGCACCCACTCAGTGCGCGGAGTTTCAGGGTAACTGTTCAGCGCACGCTGAATAATGGTACGAATGGAGAAGCGCATTACATTCTCAATTTCAGACATCCACTCCTCCACATTCCCGGCTGGGTGAGTAGTCTTTTCAAAAGGAATTTTCTCACCTTCATTAGAATACATCGCTGTGATTTCCAAGTCACTCTCAAATTGAAGCTAAAAGGAACACCGACAAATTTGTGCAAACAAAAATCGGCACAGAAATAGTACATACAGTGAAAAATCACTTACCTTGGCGATGTTTTCGAAGCACTTTTTTAAGTGCGGTTGTACTGCAGTAGGATTCTTTGCTTGCGAAAGAATTTCCAGAAGTTCATCGTCAGACAGGAAGAAGAATCGAGGAAAGGCTTGACGTTTGGTCTCCAGGTACTCGCTCAAGCCCTTCTGTACTTGCTCCAGTAGGTTATTGCATTCGCGCAAGTTATTCAAGATACGACTGTCCGGACAGAGAGTAATGACATTCGGTTGACCATGTGCGATTTTCATCACCTTGCGCCAAATCTTCTCCATTGTGGCAAACCGTTTGCCTTCTACCGGCAACTGCCGCAAAATGTCTTCCGAGGCAAAAATTGGCTCCAAGTAAAGCCAACTGCGCTGGCAGTTAATCCACTCATCGATGACCTCCTGAGTGATTTGCAAGCGGGTCTCCCAGGCAGCGATTCGTTCTTCAAATTGCTTTTTGTATGGAGAAAAGCTCATTGACTGGGTTTGGACTATGTGGTCGTCCAATTGCTGGTTAATTTCCTCTGACACTTTGATGATGTAGGTTCCGGTCTGTTTGTACGGTTGTACCTCAAAGACCACATTCTCCCAGTCTTGCATCATCTTATTTAGCGCTGATTCGATTGCATATTCCTTCCCGGCAATGTCGGCGACCTCCGATATTACGTCGATGTGATCCTACATTGACAGATTTTAAAATAGGAGGCAATTTACATTTAAATAGTATCTGCATTTCTTGCGAAACCTAGTTAACATGACTTGACCTAGGTCTAAACAATTTATTTCACCTTCTCTTTAAGTAAGTCAAATTATTGATCTCTCCAAGACAGTCCATGAGAAAGGCTTCAGCAAGCCCATTTATTCACACAAATCAAACTAATCACCTGAAGTCGCATTTCTAGGCACTTTGCAAAAGTGAGGGAAGCCTTTGGCACGACCAGGATGCCGGTACGTTCGCTGATGAGTTCCCACATTCTACTGCGCATTCCAGGACTGCGAAGAGCTTTTATAAGTGGCACGAAGGGCTTGAACTCTTCAATGGCCATTTTTATCTGACTGGCCACTTCTTGGACTCCAGGCAGTTCACTGAAAACGCGAATTGACTTATGCATGATCTTGTAGCACTCCGTAACTTGTTTTTCCACAGCTGTTGCATCAATTGACGAGAGTGGGTCGGCCATGACTGCGTCCTGCGTTCTCAACCAATCGGACACGGCAATCCACATCACCCGGAAGGGCTCGAGATCCTTTAGCAAAGTGCTAATTCTTCCAAACTAAATCACCCAAAAAGTGTATTTAGATTCAGTCAGTCTCGGAAAAACGGAGTTAGCCAAGTAGAGCCTACACTGGTAATTGGCATATCGAAAAGTCGTTCACGGTTATTGTAGAGCAGAGCACTCTGTTGCGCTTCTAGTAGCTGTTTTTGAAGCCTCCTCACTTCATTTGCGACCTCGTGCGCTTTGCTCACATCCGTGTATGAGGCCATTGAAGATACCATCATCTTTAAGGGAAGTGGATAGACTTTGAAGGAGTCCTCATGGTTAGTAGCAAATAAGCCGATTCTATCTCACCGTCAAACTGTCAATTTTATCGGAGAAGGAAGCCAAATCAGAGATTTGGAGTTTGCGAAAGCGCTCTTCATCCTCCTCTAAATTCAACTCCGTCTCCTCCACAAGGTTGCGGATCTTGCTAGGCCAGGTGAGAGTGGTCCACTTGGCGGCGAAATCGTCATTGTTGAGGTTGTAGCAGAACTCGTCAATGAGCTCGTAATGGGCTACCACCCGGTCGATCAGCTCCCTCTGTTCCTCTAACAAATCTGGAATGGTATCAATGTACTCGCGCATCGCAGTGAGCTCCTCTATGGTGTTCGGTTTCTCGTAGAGCCTTCTTGCTATCTCTTCGAACACATCGCATGACTGAAGCATAAGCACAACAATTAAATAATGCTGCCTTGGAGTCGTTGACCATGAGCACACTTCAATTCGTGTATATGTGTACGTCTAGATTTGCGCACCAGAGTTGCTAAGCTTATTTTGAATTTACTAAAGGCGCTAGAGTCTATATATGGTCTTGTTGATTTGAGAAGTAACTCAAAATGGATCTGCTATTCGTGATGAGAATAGGCTAGCAGGAATTTGATGTAACAATAATAAGCCTAAATTAGTTCAACGAATGCAAACTCATGACGGTAATCAAAGTGCAGAGGAAAAACCTTCAAGAATACCTTAGAATCCTAAGGTTCACCTTACTTCATTGAAGGGAACAAAGCGGAAGGCTTAGTCATTATTCAATGCTATGGGAGCCGTCTCTTCGGCACATGGAGAACTAATTTCAAAATTATATTTTGAAAGCAAATTATGTGCTAACAATTCAAATGTAAGTGTGAAGCTATATATAATCAAATGCTAGAATCCGAGATTCGTCTCCCATACACATTTCATCACAACCAATTTTCTGTAAAAAATCCATCGCAATTAGGAACCACGGCTTAACAAACCTAAGTGAGCCGACTGCCGTTCCTGAACAATGCTTCTTTTAAAGTACAAATGTGATCTTTCATCTGGTTTACTTAAACTAGTAAATATATTTTAATGCGCAACATCATGACTGGTAAAGCACTCTACTGCATACTAATCTGTCAATATAAGAATGGTTCACTCTTCCTACTTATGGGCAGGTAGTAACACCGGTAGGTCATGGTGCCACTTTTGGGAAAGACGACTGCTACTCACTGTGTCTGACTGTTTCCTGAGCTGGCGGGCGAGTAGATCCAGCATGGCTTTGGCCATGTCTACCCGCTTCTTCATTAGGCGACTGCGCAGCGGCTCCACGTTGACGAGGAAAGGCCCGATGGTAATAGTGAGGGGCATCAACGCCTCCAATTTCTTCGCCTCCTCAAATTGCTTCGTCGCCTCATTCTTCACATCATAGGGGTTCAAACTTTGAGACTCGTACACTCGTAGAAAATCACTACACGTTGGAGTTTAAACATTTTTAATAACTGATGATAAAATGCCACTTTTTGTACAAAGTAGTAGCAGTAACACAGACGTCTCGATAGTTAGATTCTATTGTGGTAAATGGGCACCAAAAAACACTTAAACAAAACGTGGATTTCAAGGTTTTTTATCAATTATTTTACACTGTGTTGGACTTTTAAGACATCCCGTAAAATAAGCATGAACGGCAAATCTACTTATAGCTGTGCGTTTAAACTTCTCTAAATATGTTTGATCAAAGTAAGGTTCGACTTCATGGACAGTCTCAAGAATTAAGTTGAGATGATCTTTTTCAGAACAGAGCTGTCAGTTGAAACAAATTAGGTTGACAAATTTGAGTCAAAAAAGATAATATATTAGGCATGAGAATTTTTAACACCAAGCAATTCCTCACGCTAAGCAAATATTTTCTAATAGGGGATTGGCTTTTATCAGCACCCATATTTCGCAGTACTTGCTGGATGGCGTCTACAAATAAGAGCAGCTTACTTTACGTAAGCGGGTATATCGAGGAGTGACAGTTCAACGTAGGGGTTATACTGTTCTGCATAAGCATTCATCGGAACATACGCCGCCTGTAGCAATTCATGCAGCTTTTTTCGCAAAGCCTCAACCTCTGGTTCGTGGGCCCCGACTGCCTCAATTAGGGGATCGTCGGACCAACTAATTCCCTCCACAACAAACTAGCAGAGAACATGTGGGGCAGAGAACGTAAGATCACGATAATGCATTTCAGTTTGTTAAAGGGGAAGCTTACCCGCTCCAGTTGAGATATATGTTGGACAGAGTTTATAGCCTTGTCAAATAGTTGACCGCAGCATCTGTCGAAATCTCCCAAAAAGTGACTGTAATGCACACCATCTCCATCAATCACCAAGTCAACAGCAAAAATCGGATTATGCTTAGGTCTATAAAGAAAGAAAACGATTTATTTTAATAAAAAATAAATAGTGAACTTACAAAATGCTGCTACTGCGTAGATCATCTGACCATTCGAACGAGGGATTGAGGTTAAGACAATCAATGCAGACGTCTTCAACCATCTTTACAAATCCATTGATTGAGCCCATGACGTTGTAGCGAAGAGCGTCTTGCATACAAAACTTGACGCTATCTAAAAACTTCTTCAGCTTCGACTTAGAATATACGTAATAGTCTGTCTCGTAGATATTGAACCAACCCTTTCCACTATCACGTAGGTGCATGCGAATTTGACGTCGCAGATTTTCAATCCAGCTAGTCTAAAATGAAGTACCATTAGTGCACCTTCTTGGAAGAAAATACCCACCTTCAAGTAGGTGGAAGATTGCTGGATAGTTTGCATCTGTGTTTGCTCAAACTCTTCTATTTTTACAGCCTTTGAGACAGGAAAGTGGAGAAGAAACCTTTCTCGAGCCTCAAGGCACTCGTACTGAGCTGAGCTGCTCGCCGCTATGGCTTCTGGGCGCGTAAAAACAGTGTTGAATACAAACTTCTCAAGAGCCTTCCTAAACTCAAACTTGGGCATTTCGACTGTGCCTATGATTTTATGGTATGAAAGTGGCCGGAGTGTGCGCTTACCCTTCCATCGCCAACTCCGTTTTTTTATTTCTGGGGGCTTTATAAAAGCATATTCGGGTAAATTCTGCGCGCACAGTTTTCTAAGAATCATATCATTCATGGTTCTCCAGTAGTCAAAAATGATTTCTTTTTGCAGAGATTGTACAGTTTGTTCCAATCTATGTTTTAAAGTGATTATTTCCAAATTGATTCCCAAAAATTAATAAAACTGGCGCATTGTTGTTGTTGCGAAATTGGAGCAATTAAGAATTAGTTTAGCATTAAAGATACGCATTTTGACAATCGTAAAAGCAGACTACCTTAAAACATATGGTAAAAGGTGGATAACAGCTACGAAAGTATGGTTAGACTCTAGGCGTAATACATTTGAGATTGTACTACTTTTTTGTCTCCGCTAATAAATTCTCAATAAAGGTAAAAATTGGGCTAAAACATCCAAATTTTGAAACTAATGAGGAAATTTTGTTCAAATATTTTCACTTTATCTTTGAGCACAATAAATGATGCTACTTGACTACCATGTTGGTATCGCTCAGAAGCGGTATATTCCACAAAGTTGAATTAGTATCAGATATATTGACTGGACAGTTTGCGTCGTTAACAAGAAGTTGCCTCTATGATTTAAATTTTGCCAGTAAAGAAGGTGGTAGCTCTAGAATATAGTAATAGATCTGCCTGAAGTCACCAGTATTCTACAGTAAATCAACTGGAAGCAATTTAAGTTTGTAGCGCTTAAAATTTGTTTATAATTTGCATTATAGTTGGACCATGCTTTATTAAATGAAAAGTAATAGACAAAAACAAAGAACTGAACCTTTTCAGCAAGAAACCCATAATCTAAAAAGGCTTTTTCAGCTAAAGAATTGAAAATCAAGGCAATCGTCATGCAGATTATTTTAATGGATAAATTCAAAAATAGATTGTTGTTGCGGAATACCCTAAATGGACCTACCCTTTGGCGGTCCTCAGTTGAGGTGAAGAGCCCTTTGCCAGATGCGTGATGCTGTCGAGAGTGGTCTGACTCATTTCCACCAGGCCGTCTACAGGCATGCAATCAAGATAGAGATTGTAACGAATAGTGGCCTCAGCAGCCTCTCTGTCATGGTAGGCTTGAGCAACGCGCTTCGCGAAGACAACGGGGTCTTCAGCGAGGAACATCAGTTGAATTCGTGGAATCCAGTACTGTGAGTCAACCTGGCAAAATTGCCCCTTGGAATCGAGGCCCCCATTGACCATCGGATCGCCATCTTTTGTCAGAATTCGGTCGCTGGCATCAGTCTTCTGGACTAACCAACGTCGCGTAGCCTCGTCATAGTCGAGCACACCACATTTTTGCCAATACCAGCTGACGTCCTTACTTCTCATGTCCTCTGCAGTTTCAGTTTGTTAAGCCAGTAATTAATTGAATTTACTAAGTATAATTTAATTATTAACACCGGTTACCAAGTAACGGATGACCAATTTTACACAAACTGTTAAATCAATGATAGCAGTTAGGTTCACACGTAAAATAGTCAAATTTGCTTTGGTTTTTAAAGTAAAAAAGCCTGTTTTAAGTAATTTTATGAAAATTAGTTCATTACTCAATAGTTTTCTGGGTGCTAGCAAGCCAAAAAATGTGTTTTTTTAAATTAAGTGCGCTATTGAGTACGATGCGGTGATTTAACTGCGTCAATGATTAAAAACGAAGGTCATGGCAAACCGGTTGCCGTTATTAAAATGAGTACTATTTCGATATTAGCACAAATAAATCAGTTTCTAGCACAAATAAACCAGTTTTATAACAGCAATATATTAGGAATAAACATGGACGCAAGCCATAAGTTCTAGCAAATTGAATGCAGATACTTGGAGGGTTTGTGAAGTAGATAAACTCCTTTGAATATCAAAGCGGCTTCATTATTCGTACATCAGGATTAGACAAACAGTAAGTCATAGCTTTTAAGGCAAGTGATATCGAATAAATCTTGCCTTGGTGTAGGTCATCAGACAACGGTAAAAGGGCCATTGCAGGAACAGGTTTCCTTAGTTCGCCCTCAGTTCCCAAAGAGAGCCAATCAGATGGAGTTCGGCAATCGTAATCCTCATCGTCGAAAATATCGAGAAAAAGATAATGGTCCCACGCTTTTTGCAAATTGCGGTAATCATCTTCTGGCTTCGGAATGAGATCCTTGGACTTAATGTTGTATTCGTCTTCCAAGATGTGCTCAATGCTGTAGCGCTCAAATTCCCTCCGTTTTCTTACAGATGAAAATTAACTACAAAATCTACCTCTCTATTGCGAGTTTCCTAGGACATTGACCAGGTTGGACGTAAAAAGGAATGTAGACTTTCGGCTCGAATGAGGACTCCGGAAAATACTATAAACATTATTATGAACAGTAAAAACCTACCGATTGAACATTCTCGTATCTTGCACCACTACAATCAACATACGAGCTAATATTTGTATCAAGTGGAAGATCGACTTAATTTTTGCTTTAGTAATATTAAATTCGTTACTTGCAGGATTATTTGGGGCGTCCCTGCACTCGTTCAAGGCATTCTCAATAATCACAGCTGGGTTCTTGCCAAGCTATAGCTTATAAGAATATTTTATTTTGTCCAACTTCTCGGTTATTATTTTGCCCTAGCGTTAGTATGTCAGAGTAATATCCTCTTGGTTTAATTTCAGGGTAATTTTCTTCCTTGTCGACCATTGTGTGACTTCATAAGTTGTCGCCCAATCCGCGACCTTGAATACATCCAACCAGTCACTAAGTAACGCAACTTAGTAAAATGATGAACCGAAAATTGTAATATGGTATCTTCCGAAATAGTAGAATTTGCAACCTGAATGACGCCTTTTATACACTGACGCTGAGCTTGTGAGCTGATTAATAGACTTTTTACCTGTGTTACAGAATGTAATTTTCTGATACATCATAATTTAGTTGATGGCAGTTGTCAAAACACTGATTTTATTTCGTTGTCTTAGAATTGCTGCAGATAATTGTGTATCAAATTAGGTTGAACATTAGGATAGGATTCTTATTAGTAATTATGGTAGTACCCCAGTCATGTTGAACAGCGTAGTAGCTTTAACCCATTCAGCGTGATTATGTTTGAGCTTATCAACTAGCAATGAACTACACTGCCGTTAAGTTAACCTAAGGTTTGAGGAATCCTGCATTGAAATTTCGCGGTTATTGTAAGTGCAGTTTTTCAAATGTTGCAATTTCCACTTTATCTGAAAGAAGACCCTAGTTTTACTAGTAGCATTTAACCTTTCACGAAGCAATCTTCCAGTGCCCTCAAATAAAGCACAAGATTTTTATCCCTCTGCAGAGGTGTTGTGCATAGTTTTGCCTATTTTTCCTTCAGTAATTCTGCTTCTACTGGATTCGCAGGGCAATTTACAACTCTCCTGTTAAGGGTATGTAAACACTCACTTAACTTAAATCAGCATTGGTAAGAGTTTCTTCACTGTATTCTGTCGACTTCCGTCAATGCGACAAATGTTAAAATAAGGCGTTTGATGTATTTTTTTTTTCGGGAAATAACAGTTCAGTTGAATTCATAATTAGCAGATATCTTGGTGCCAAAATTACTCGCATTGATGCTGACCCACCCAGAGGTTATTTATGTGCCGGGGTGCGCCAGATTAGCCGCGCCGCAGGTAGTGCTGCCATTTCTTCCCTCTCATCCTGGGGGCCTTTGGACTTTGGGCCTGAAATTTTCAAACCTGACCACCGGAAGTGCACGTACATTCGATCTGTATTGCCATTTGCAGGAGGAAAAAGCTTAATTAATTATGCATGTAAATTCGCCGTGAAGGATTAAAGTCCCACCGTAATTGCTGCCACCATTTGGCCGAAATTACTCCAACTTTTCTCTTCTTTACACTCAGCCCTTCTCCAGTACTTTTCCTTCTGATGGTATCCAGAGGGTAAGAACAAGCGGTTTGCCTTCGCGGGTTTAAAATACTAAATTTTCCGTCTCAGCATTCAAACCACCCATACGCTACCAGTTCCCTTTGGCGTTGGACTCTACTGGCAACCCTTATACCACACTCTAAGCACCCAAATGTCAGCAAACATCAGTGTAATGCAGTTGGTTTCTATAGCAAAAGGACAAGCTTGTGTGCACAAATTGGCATTTTTTTATGATTAAGTGGCTTGCTCTAGAAGACCTAATAACACAGCCTTCGGCCGGTGGTAACTACTAAACCATCCTCTAATTTATAACAAGGTGCTACTTCACATGAATGTCAACTTTCACAGTACAGAAGCTTCAGGTCATAGGCAAACCCTAGCCAAGCAAATTCTAAGATTGTCAGGCCTCCCTAAGGTACAGATTTGGTGATTGTCACCGGGGTGGTTTCATCTGATTATTCGCCTGTTTATCCACTCTTTTTAATACTTAAGCGGAATATTCTCCGTACTGCATTTATATGAAATCCCGAAAATGAGACAAACAAAGGTACAATTTGGTCCAAGTAGTGTGAATTAGATGAGATATTGAGAAATGGCACAAACTGACACATCTCTGGATGAGGGATCTCGAACAACTTTTAAATGCTTGTTGGTTTCTTCTCTACACAAACTTGCTGAATGAATGACATGGGAATTTGAGAGGCAGTGCCTTCAATTTATTTCACCGTCTTTGCTTCTTATTCACAAACTCCAAATAATAGATGATGAGAAGAATTACTTTCTTTTTGTTCTATTTATGATCCTTCAACGGCGTAAGATAAGGCCAGGCGAGTTGTAGCTAGTGGGAGGGTAAGTCATCTCGAATGCTGTGACGCATTATAGTAAGTTGGTTAGTTAAGGCACAAAACAATGTGGCCACTGTGAAGGTGCCCTCAAGTAAAGTGGAAATTCCATTTTTAATATTTACCGGATTGGAAGGCATTCCTATGGTCTCTCTTTTGTGAGGATCGAAGTGGAAAAAGTGGCAACAGACCAAGTGAACTTGATCTGTTTTGGGAGGGTTTTTCGTTGTTTCTTTCACCGGACTAAGTCGTAACAAAAAATCGTGTTAGCAAATAAAAATTTTGCCCCTTACAATGGACTTTTTATAACAATTTAATTGCATTTGCCTATTTTGGTCACTTTCACTCGAATATCTTCACACGTAAGGCGGCAGTGTGCTTCCACTAAATTTAAGGATGGGTCCAAGCAACTACCACTGGGATGCACAGCTCTTTTTGATGGTCACGGCATTTTATTTATTTACCAACAAGAGTTTCATGTTGGGGGACTATGAAATTATTCATTTATAACTGTGCACCCAGCTTATCCCTAACTATTGGCCTTCTGTCAGAGACCGAGTTACGCCTAAAAATCCACCCTCCGCTCGGTCAACAGTCTCCAAGCTTGGTAAACTGGAAAAGGGGCCGCGAAACTTCCACCACCCACTTTGGTGAGCTTATTTAATCAAGTCAATCACAAACCTCGCATCATCCGTCACATTCCTTGTGCCTATTCAACCTATTCACCTCTGGTGGCCCTAATCAGTCGGGTATCTCCAACTCCCTTGGTTGCAAGCTATTTATGCACGTGATTCGGATGGAAACTCCGCGGGAAGGTTAGTGATCATTTAGACTCAGGTGCACCTACTTATGAGTGATTTCGTTAGCCTTTTATGCAACAGAGCTGTCGAGGCTCAGGATGAGGCGGGTCATATAAATGAAAAGCTTTTCCTGACCAATTGAGGCCGGAAATTTGGTGAAGCGTTGGCTCGAATGTCAGCGCTAATATTAACTTTTACAATCACAGCGATAGTTAATTAAGTCTTTTTTATTTTAATTAACTTAAGTAAATATGACCGACAGAGGAGTTTGAAATTGTCAATTTTGCAGACAATAATCACGGGTGCAATTCTGAGTGTTAAATAAGTTTTACACCTACAAATGAATTGTCAGCTTAATTCTTCATTTCCTGTTACAATTGTGATTTTATAAACAGAAATCCGATGCAAAACAGATTCTGAAAGGCGACCTTTGACACAACTAACTTAAGTTAGTTCATCTGAGGTAGGGTAAGTAAGGAAACCTTTCTACCAGGTATGTGTCTTTTATAATAAACTTTATAAATTAACTGACTTTTGCCTTCTCCGTTATAAATAAGAGCCTTCTACTTAAACTGGTGTAGTGAGACTTAACTTATAGCTACAAAGTAACGCCTAAATCATACGGAGGCCTAAAATGTGTCGGTCAATTAAGTTGAGTGAAATAGGGAGGCAGACACATGTGTAGGAGGTCCATTTATGTGCCCTCCACATCCTGCTTCGTACCATGCAGGAATGAGGGATTAATGAAGACCATAACACGGCACGCTAGGTTGTATTCAATGGGACTATCAGTGAATTGTTATACTCTGATTGCTTAATTCTCCACTTTAATTGTTGGATGACAGAAGGGTACGACCATTGTACTTTTGGCCGGTCCTTTTCTGCATCAGTAATATATATATTCTGCCCTAATATCTTGTCTTCAGGGAAATTTCGTAGGGATACAAAATAACAAATTCTTTTTCTGTCAGGTCAAAGCCATTTGCAGGAAACATGAAGCGCCCATCCCTACTTCAAGAACTTTGTACAGCTATTCTATGAATAATGCACCATTTTAATGAATTATCTTTCCAAATTTGCGTTTATGCACATAAAATGAACATGTTTCCGTTAGGAAATAATTAGTGGAGGCATTTAAATTTTAGCGTTAGTGCACAAGTACATTCCAGTAAATACAGTAGTAACTATTCCTCCCTCGATTCCCTCACTCAATTGGCCAGCCAGCCAGCCAACCACACTTTCGTGGACGCTCCCAGATCTGTTTACGAAGAGATTGGAAGATTAAGCTTTGAAATGAATGTTAGTGTTAATTGAATCATTTCTTGCTAGTACAATAAAGCATAGAGACCTCGAATAGATAAACTCTGACATGAATTATTAAGGTAATGCAATTAATATATTTCAAATGGCAAAATTGTTCTATGGGTGTAAATGGATTTACACATTGCCAAAGTTCGCTGGCAGTAAAAACAGCATTTCTCAAATACTTTTCCAACGAGAGCTCGCACTGGTCTAAAATGATGTTTATCGCTGTAAACGAGCAGCTTTCACACGCACAAACTCTGTGGGATTCACCACCGCCTATGCGGGCTTACTTCTACGGTCCGAAGATAAAAGTGACACTTTTCAGTTGCTCGAAAGTTGACTGTTTTAAAGGTAAGGTAAAAATTTTTGACAGATTTAAAGAAACAGATCTCACCAGATCGTGAGAAGCTTTGGAGGTCTGCTGATTTGCCCTTAGGTCTGGGTCAGAAGTTTTTCCAATGAAAGTACCAATTTTACAAAAACAGTTGTACTGTGGGTTTTTAATTTGAGGAAATAACGTACTAATTGCAGGGTTCACGTAGGGGTGATATCAAGAAACTCATAGATAATAGTTCAAAAGACATGCATTATTCCCAAACTTGCATGAAAGAGCTAAATGCCTTGATTCCCTTATAGTGTGTATCTAACACCTCTTTATTTTTAACTCCTTCTTATATACAAGTACATTCTTAAATGTTTCCTAGAATGAAGATATCACAAATTTTTTTTAAAACTGAACTGCATCTGTAACAAGTTTTGATCATGCAAAAGGCTTGGTTCATTTCTAGTCTTTGGTGGGGTAAAACTCCACCTACGGGAACTCATTTCATGTCTCCCTAGGATTTTATTTACTATCACATCATTAAATATACTATAATTCCAAGACAATGCAATGACTTTGAAAACCACTACATGATTTAATATGCTTAGCCATTTCTAAAAAAAGATTTGAATAAGTGCAGTAGCTCTAGCAATTTCAAAATCATTCAGAAATTTTATTACTCTAGCGTTTGACAAGTTGCCCGAAGGTGGTCACTCCCATTTCCTCTCCCCGTCAATTGGAAGAGGATGGCTGGAAATATTTCACTGAATGAAAATTAAATTTACGAGGTTACTGCATTCGAAGGATTTGCAATAGGCTGCCCTTTTGGTTGCTTTATGGAGCGTAGGGAATGGGAAGCACTAGCTCACCTCCCGATGACCCCATAAACCCCTCCCCCCTGCCATAGCCACGGACACACATATTTTGTATCTCTTTTGGCACTGCTCCCCGAACACTGCAGCCGATCCGCTTATGGAAGAACTCTCGCAAGCGTCAACGATGAAGCAACTCATTAATTGAACTATGTTACATTCTCTTTTGAAGGAGGTCGAGGCAATTACTCCAGTTAAGTCCTCTTTAACAGGAATTTAACCAAAGCTCCTTACTACAAACCACTCGTTAAGAGGCGCTAGCGGCATAAAACAAGTACGTGTAAAGTGGCAGCTTAATCCAGTTTACGCGGTTATTTATCGATAGCTTATAATTATGCTAGTCTTAGAAAGTTGTCGGATCTGACGACGAGGTAATATTCTGTACCCATTTTGTAAGCAGAGACGCTAGTCTCACGTTGGCCTCTTTCACATGCAAATTAGGGGGGACTATCCTCAAGCAAAAGGTAATTAGAGATAGACATTTGGTTGAATTCGAAGAAACAATGGTAATGCGTTTATAACATGTCCTGAGTGAGTGTTTACTATTGATGAGTGATGGGACTGCCAGTAGCTAGGTGACTGAGGTCTTTGGGGTGTTGAGGCAATGTCCCTCCATAGGAGAAGTCGTCGAAGTAAGTTCACATTTCGTCTGAGTCAGAAGGAAATGCTTCACCCAAATGAGGTGGAGTATATCTCAGTAATTACCCAATTTCTGTAAGGTTCTGTGCGTATGGAGTACTGTCGAATCAAATTAATGGTGAATTACCGTAATTTTATAAAGAAACGAATGCAGCACGCCGTCTTTGTATAGAAAAAATTACTCATTCATTCAAAGGTTATTATAGGTGGGCCCTTCCAATAGCATTTTTAATGCTTTTGGTTATTTGTTTAAAATCTTTGTTTTGTTTTTTCGGGAACTTAAGGTTCAATTTTTTATTTCTGCTGAGTGGCATGGCCTCCGCGCAATGCCAGCCGCTCCTCAGCCCTTCTGTACGTCGACAAAGCATCTTCCGTCCCAGTAATATGTCTTCCATCGTCTTCAGCGAAGTCCCCACTCTCTACATGGTTAAAATGGCGAATATCGTCAAAAATTAGATATCCTTTATTGCTAAAAGGCTTTAGTTTGATAAGGCAATCAAATTTACTAATAAATTGGAGACTTTATCTACCATTACCTTTTTACTATGGAATCAAATAACATAGCTAATTGAGGTGACATAGGTTTGACTTCGAGGATTAGCTCGATTGTGTATACTAGCGCCATATTTAGTAACCTGACCGGTGTGAGGCGTTCATCTCCAGGCGATAAAAAAGGCTACAGTGGCCACCCTGTGCCCATTCGATGACACATGGACAGCAAGTATGGCGCTATTTTCCACCAGTAAAGTTACAGTACTAGAATTATGTGTTTATACAACAGAGCCAAATTAACCAAAAACAGCACTTTTAAAAAATCACCAGTATAAACACCGACGATGTTGTGCTCGAAGCAGAGTTCATGTGAAAATTCAACAGGCACAAAAGCGCCTTTAACATTTCCTCCGTAAAGTGAACACCAACACCTCCGCGGGCTTAACTTGGGAGAATCGGTTTGTCTTCTGAAGCACAAAATACATGCGAATCTTATGGCACCGTGGAGCCATTTTAAAAGCGTATAATGGTGTGCGATTGCATTTAAGCGAGCTTTCCCACACATCGAAACAGGGCTAAGTGTGGATTCACTTTTAAGTCTGCTTTTAACTCAGGCCCTTTTGGTGGTCATTTTCTTGACATTAATGCGATGCTGTGTGGCCTGGATGGAAATGCCTTCTTCCAGAGTAAACGCAGGAGTCTCGACTATCAAAAATTATCGGTTAAGACGAATCAACCTCATCCCTGATCATTAAGCGGTGCGCATTATCCACTGAAAGCGAAGTGATAAATGGACTGTTGTTACTTACCGTCTGCTCTCCTTGCTTCGGTGTGTAAAGGAGGGAAATTGAACTTCATTTTTAGTGGGTTTTGGTCACGCTTCCAGATGAGAAATCTTACTACCAGCTTGCATCTGTTTCAGTACCACCGGAAATTGAATCTTACTTATGTGTCCATACGGCGTTCACCGGATTGCGTTCATTGTGTAAGCAAAGGTAAAAATTTAGCCCCAGATTTTATTGCATGACTATAAATATGTTACATGGCTCAGAATGATGTAGGTTTTTAAACCAGAAGCCATGACACCTTATAGCAGGTTTTAAAAGTCTAAATTTTCTAAAAGGGCTGTACATAAAGAAAATTTTTTGTTTTTATTTCAAGCTTTTGAAGGTATTTTTGGAACTGTCCAACAATAGGATATGAATAAAATTTTAGCAGATAAGGTAAGTGGCTAGCCCATCATCTTGTCATTTCTTACAATTAAAAAGTCTAATAAGAAACCAAAGAGTGAAAAATAGACTGGCTTTCCCTCAACATTCCAGGAAAATGGCGCAATTTTATTTGCTTACCAACGAAACCATTTGCGAATGTATCAAATCCAAGCCTAGCATTCGTGAATTGGAACAGGTTTTATGGTTTATAAAACAAAATTACGCTGAAGAATTTGTTTTGCATGGCCTACTTCGACAAAAAAGAGACGAATTGAACCAACGTTAGCTTTGCTACTAACAACAATGGGATTAGTTGAGAAAGAAACGCATTTAGTGGCAGTAAAATTACAAAAAGATAGCGTCATTTAAACCCGAAAACTGCGGAAATAAATCTGACTACGGTACTTTAGTTTCGGTTGCTTAGGTAACTCGACACACTAGAGGCCGACTTTGAGGGACCCTTCATGACCATTCACCCTCCCCCGCTAAAGTTTTGGAGAAATAGCATCCGCATTTGCTTTCCAAATTAGCATACGACATTACTTAATTGCACTGCAAATGACGTTTTGCGAAAGACTTGTAGAAAGTGAAGGCTGTGGCCATAAATGCTGCATTAACTCTCCCCAAGCATGTGAAAATGCTAATTTCTCAACTGGACGCATGAAAGCAGTATCGGCTTTGCGTTTTTGAGTGCCTTCAGTTATGCTTAAGGTAACAAAACTAAAATTTGCTTGAGGGCAAATTATGGTTTTAGGCTGCTTTAAATGGAAACATCTGACACTTATGACTGTCACCTTAAAGTCGGTTTGCCTCCATTCACGATCGTCGTGTGATGTAACTCTTACGACTTCCATAGTTTACGCCTAATAGGAGTCCTTCTTTTCTTTCTTACCTTCTGCATCCCTCAGCATTCACTTGCAACCTTTTGCGCACGTACATAATGCACCCAAAAGGCTAGTTCATAATGGTCTGATCCTTGCCTATTTTTCTAAAAATACACTAACTGATGGTTTTTCTGCCAAGACAGCCAACAAATCCTATTTTTAGCATGAGTTTGAGTTAGTTAGGTCGTTTAACCAAGAGAAATGGCAAATTTACCTGAGCGGTGTTTTGTTTGAAGTTGACAAATAAAGCCACATTTGTGAGGTAAATGTGCTGCTGAGGATAAAAATCTTGATGCACATCCACATAATTGCGACTCTTCGCTGGGAGCTCCATAGGCCATTAATTGAAATTAATCATCCAAAGCTTCATTTCAAAGTTTTTTTTTACAAAAGAATTGCTATAATTCAAATATAAGTTGCAAAATGGATGCCATCAGACCGAATTCAGCAAATCAAAAGCTCTTTTTGTGTAGTGACGGTGACGTCCACCGAAGCGCTCCAAAAGGCCCTATCATTCAAATGTAGTAATTTCGCTGGAAGATGAATTCAAGCTGACAAAGAAAACTTATAAAATGTTTTACCTTTTCACATTTATTAGCTTAAATCCCCACTCCAAGCAGAGTATTTTTTGGTGAAACGCTTTATCTACCCTTCAAAGCTATTTGTGAATGCGATCTAATGAGAGTTCATACCATTAAAACACTTCAAGGAGAGCATATCATCACTTCTCCGGTTTTAACCATTTTTCTGATAGCATACTAAATGTCTTCGAAGCGCCCTTTAAAGCAGTTTGGTCGTTTTGGCCCACGGCTTTGTTCGCTTTACTATTCATGCAGTAATTGCAACACCGTTAACGCAATCTGCGGTGAAATAATTCCCTTTCATAAGTTAGTATATTTACAATGCCACATCCAGAGTTCTGCACTTCCGCAACCACAAGTCTAAGGTTGAGTATGTAATTTTCCGCAGCAGAGGACGTTTTCGCCAAGCAAATAGCATAAGTGTTTACGATTATACCAATGGAGAAAGCTTATTGATATCATATTTGCATCCACACAGAACCACACAGTTTGTACAGATCTAAATGTCTTGAAAGCTTCTTGCATGCAAGAAAGAGATTCCTGCAAATTTGAACTATTACAGTAATATTACAATATCAAATTTCAAACCCAAAATGTAAAGTCGAGGTTTAGTATTTCTTTTCCCATCAAACAAGCAACCTACTAATCTTCAAAAGAAATCAAATATTTTGGACTTACTCTACTCTTAAAACGCATTATCGTATGATGGAGGCAATCCCAATGTGTTATACCACTCAAAACTCCGCATAACTGCTACTGTTCTCCGCAAATTGTTGTTATATTGATGACATACAATTGACAGCAAACAATACACTCACTGTAACTTTATTGCCTGCCAATCTTGTTTGATGATAACAAATACCTGTACATATTTACAAGCTGAAGGCCCTTTAGATGCTGCCACTGCTGCTACTGGGCTCAGAGAGTTTAGTTATTTTGTCAGAAGATAAACCAATGACTGATTATTTTCGAAATTTTCCACTTAAATGTTTGATTAACGATGATAGTTTTATGTTTCAGGAATTGGCCTTTTAGGCTTTGAACATGTTTCCCCAATTTGTCCGATTAAAAGCACAAAGATGTCAATAATTTCGTGGCAAAGTATGCATTGACCAAATTTCCAGAATAAATGATGCCAAGTTACTATAGTTCCACGCCCAACTCCTCAACTTAAGGCCCCATTAGCCTCATTCGAGAAGGGCTTAGTTGAAGCTGCTGGGGTGTAGCATTGCCATCTCCGGCGCTGCCACCAACGCCCCGGCAAGAGACACGGGAGAGTAGCATCGCACACGAAGCGACGGCAGCAGCAGCAGCATCACCAGCCCTGCCAGTGGCATGACTCACCGTGCTGCAGGGCACCAATCGGCGCGTCAGCACTCGATACGCGCACCCACGCATGCACACCGCCAACTGGACGACTCATCTTTCTGCAAACGGTTTCTACTTCAAAACCGTCTCCACCACTGTCGCAGTCGGTAAGTGGGATCTGTTATCTGATAGGTCCGATTGCTAGCTCGAGCTACAGTCGTAGAATCTACCTCTTTTCAAAGGAACGCGGCATTTTATCTCACTTCTATTTCCTCAAAATCTGGCTGAATAGCCCTCCAACTGAGCAAAAACTGCCAATAAAACACATTATGATCTGGAACGAACATCAGAGGCGGTGTTGGGTCCTAAATGTGTAATTAGCAGGCTAAATTCAATTCGCAATTGAAGCCTTATAAAATAATTCCCATCAAATTACATTTCTAGCAAAAAATAATGCTTAGCGAACATGAAGATTGCAGTAGTTATAAGTGAAAGAAGCAATGTCCGAGAAATCACGTAGCCCTAGTAACTGTCTGGAAAGTGGTAAACTTATTGTTGGAAGCGACTTTGCATTAGAACATTAAGCTCACTTAAATTGGATGCTTCCAAGACCGTTGAAATTCGCAAGCATCAGAAATACTAGAAAGTAAATGCCACTTTAGTGGACTGTCAAGGAATTGAATCAAATCACAATTGGAACATGGTAGATTTTACTTGATGAAACTGAGAAAAATTCGAACTTGGCCAATGTTTTTTTTCACCTTACCCCATCTAAATTACAATATCGCGTTCTTCCTTCTTTTATGGTAAACTAACTCTAGGACGTATGAAGTACTCTAACTGGAATGTTGTTTGTTCCTTCAAAAAATCCAGGAGTCCTATGGGATCTGTAAATGGCGCCCTTTTTTGGCACTTACGACTCCAGCAGATAACCTGAATGAACTATCACCCTGCCAGAAAGGTCTCACGTCAAGAGGAGGTATCGTGATTTACTGATAACATCGAGTAGAGCATAGCGTAATTGCCCTGAGTCGTGGACACTATCAACAGATCCCTATTAAATGGATCAAAAGTGTGTTTTATATTTTTTTCCCTGCACTCACTTAAGTTCGCTCTCACTAAGTTATTTGCAATCAAAGTTTTAAATTATGTCTAAAATATATTTTAAAAATTTTAAATGCAGTAAAAGTTAAAAAAATGGCTTTGGTCTTTAAAATCGGAGAAAGTGCCACATTCCAGAGGAATTTGTGTGGAAGCTACAACCACACTTCTTAGAATGGGCAATAACTTCACTAAAACGAAAATATTCAATTGGGTAAGGGGATGGATGAATCTTTTACCTTCCATGTACATCAATTGGCCCATGTGCACGGAGTAATCTTGAGACCTTTCCACTTCTCCTAATTTAGGGGGTGCTTATGTCTGTACACACTTACGTTTGTCTTGGCTAAACATCCATTTAAAACGGTACTTGTATTTTATTTGTCTTCAAACCAACGTCTCTATTTGCTGTTGCAGTACAAACGAGTGTTTAACTTTATGTTTTTTACATGTCTTCAACAACCTCGTAAATGGGATATTTTCCTTCTGTTCTAAAGTTATTACGACAAAAGATACCAGTGATTCTCTAAATTACCTAGTATTTGGAAATTTTACATTATCACTTTTCAATATCTACGATGTGTATATTCTCCTATAACATGTAACTGCTAAAACAACCAGTTTTGTAAAAAAAGTACATCGACATTTCCACAGGGCGGCTCCCAGGTGATTCAAAACAATGACGCCTCTATTGAAAATTTGTGTTGTGAATGGGCTAGAACTCAGACGCTGTAACGTGGCGGCTGTCGTAAACGCAGCGGGTCACTTTCTCCACCCTAAGCATGCCAAACGTTCGCATTTTTACACCTCGAGTTCCTCAGCTTCGACAGTACACTTTTCTTAGCTTTTCAAATCGTGTCAGACAGTTTCCTTGAGGTAGATGTACGAGTATACAAAGGGTTGCAACGCGAAAAGTTGTTGTAAAGGTCTCAGTTTTTCGTTAGCCTTCAAATCTTCCTTCAGTGGATGCCAGGCGACTGGGACAAAACAGGCTGCACTTCGTGTTAGGGAAAAATCCCCTATTCCTGATAAAAAGTTTCTCCGCTTAATGATAGCAAATCACAGTCCTTTAAACAGGTGGAATTGCGATGAGGACATGAAAAATCTGATAAGTGACTTTTCCGAACTGAGGTAAATTTGCCAGTCGCATCAGGTTACAGATGTGTGAGGATTTGTTTTCTCCCTATTTTAGCAAAGGGACTTTTGGCAGAAAGACAACCTTCTACCCTCACTGTTTAGCGATAGAAAGTCTCCTCTCAGCAGCAATGTCATTCGCACACTCCTAATGACAATGCATAGTAGTGATGCGTTTCACTTCAACCGATTCTATTCAAGGAACGTCCGATAATAAGGAAACTTTTTTCCCCCTTTTATACTTAAAAAGAAATTTTTTATTCAATTTTCTGGCCAGCAAATCATGGGATTCAATCATAAATGTAGAATTTTCATTAACCGTCCTCTCCTGGATAAAAAAACCACCAAATTCTGTGGATACAGGATTCAAAATAGAAAGGGAACCCAAAGAAATAAAAAAAACAGCTCTTTTATTTGCGGATAATGCTGTGCACCGTTGCTATTTCAAAGTTGCCACAAAAAATAGTGGATACTTTGACCAAAATCTGCCACGTACTAACTATATTGGAATGGCACAAATTGTTATTTTTTCAGTCTTATTTACCGCTAAAGGTATGAAAGGGTTGCGGTTTTTTAGTGAGTAGGTGAGATCAGGCAATAAAAGCGGAAGCCGAGCAACAAAGTGACAATTAGGAGGCTGAACGCTAAAACTCTGCCAAAGTGGCGCGGACCAGCAAGTTCATCTATGCAGGTCATCGGATGCGTGGAACTTTAAGCTGCCTTCAGCCTCCGCCGGGAGTTCAAATATCGCAGTAGAGTGAACTAAAATACTTACATGCGCTCAAGGCATTTAAATGCAGCGCAATCGGCTTGAGGAAATACCATTGTTGATGCCTTTTTATAAAATCGTGTTCTAAACTCCAAGGGAACTTGCTCCAGGGTCGCATGTCAAAAGCAACGGGAAAGATTACCATAAAACAGAACTTTTAGGATTCTGTGTATTTTTTGTTTCCATTTTTGGGCAATTTACTGTTGCATAAAACATTAGGATCAGTCGGATCGCCTGACCACAACAGGGCTTTTCTTACCTGCAAAATGGTTCGTAAAAAAGTTTTATACACAATTTTAAAAACCAAAGGAGGCTCCACCGAGTGTGTACAGAGTAATTTCAAAAGTTGGCCTTTCAAATAGAGGTCAACGTAGCCTGTATCTCTCTAAGGTGGCATGAACAACACTGAATCAAGGAGGTGCGATTCTGGTAAAATTATTATAGAAACGGCCCTAGATATCTTCTCAGGGGTGGAAAAGTGTTGGTGGGAAAAGGGTGCATGGGGGAGGATTAGTTTCTATGTAATCAACATAAGATTAGGCAAATACATTCACCCCTTTTGTTTAACAAGGCCGTGTTTAATAATTGGCATCAAAAAGTTGTGGGATTTTTCTGTTTGTAACCGATAAACGCGGGGAAATTTTCGAGCCTGCTAAAAGTACACACAAAATTACATTAATGGGTAGTCAACATTTAAACAGAAAACTTTGCTCTGCAAATTCGTGCAGAGGAGGCCAAATTTACCTCTCCCAGCGTTGGCATTAAGAAGACAAACAGCATAGCTGATAACATTCCTAGGTATGAAGGTGTACCTTATTGGCGCTACCGTGCATTTATTTCTACTTTGTGCAGGTAGCCTGATGTTCGTCCTTCGTAATTACAAGTTATTGGAATAGCCGTACCATAAAGCGAGACGTCCAATTGCCATTAAGTCTGCATTCTTTTATTGCAGTGAAATCGTCAAGATCGCAGAAATATTTGAAATTGTCGATGAATGGGTAAAGAATTGGAAAATTTCATTGTGAATTAGCTTAATTAAAAATTGGATATCATATTTAATGATTTGTTGGCTTTGCCTCAGAAAAGAATTTAATCCAAGGAAGAAGACCGTTTATTTATCGTTAAGCAAAAGTTGGTACGCTGTAATGGTAGTGTTCTCCCACCAAAGTGCCGTCGGAGGAATGGTATACATAAAGGAGATGCATTAAACCTGATTGTAAAATTTATTCAGTCATCTGGATGAGATAATTACTGTTATTACTGTTGGGCAAGCCCGTAAATGGTTAATAAAAAGGACCTAATTTTAGAATAGACGGAGGTGCAGTAGGCTTGCCTGGAAGGAGGACCAAATTATCTGTCCCTTCGTACTGTAAGCAGAGATGCTAGAGAGCTTTAAGAAAAAGTCAAGTATGGGTAGTGGTGACAGCGAAAAATAACAAAAATAGCTTAGATAAATACCTGTGAAAGACGATTGCTACCAATCTAGTCAGTATAAATGCCTTTAATACAAGATTGTGCCTGGCAAAAAAGGCAAAAAATATGGTGCTGTAAAGGGAAAACTGCAAATTTTTGTCTCAATGAGAAGGTAGGGAAAGGAATTAAAAGACAATAAAGATGAATTGCGCAACTTATGGCAAGTGAAACTGGCCTTAGTTTACTTGATTTTTATTAGGTGTGTCCGAAGCCTCCTTAGAGGTAGAAAAATTTTATGGAAGACTGCTTTGAATTTGGTAGGGTATATGTCCTAAATTAGTATACTATAAACAAGCGATTCAAGTAAGTGAATTATATATAACTCCTCAATGAATTCCCAAGATTAAGAGTATTCCATTCCTCAGGTGTGAGTGGATACTATTTGATAGGTAGAGCTTACCACAAGCAATTTTCCTTCCCACTTAAGTGAATCTTATCCACCCACTCAAAAATAGAAACTCTAAAACTGTCCTCGTTGTGCGCGTACTGAGGAATCCTTTGCAGCACTTTTTAGGCCGGTTTGCGTGACTCAAAATTGTAATTGAAATTTAACATACTGTTGAAGCGTTTTTAGCAAAGTGGTAGCCATGTTTATCATTTCTGCTCACAAAAAATCGCAAGTAAAAATTTGACAAGGGAAGTCAATAGACACTGATAAAGAGCATAAACCTACATTACAGTTGAATGATTCTCAAAACGAAATCAGGCAGGTCTTTTAAGATGGTAATCTTTGATACTATTATGGGCGCGGATCTTGCGTGTTAAACAATTGTGGCATTAAACGACCCCCAGTCCTGCCATGACGAATTTATGGGGAGACTTGCTAATCTTCACCGTAATTTACAAGCCAAGTTGATTTTGGACAAGGCAGAACACCCCGTCGATGGACAACTTCTGAAGTTTGCGCATGTTTTAGACTCTTTGTTGTATTATCGCAATGGCATCACTTAAGCTACTGCCAAAGTTGGAAGAGGTAAAATTACTCCACATTGTAATACACCATCCCAACCAATTGTATGGCGGCCGGAACATACAGAGTCATGTGTAATACTTATGTTCCTTTCAGAGAGGGGGCGGGTGGAAGAATCGAACCTCGTGACTGAAGAGCAATCGACATCCGAAAACCCGAAGAAAAGTTCCGTGCCCAAACCTTCCTAAACTTATCCCCATTTACATTTACTCGATAAACATTACAAAACTAAATCAGCCTGGGTGTTTTAAGGTACAAGGGCCAGGAAAGGGGAGATTTACGAGACTCTTCCTGCATATATGATTAGGAGATAATTTTAATTAGGTTGTCAATCGTAATGTGTCGTTCAGCTTTTTTCCCATTTGACTAAATCATTACTGAAAGTGTATAGAAGGAAAAATCTTCCAGTTTTCATATGACTTCTGTTGATGCATTTGAGAACTTTTTAATTCATAAAATTATTAAAAAAACTCAAAATCCGATGCCTATTTCATCATGAATTCTAAAAGGTTCCATATGAACCATTAAATAATTTATGAATAACATTATATATGATTATCGCTCATTGGCAAGCATTAAGCCCCTATGCTGCTTGATAAAAAATGCATGCCAATTAAGCAATATCTCAAACCAGCAGTTAATCTACAGTTGCAGCAAAACTCTACCACTTGTAATTCTAAGGCTACTTTCTATTAAAGGAAAGGTTGCCTATCACTCGTTGATAAGCTATGCAGGCGTTAATGAAAGAAGAATTCCATGCCCTAAATGAAAAGTCCGATCTTTAAAAATTAACTAAGATGGAAAGAAATTGAATGGCTGACCTGAAGCATGATACAATATGATCCTAAGAGAAAGAACCACTTGACTCCATCTGACTGTAAACATTCAAAAGGGGCATAGAATGAGCAGAAAACTTTTCCGTCGCTGTGTTGGTGCTTATGCGATGTTATAGGATACTGCGCCGCTTCCACTGCTTCAGAATCAAAAGACGATAAACGTCTCGCTCGGACACAGCCGAACTAAAAAGTCGAACCAGCAAAAAGGGTAGTTTTTTGCCTAGTAAGTGCTGCACTGATTATATTAATTCGTCTTTACAAGCTTTCGGTCGCATTTGGAATTCAGCCCGTTTGGGTAGCAAATGTACCATAGATTTTTGGAGATCAAGCTCCGAAGAGAGGCCTGCCATTTCATCTACCATAAAAGCAATCAAGTCGGCCGGCATTTGGAACAGACGATTATGAAGACCTGCAGCAAATAAAACAGTTATTATAAATTTAAGTGTCTGTTTTAGCGCCCTTCTGTTTGAGTAGAAAAATTTCAACTACAAAGGCAGCATCTGTAACTTCAAGCGTAGGAGTACAAATGATTGCAAGCTGCTCTATAAGTAGTAACTCCCGGGTAAATGTGATTCCATTTTTCCTGTTCTCAAAAAACCTAACAGACTAAAGTACCTAAAATATGCGTTGTCTCAAACTGAGTGGCCAAGTTTGATTTCTTGGTGCCGCTCTTTTCCTATTATTTTAGGCAAAGATAAACAAATGAAGGGGGCAATTTCCCGCGGTTGTTTCAACCAGCCGCGAGAACGCTAGGGCATATTTATTCGTTTTCACTAAACATTCTTAGTAGTCGGTACCACGATTGCACACATTGAAAAAGACTAGGGTCTTTACAGAAACGCACAGCGAGCATTTACAAAATAAGCGGGATAAGAGCAACAAAGGCCGTGGAAGAAGGGATTTATCTAAAAAGAGAAAGATAAGCAGAACGACAGGCGCGAGAGTGAAAGAGGAATGCATGTGGGATATAAGTGAGTCTAGAGGCTACGATTAAAAGCGACGCGCAGTCGCGCATTTACAGGTGCACTATCGGATGTGCACCTCCTTAAGCATCGCCGCGTAGGCAGTTGGAGTCAGTTGCAAACGCTGCTGGCTGCTGCCGAGCACCGGTGGAAGCGACTGTCTGTAAAGCTGTTGCTGGCGTTGGTGATGATGATGATGATGATGATAAGCGGCAAGAGAATGAGGGTTTTGTGTAGGCTGCATGTGAGTTATAACAGGAGTGGCGGAGGTGTTAGGAGCCACAAGCGTGGAGGAGGTCAGCAGCGCTCTATCTCTTCGACTTAAATGTTGAGGATGGGCGTGGGGATGGGCAGAAAGTTGATGAGGGTGCTGGCGAAGAATCACCTCGGTCCCCGTCGGCGCTCCCACCGACGTCTGTCGAACGTGAAGTTGGGGATGCTGACGCGGCACCGCAGATACCGAAGTCGACTGCCTCGACGGAAGAGCTTGAGATGGCAAAGTGTGGAGGAGCGATTGTGAGATATTAACGCAAGCGCAGCAGTGGATCGGTTGTTTGGGCTGCTGACGGCTGCGTCTTAGATCCACTGCGCATTCGCCTGATGTATAGGTGGCAAAAGAGGGTATCATTTGATTTCGTAAAATATTCGAATGATCACCCATTAGGCAAGCGTTTTTACCCCGTATTTGTCAGAGCACCTCAGATTTGTTTACTTTAAAACACTTCTGCAGTAAACAACACTTTACCAGTCTCTGAAGCATGTTGCCTAAGTCTAGTCAACCAAAACATGAAAAGCGAAAAAGCGTGACGTCATCATCAACAAAAGTACTCATCCCCATTTCTGATTGCATAACAAACTTTGGCTGACACTGGAAATGTGTTCAAGAACACAATATCCCTCAATAACCGATTCGGTAGCAGTTTTTTGTAAACCTTGGTTTGGGCGGTTATTGGTTTTACTTGAGGGTAGCATAAAGTGAAAAGGAAATCTAACAGACAACTCTCTAAAATCCACATCATCCTTACCTCATAAAATGTCCAAATTTTTTCCACAAAAATATTGGCTATAACTCCACATGTCAATTTTTAATGTGAAATTGGAGGAAATGTGCGTTTTCTTATGCTATTTAAGTCATCAGACATCAGGATGGATGAAATTTTCCATTTTGAGTATATATCAGCAGTGTTTCACGCCACAACAGCATGAATGCCAAAAAAGTTATGAGATTCTAGCTGTTAGCTTTCTTGTCTGCCTGCCTGCCTGCCTACGCGCCAAGCAGTAGAACCAGCATTAACAGTGACACAGGAAGAAGCCTGATTAATGCAAACGAAGTACTCTGATCCTGCGATAATTGAGCGTCGCATCAGTGAGAATCCATCGTCGAGGCAAATTCGAGTCCGATAGGCACATTTCCGACTTTCTTAATACAATGGAAAAACCAGAGAACAAGACAACTGAACTACTTGGATAGTGGTGCAATCGACGTAACGTGTTCCTGTGTAAATTACTTAATAAAATATATTCATTTCACATTTCCCAGAATGATTCATTAAAACTGCGTTGCCGAAACCCAAAATTATTAAAATAAAATCATTCTAACCACCATAGCTCAAAATACTGAAATACTGATAAAAAATTTAGTCGAGTAACATACTACCAAATGTTACAGAAATATAACCGTTTTGAGCAAAGAAAATGGGTTAGTGAGGTTACCGAGCTTGACACCACTCTTTGGCTGCTGGCACGCTAAACCCGTTGCCATGTTTCGAACGACGTCGATTAAAGTAGCCTTGGGAATTACAGGATGAGGGAAGGGGTAAACGGTTGCCAGGCGATAGCTTCAAAAAGAGGTTTCGCAAAATAATTTAAAAAGGGGATTTTTTTATAATCTCAAGTTAATTTGCGCATGGATTGTGTAATCAGCATGGCGTCGGTAGCCCCAGAGTCAAGCAAATCGTGTGTTGCTGAACCCATTCAGTAATTTAAAGTGATTTTTGCAACATAACTGTCCTTACAAAAACGAATAAAACATTTAAAAATATCTTTAGTAACGATAGTCTATCGAAAATGGAATTTTCGGGTGGCACGAATTAGAACCCGTAAAGGGCGGTAAGTGCTAAATTCAGCAACTTTAAGTTGATCAGGAATTTGGAAAATGAAATACGAAAACATTCACAAGAAGTTGCTTTGCTATGAATGAATTCCTCAACTTTTGCTACATGAGAGTTGTCCAACAGTGTCTTCGAATGGTGAAGTAAGGCCAAAAACCGTGAAGTAAATATATTTACAAGTATATTTGTGCTGATTGCTCCATTCATTTATCGAAGACGTTAACATAGGGAATAAAAAGGCTTGACTCTCGGATTACGGGAACCAATTTCAAGAAATGTCTAGTCTTTCATAAAATAAATCTTAAAATCCTCAATTCTGAACACTTTCAATTATCACTTCCAATATCATAATTTTGTGAATTCTGCATGGATTCATATATTATTCGTCTATTTTATTACACGGAAATCTTGCTACAGTTCCACAGTCTTGAGTAGACCATTGGGATGAAAGCAAATTGTTGTGAAGATAGGAAATGTGATATTATTAAAACTGTTCTAAAAAGAAGGGATTAGGTAAAGTGGCTTCAACTTCAAGCGTTAAAGGTGAACGTGTATTAGGCAATGTTTGTCAATCCACTGTTTTCGATCCCTGAAACGCAATGTGGACTCAAAAAATTGCCCCATTTTAGGTAATTCGATAAAAAAGAGAGAAGTTCGGCACCAAAGAACAAAGTCTACTTTTTCCTTTCTGAGTAACGTGCGAGGAAATAAGGACGTTTCCATAGCTTGAAATCACAGCGTAAATGTGGCTATTATTTTCTGATTAGTCGGTTGCTGAGCAGGCGATTTCTCACCCACAAAGAAAGAGCCCATTTCCCATATTTTCCCACATTAACAAATCTAAGTAGAAAAAGAAGTTTCATGTCACAAATTTGGAAATTACCCTTGGTAAACACTTTAATTTATCAACACATTAACGCTGAGTGAGTCGCTTGTGTGAGCTGCCCGTCTTAGTTTCTCCATTATAAAGCACTTTCATTTAATTAGATAAAAAAAATTGGATCTTTTGGAAGCTCGTCACAGTCTGAACTCCCTATTGAGGCCTTTGAGACCGTGAGCGGTCTTATAAAATAATAGCTGCATAGCCTATACCACAGAAGTAGCAAATCGTGGTTTTTAACTTAGAACTGAATAAAAACTGGGATGTATTTTAGGAAGATTTTGATATTTTGTAGAACAATAATAATACACATATGCTGTTATAATGTTCGTTAATAAGAATACTTACACCGGTAAACCAAATATGACTCACCTAAACGAAAAAAACGACGACTTCAAGATATGCTTCAAAAAAATACGCAAACGATCACGACTGATCTACAGTCCAGGCAAAACAATAGATTATGTGCAGCCGCAGTGATCACTGAAACCATGCCCACTGGTCAGGCTAGATTTTTTGTCGTTTCAGCATCCTGACACTTTGCAATTACAAATTGTCAGCAAGAACCTTTACTGGCCATTCAAATGAAAAATTCATAGTTAGCTAAGTGCGACAGTGAATGACTTTATAAGTGACAACCACGCATGCATTTGTCGCTTGGAAATGTTAATTTTAGTAAAAAGAATTGTGACTTTCGAAGGATTTAAATGATTCTAAATCACATTCCTGAAATCCTTGAAAAACAGTGCTAGTCAGAAAACGTGCTTCGAACATGGAATCGAGAAAAATGACCTGAGGAAAATAAATTGTACATCGCAGAAATCTACAGGCCTCTATTAAAATGTTAGATTGGGTGATAAATACTTTTCAAGTATTTTGAAACTGTTTACCTACAGTAACAGAAATTAATGAGAATTTCCAAAGAAGTAATGGACAGAGATGGTCCGAATAGCATCACTTTAAGGTAGATATTAAGAAGATTAATCGCCTCCACGGAACCAAGAGAGGAAAAGGCAATTATTTTAGTCAGTTGAAGGTGATGAAGAAAATAGGGGGATGATTTATTTCAAGGCGAACTAGGTGTAAAATATATCATATCGTTTTGATAGGTTTGCTTCAAACCCCAGATTATGGACTTGTTTATTCTCCAAACAACGACACATTATGCGTGATTATTGCAAGAGAAAGAGATGATAAAGTGTTTGATAATGATAGACGGTATTCGTCGCGTTTGAAGTGGGAAATTGTAACAATGCAGCTTGCTGATGAAGCTTATTTTGCGAAGTGCGCAGGAAAACACTAAGTTAAGCAGGAGCAGATATTTAAGATCTACCAAAGACCCTCCTAGATGTGCTTTTTCCTGTATAAACAAACCCCAGTGACAAATCTAGCGATAAAATGCGCCTGCAAACCTTACATCGACTTGGCATTTAATGTCCGACATTAATCACAAAAGAACTCTCATTTTTGGCACGCAAGTAAAGACTGCTTTCTAAACGCTTCCGCAGGGATAATAGCGACATTCGAAAACATATTGCCAGTGACCAAGCGGGATGTTGAAGACTGGAATGAGAAGGCCTAGCTCACCTTCTGGACGCGAAAATGAGATCATTTGGGAAATATTTACGAAGGGAGATCCACATACCCCCCATACCACCACAAAAATGACATCGGTAATTTTATCACGTACCAAACTCATTAGTTAGGAAAGACTACAGCGTAAGGCACCTTATACCAGCCATCAAACCAAAACATGCATAGTTTTGTCATAACTTTCAAATGTGACGGGTTTAACTAATAGGACTCAAGGAACTCCTAAGATACTCCTCAGTAAGAGAATTTTAGAAGGAAATTCCCAGTTTTCTGTAAGTAATAGGGCACTGATATCCAGACAAGATATTATTTTCTGCATCTGACTGGGAACACTTAGCGTATTACCTATTTTACGCATTAGGATAGAGTTAAGCATACATTAGCCTTTGAGATTGTGTAGAGGAGTTATCCATTTAAATACCGATTCCTCCAACAATGTAATCAAATATCACGAAAAAAGGAGTAACACCAAGTCAGCCAATGAGTAAAATCTAATTGTAAAAAATCCAAAATTTTTTGACAATTTAATTCAAGCATATATGACAGATTGTGAATCGCTAGACGCACAAATACAGTAGTATTGAGAAGACGGGAATAAATTGGTTCAGTAAATGCAACAGATTTGGACCAAAAAAACAACACTAATGCTTTGAGAATAAAGAAGAAAGACTTGATTTCAATCCTCATTTTAGCATTAAAATATTGCAGATTAGAGAAGTTTTTCAAAATCCACGTTTCGATCGTACAAGGATTCTAAAAGCATTAACTTGACAAAGAGCCTTTCTGAAGGCCTTAAAAAGGTCAAACACCCGTTTTTCTAACAGAAAAAGATTGCAAAAAGCTCGTTTAAAAGAAGATTCAGAAAGTATACTTACATAGTCGATAGTCTGAATATGGGTATATCCTCATTCCACCAAAACCCGAATTCGTTGTGTAAGTGCAGTTGTAAAACTCAGTAGATCTTATTAATCCTGGTGGAACCCTTGAGGATTGTGGCGTTGGGAGGCTCCCAACCATGCATGCGTCCGCGGCGATTTTTCTAACATATTCACACTTTAGAACCGGCCTTGATTCACGCGAAGCGACAGAATTATACACAGAAATGGGTTGACGTTCAGAGACATTATTTTTATGATTCTGAATGCACTGCATAGTGAAGCCATGAATAATCGTATTATTGTTTAGTTAAGACCACAGTTAATGTCCAAACAAAACTGCCGAAGCCACCAACCAAACCCAGACGCCCGCCTTGAAAGGGGACAACTAAGCCTTTCACGAAAGGTTAAATTAGTTAAGTTAAACGAAATGAATTTCATGTATATTCATTGTGACTAATTTTGGTACACAACAGGATTAAAGTCATTCTTGAGTAATGAAAAGGTAATGTTTTTTTAATTTGGGTAATGCGTGCATCTGACAACTCGTGTGAGAATATGGAATAAATACTGAAGTAAAAAACAGACCATGCGAAATCTTTTAGTGTACTCTGCGGAGCCTAATAAGAACTGGAAAATTATATGCTGAATAAGTGTATTTGTAGTTCTTTTAAACTCGAGCTATGGGCACTGCCCAGACCCTGATTTTAAGCTCCGGAGCTCCACTTGATGGCGTGCAAGCAAAAGTAGTGCTGCAGAATATCTATTTCGGATGTGTGGGAGGCTGAAGATCTTCAAACTTCTTTGTAGACTCATACTACATAAGGGAAATACATATTTGCGAAACTTGGAAGGTCGACGCATTTAAGGAGCTAAAATTAGCTCAAACTCGTGTTCAATCTTTTTATGCTCTGCGTAGTGGTTCCATCCAGTTTTTTGATATATTCCAACACCGAAACTTATTGCGTAAAAATAAACAAGTGCGTTAGTTTTGAAATACTGAGGGTTTTTTGCTTTATTTATTTGTAGCTATTTTTCATTGCCATTTACCACTTATTGGCTTAGGCGACCTAGTATCAATGGATAAGTCAAATATCTTTCTCACGTCTTGTTCAATTAAAGTTATGTATGAACTGAACTTTATTTTAGCTTCCTCTGCTATCCCGGGCCCTCTGTAGTCCCAAAATCCTTCACTATAATGCTGAGCGACTTATCACTAACGGGTGGAAGGGTTGGGAGGCTACAGGCATTGCTGGACGTCCGGAAGTACGATTGTGGAGAACCAGAGTCCCATAAACTGAATCATGAATTTAGTATAATAACACGTTACAAACTTATTATGTCTATTATACAATCAGCATTTTCATTCCTTTAGCAGCATAAACTCGTATTGGCCGAGTGGGTTGTATTTCAGAAAGAAATGGTGTGTGATAAAAGTGCACATGGACACGGAAAAGTAAAGCGATAATTTTTTAATGGACGGTAAAAAGGGCCATATGGTGTTTAAGTAATGAAGACATATGGAAATTCCGCATTAGTGGCAAAATAAAAGCCGCTGGCAAGATCCGTCAGTTTTGCTACTTCGCTTATGTTTCAAATAAAATGGAAATATTATTGTCAAAGCCGTTAACAGCGTATGAAATATGCTGAATTAGTTACTCTATTAAAGGCTAACGCACTCCATTAAGGAAAGTATGTATCTGAAGTGTGGACTTACATCCCGCAGTTATAAATTTGCTAGCACACTTTTTAATAACTGCATCAAAATTGGCCAACGCTTAGATTTTTGTGCTTTTCATAACTGGTGGAAATGAAATGGTTAGAGAGCCACATTCAAGGTGAAAGTAAGCCTTTACTTGACCAAATTTTCCTAAGTTTGCAGTGACGTTTCTCTGATGTTCAGCCGTGAGTACGTAGATAAATGAATGAGAACTTTATGCACGCAACTGATGTAATAATATACTGCAGCACTTCAGACATTTCTTAAGAGGGAAGAAATTAGTACTGGGACAGGTTATGTATTGCCGACGTACGGAAGGGTTGGGGAACTATTGACATGGTGTGGAGACCATTCCACCTAGCAGAAGTACAAATGCAAAACACAAGATGGCCGGGGTACCAAAATCAAGAGTTAAACAAATGATTAAAGAATTACATAGCCCCCTCCTTTTAAGCGTCATCCTTAGCGCTCCACTTGGTCATCCCCCCGCATCAGCCAACATAATATGGTTAGTGCTGTAAGAAAAAACTCACAAGTCAACCGCACCACTCATTAACTTTTCGTGCAACTGAGGAGGTATCTGACGGCAACGTCACTGATCCCTCTTACTATTCTAGTGGATCTGGCGTTTCATCCCTTTTAAGAGCTGTATTGGGAAAAGGGAAACGTGATGTTTACCACGCGTGCCCGTAGCCACCCGTGGAAGCACTGGCCCAAAAGTAGAGCCATGTAACAATGAGAGGGGTTAAAAATAGTTTCGTGGGAGTAAGGTTTCGCGTCTGCTCCTCCTTGCCACATCGTTCTCATTTAAGTGCTGCCCAGCCAAATCTATCTTGGTTCTATCCAGCTCGCACAAAGATGAAGGTGACACCGCGTGTCCCCTTCATCGACATCTCCATGTAAGTACCTTGGACAGCTCCGTAACGAGCTTTTAAGATGGCTTACGGCTCGCATCACTCCAGTTATTACTAGCATTTCTAAAGAATACAGGACTGGGGTAGTTGCAGAAGGTAGACGTCACTTTCACCCCCTTTGTTAGGAGCCGTCACAGATTTCACCATCCGCAACACATACATTTCTTCCGCCTCGCTAAAGGTAATAGTGCCTTATGCTTGAGTTCGCTTGCGACGCCAACTGATGCAGCTCCCGAAGGCTATTTTGAAGGCAAGAGAAGTCACAATACTACAAAAATATGAATTGCCAGCACAGAGAGGGGGCGAGCGGCTACTGGCATGGCCCGAAGGGGGCCATGCAGCCCAGTGGAAGTACAAAACAGAGCCTTAATTGCCCACAAAACTAAAAGGAGGAGTTAAACAAATAATTAAAGCATTACAATGCCACATCTAAAGTAAATGAATCGAAGGGCTTACATATCATTTATGTAGGATGTGTAGAGTTGTTATCTTGCCCGCTGTGCTAACTTAAATTGTCCGCCTCTTCCGCTAATAATTGTTGCGTATTTGGCATAATAGCAGATTAAGTGTTTTAAATCACGTTTCGTTTAAAAGCCATTGAAACAGAAATGAATCAGTATTGCTAACAGCTTGAATAAATGAGTTATCTGGTTTATAAAAATAACTAAGAAGCATTTTTAAGTTGGAAGCAGACCAGTCTCTTATTTTCACATGTAAACACAATCCCTATAAAATATTAGCAGAATTTGATGAATTTCGGTAACTCGGTAATCGTTCCATTGCTTACTGGCCTAGATACTAAACATGCATTTTTATTTTGGATTTGAAAGTTTGGTGGAAATTTGTGCGCATTTATCTCGAACTCACTAAGAGTACAGTGAGATCGCCACCCAAGTCGACATCTTTCTATAAAAATGGTTCCGTTTACTCCATTGCTAAATACACTTTTTGGGGTTTATACCATGAGTAACTCACCTTTTTCACTCCTACCAAACCTCTTTAGACTCTGCATGGAAAGTTGTTGCCCTGCTGCTGATCACAAGCGCGGTCGTGCAGGACACAACGGGGTGCTCCACAGTGGATGTTTGCACGTAAGCTGACTGGTCGGTCAGTGTCCCGCCCTGTCTGCCATTCTATCAGCCAAACTTATTCTAAATCATTTTTTGCTTCTCTAATTCAGTCGATCCTCGTCAAATTGTAAATGCATTTAGAAAATGCTTTAAAGGTGACTATTGGGTTTGTCGGAATGTTATATCATTTTAAAGCACTTTGACAGCTAAATCTGGATCGTTTCCACTGTCTTCTTATCTTTAGATCAATCGACAAATTTTGTCGTGGAGAGATGGTGAAATCAAAGCTGCTCAACTCAAAAGTCTGTACCTGTATTTACGAGAAGTGCAAAACTTCGCCTTGTCGTGTTGGGAAGGACTGCAGGGATTCATTTAAGCAGTACTACCTTCAGTGCAAACAGTGAGCCCAAAACGCCTTGCGTTTGGGGACTTGGCCTTCGCATTCCTTACATTAATGGGATTTATCTCTCCAAACTTTGAGACTAAATTTTAAGGTTATGGGTATCTTGAAGTAGAATAATAACCTTTAAAAATGGTCCTTGTATAGTAAACGTAGAGGGCTTTTGAATGCAATACAACGTCTGCTATGTTAAAGCATCCTTTTTATTTGATAAAAAGGTGGATATAATAACGTTTGGCTCCTAGAACATCAGAAAGCAAGCGCTTGTTCATCACACGTTTAAATCATAAGAAGTCTTCAATTAATGAATGGATGCTGTCACCTCGTTGATGATTGTGCTTTAGTATTACATTAGATCTAATTAAGTAAAAGGGTTTATGGGAAATTCAAAACTACTTTTAAGATTGAATCACCAATTTAAGTGGGATATGAGTTATGCAGTAGCTGTGATGTCGAATCTCAGTGAGGAAACAGGCTTCAAAGTGTTGGCTGTCGAATAAGCGGTTTATTCAATTTTACTAAGATTTTGTAAGAAATCCCGTTATAAAGGGGACATATCAGTACAGCTATAAGTGGTTCAACTTATTCTCGAAGGATTATAGCATGGGGCTTAGAGTATTGTGTATCGCCAAGTGGTACACTGAATCCTGAGGGCCATCCATAGCCAGGGAAGTGAGAACAGAATTTTTTGAAGAGGGATCAGGTCAATTTTTAAATGACGTCTTCCACAGGATACTTATGTCGGGTAGAAAAGCTCTTTGTATTCATATTCACATTCGGTACATTCACTCAGTTAACGGGAAAGCACACACTGATCTCCCTTCTGACCTTTTCTGTCTAACGATATATCAAAGCTCTTGTTATTATTATTAGTGCGACCGTTCCATTCCTTTGAAACTCTGTGTGCTACAAATTAATCAGCTGCAACGAATAAAGGTTAGAAGGCCTATTCCGATAGTCGTGTTTCACCTCTAGGTCACCAAGCACAAATTGTTTCAGGTTTGTGGGGATCTGCGAATATGAGGAAGATCTTCTGACAAAAGTGGTCAGCGTTTTGGATACCAATATTTTTTTGGCTGGGTCTCAGAAATGTTCCCACTCAAATTTATAGTTTCACAAAAACTACTCCGATTGAATGCCGACGTAGTACTATCTTCATCTTCATTGGTTCCGCCTTTCCAGCAAAACAGGCAGAAGGCAGTGCGTGGTAAGAAATTTTCATTAATAAATATTAGTTTACTCAAGCTCAAACTCGAATACTTAGTGGTTTTAAGTGAAAATTATTGGAGAATGGCAGAGTATAGCAAATACCCGCGGTAATTACTGCTAGTTGAGGTAATACTTCCAGCAGATATTCGAAATTCAAGGAATGACAACTCCTTTAGTTCTAAAGGATTACACAGTGTAGACCATCAAACCATTTGCTTAGACGGAGTCGTAGCAACTTTGCTACAATTTATCTTACTATTTCTATGCAGTACTGAGAAGAAAATTCCCGGCTTTATGTACCGATATTAGTACACACGATTTTACTATACTACTTACGACTACAATGAGCAAGTTTTGACGTCCACAGTTGTGAGATTAAAACTACCGATTTCGGAGCGAAATTGCAGAACATGTCTAAATAGATTTTTGATGGTTGGGCCTTTGACTGACACTTATCTGAAATTGAAACGCAAGCAAATGAAACATGTTTAGAGTTCCGACACCTCCGTCCCCACAGGTTGCTGCTCCGCCTTGCAGCATGACCTTCAAGTCAAACCGGAAGCCTCCAGGCTTTTGCGTACGTCAATACTATGCGTTATTTCACACTACTTTGGCTCATTACGATTTTGGAGAAAACTCAGAGTGCTGCATTGGTGGCAGCGGCAAGCGAATTCTATCCAAAAGCACACACGTCTTGAGTTCTATGGCTAAATACTATACCTTAGTGGGATCGAAGAAGGGCATCCGCCACTGATGGGTGAATCTGTGAAGACTCCCAATGGAAGGATTAAAAATGACATCTGCCTTTGAGAGTTACTTCAGTGCCCTGTTCTGCAAGAATACTAATAACAAGTTAAGCCACATCAGACTAGAAACAATTGTTAAGAATCATCATAGAGCTGTCCAAAGCACGTATAGGAAGATATTGGTTAAGTGAACCAGCAACACCCCCACATCTCTGCTGGCTGAATGGAACCAAGAGTGGTAGGCTGTCCGGCAACACTGAAGTGAGAACAAAGTAACAAGAAGAAGCCGATGCCAAGCCATATCCCCGTGAAAATATTTTTAATGGCTCCGCATTTAGACCATTTTCCTTGCGATTGGGGAAAGGTATACTAGTTACCCCCGCCATGAAACATCGTACGGTCTTGGGAGGAGCGAAGGCAGTGCATTCGTCCCTCCCCGGTACACGTCACAAATTCAAAGAAATTTCGGGCGGAGTCGAAACAGTGAGATGTACCAGTAACGTTGGAATCAAATGCTTTCTCCTGCGCAAGAAAATTGAGCAACTTTTGTTGCCGATTTGTGGTGGCTTATAAAGCACCGATTAGTTGTTCGAAGCTGGATGCTGCCGGAGCATGGTCGGCGACGGATTCCTCATTGGAGCGCCGAACCCTTGCTTAGTAGGATATCAATCCTCCCAATGATCCACCTGAGGCAAGCGTGGAGCAATACAGTTTATAGATCTACCACATGCCTATCAAGGAATGCGATTTTTACTTTCCCAAGGGGGGTGGTTGAAACTACCTTGTTTCATGTCTAATGATCGCTGTCTGCATTCCCTCTTCTGTCCACTTTGCGATTTTGTTAGAATTTCAAAGCAATTTAATGTCCCTCCTGTCATCTAAATAGGATGTATTGTCCATTTGGTCATTAACTAAAAAGGGGGCAGCAATGTTGGTGGCGAAGCATAAAATAAACTTTTGGTAGAAGTGGTTGTGGCTTGTAGGTCCGGCGCAAGGCTTTGCCATATGTGCCGTCTTTGGCCGGATTTACAGCCTGCACACCTGCTCTCAAATATTTACGTTCGGCAGCCCGACTACTCGTGATGTACACAAGTGGTAAGCAGTTAACAGTACCGAACACGAGGAATTATTGTGATCATTTTCATAACGTAAACGGACTTGGCCACCGAAGCCAGTAGAAACAGCATGCCTTTATTGGACCATCGAGGCCACATGCACGGACACGCAGGTAGAGGGAAATCAAGGTACTCATTTACGTCGGGTTCTTGCGTTCATTTTGTTACTCATGGAACTAATGGCATTTTACGGTTTCCCATAAATCTTATTTGAAATGTAATCAGGACTTCTGATTTAATAAGATTTCCTTCAAACTATGGTAAAATCACTCCAAATTATGGCAACTATTTGCTTGTGTGACTTACTCAGTTAGGCAGTCACCTCAGGCAAGGGCGGAGTTCAGAGACTCTCAACAGAAGAAAAACAATCAAACATCAAAAACAGGTTCATCGATGGAAGCCAGTTGCATTTGTACTTGCATGGACCGTTCCGACTGACGCCGATTGCGTTCAAATTCTTCATCCTTCAGCTGTCGAATGGCATCTACCTCCGGCTCAGCAAACTGTTCATCTGCCCCAGGATCGTTATCCTGCGCCGATGTTGAAATCGTCACCTCAAATGCCGAATAAACCACACATTTAAAATCCCATCAAGTGACTGGGGATTTTAACGGAATGAACCAGCAGAATGATTTTAGCAGTATGAAATAGAAGACCTCCAGTGAATTCAAAGTCTATTTTAGGATTAGCTAGCGTACTACCTAGTATTGTTGCACAGTAATTAAGCCTGAAAGATTATAAGCAATTCCATTTATCATGAATTGCTTAAATAGTAAAGTTTAAGCAAACAAACCTGCGGAAACCGTTTGATAAAAGCCTTTTCCCATAGTTGAAACGGTGTGCATTCATCACCAAGTTTCAAATACGACTCGGATTGAGGAAGACCTAGTCAACCGAAATGCACAGGAACTCATTTACTTTGTAAATTAGACACATGGAAATAAATAAGAGCACCAAAGAAAAATTAACACGTAATCACATAAAAGGTACAGAACTGGTCAGGATGTGCCGGGTGAAAACCAGAAGTCGATCATCGTAAAAGTTACTATTCAGAAAGGAAAAAAAATTGAAACTATACCGATCGAATCAAATGAGTCCTCGCCAGGAAGAATGTGGAGAGGTCCACCATCGAGAGTGGGAGGAGTAATTGGCATTGACGTATCAAAAGCCAAGTAATTTAGATAATTTCGGATTTTCTTCGTCATAGAAGTATCAACCGCGTTTGTAAACTATTAGTGAGACGCTGTAACGGAACCTACGAAGAGGGCCGCACCATAAGAGTGAGCAACAAATCTCAGCAATTTAGTGATTATATCTTGACTGTCCATCTTTAATTTCTGGAAGAATGTCTGTTTAAAGCAAACCTACGAGAAACATGTCGTATTTGCTACCGATTATTGTGAGAGGAACTGGGAAAACGGTCATTAAACCACGATCTGGGTGGTTGGCATTTATTTTTTGCCATGTGTGGTTGCTCTTCCCTTTTCGTGAATCCCTATTAACTTGAGAACGGCTCTGTTCCAGCGCAGCACTAATACTCGATTCTAAGGAAATAAAATGAGTCAAGTGGGTCCAAAATTCGGTAGGTTTCGACAGGTCTAAAACGATTACAATGCGCAATTTCCTATTTGTAAAACGCTCACTTAACGTACTCCACTGAGTCTTTCGTAATAATGGCGTCAAGTAAATCTGAAAATTTCACACCTCCACCCAGTTCCCATAAATGCACAACGGTCTTTGGGAAGCACGGGCCACGGTTGCGACGGCAAAAATTAAATTCCAGTGCCAAAGTTTTTCTTGGCGCTTCATTCTTTTCAAGGAAGTTGTTAATTATGGTCGATTTGCCCTATATATGAATTCAAATGGCATAGCTTATCAACTAACGCTACTCTCACATCCGACAAAGACTAGCGAGGATGGAGTGGGCTGTGCTGATCCTACGAAATCACATAACACACACTACACTACCGGCTTTAAGACGCGATTGTTTAATCGCAAGATCCCACAGCGACTGAGCCATTTTGAAATCATCAAAGTAGCAACCACTCTTATGTTTACATGAAGGACTTTAACAAACCAGGTATTCCCGATAATTTAAACTACAATTAAACGATGGAGCGCTTACCTGTCCATTAACCTTTAATTTGGCGGTGTCTAAAAATTTATCGAATTGTTCTGCATGGTTCTTGCGTTGATACAACAGAAACAAACACTAGGCTCAGTACTAGTAAAAGTGAGATAAAGACTTGAAAAATAAGGGCAAAATGTACTGCCAACCATAAGGTGTGAAACAACTGTGCTCATCAGTTCTACCAGCTGCCAAACTTTATTGTAAGGTATTTTGATTCTCAAAATAACAACTATGCGAAAGCATACGCGAAACCTCGCCAGAACGCCACCCTTTGAACATCATATATATGCAAAAACAACGACTTGGGTAACTGTTGTGTTTGGGATTATTAGACCCGGCATTTGAATTATGCAACGCAATTAAAGCACTTCAACGTATTGAAAACTAGATGCCTTTTCCCGCCCATTTCATCCGTTTTTGAGGAAGTGAAAATGCGTATAATTTACTGGACAAAAAGCCGATTGAAATTCTCATCAATCGTACTGGATTCTCGTGCGTTTTATAAAGCAAAAACATAATTGACTATGGGCGTAGAAGATCACTCGTTTGTCTCCTCTTCTCCAGCCTTCATGCCCTTTGATCGAAGGGGCCGACTGAATTGGAACATGCATATTAGAGATTAGCGACATAGGGGGAGCCAACTGTACTCGACAACCTGTCACCTCCCTAGAAGTTATAGTTGAGTAACGAAAGTATTACAAGGGATTTCTCAAATTTTTCAGTTATTAGCAAGATATGTAGTAAAATCGGCGCATTCAGTCGCAGATTGCATTTGCGCAACAAGCATTATTAGTTAAGAGCAAATCCTGGTTTTTTGCTAAAACACATTACTGATTGACCGAATGGCAGTTTTCACATTTGCTCGCTATTTTTCGAAGTTATTCCAACACATTTCCTTTGCATTACTTTCCAGTCAATTTAGGTAAAAATGGTCGCAAATGCTCGTGCAGCATTAAAAAAAATTCTGTAAACTGCCAATTAAATTTGTTGAACTTGATTCAAATTTACATCATTCTCTAGTTTGGTATCATTTATATTTCAGTGATCTATACACCCTAAACTCTTACATCCCATTTTGCTATTATAAGCTCTTTGTTAATATTAAACTCACACTTCAAAATTCACGGTTCTTGATTGGGAATTGAAAATATCCCTTTGTTAATTTGCACTAGTTTGTGGCCTTTTTGATGCTCACAAACTCGTGCTTTTTATGAAGGATGAGTCTGCCTTCCGTTGCTCCTTGGAACGCTTTTCACAGGCATGCCTCGTTGGCTCTTAAGTTCGTCCGGAATTATACACGAATTACCGCACAGGAAATAAACCCTAATATGAGAAAACTGGAATATGCCATTAGAGGTCCTATTGTCCAACGTGCCATTGAAATCGAAAAGGGTCTTCTAAATGTATGGCCCTTTCTACTCCCTATTTGCTTAAATTCATATTAAGGGTGAAAAAAAGCCATTTGATAGTATCATCAGGTGCAATATCGGAGACTGTCATTTTGCTGGTCAGACGCCGATATCCTTCATACGCCAAGTTATCGCCGTCGCTTGCGACACGCATCTCATGGATTCGTCGGTTATTCCCGATGATGCCAAGGAACGAGCCTTGCGTTTTCTTAGAAGTGTAGGTGGCAGTGTGGGTAGGTTCGCCGTCACTCATTCAGGCTATCAGTTCATTTTATTCGAATATCGTTAGAGGTATGTCATTGAGATTCTACTTCGGTATTTAGGTGCCTACAGTCAATCCACGGGAGTTGAATTAGTGCGCGAGGACATTGCAGCGTACATTGAGCAGCGCGACGGAATTCCCTCGTCTCCAGAGAATATCTTTTTAGCTACTGGTGCCTCAGAAGCCGTTAAGGTGTTATCATTTTTCTGTTCCATTTCATTTTACACGGCTCCTGAGATTGCTAATAGTCAATTGCTTATGCGTGATTCTAAGGTAGACATTCAGTTTGGTATGTGCACATTAGCAATTCTTTTGCGAGATTTTAGTAGCATTTCCTTGAAAGTATGATTGTTTTGCTGAGGTGCATCCCTGACCACTTTTAGTTAGTCTTTGCCAACGTTATTGCATGCAATATTTATTCAATATCTTAATTAATGTTGCAGTTCTCTGCACTTAATTTTAAGGACCCGTACTCCGATTATACGAATAGTCAACTTGTAGTTTACTTCAAAAAATTTTCACTGGGAGCATTACTTATAGTCCATAACCTAGTTTAATGGTTCATTTACATTATCCGTCTTGAGCACTTACTAAAACGGTGTCGCTTTGGCTGCTTCTTTCTTCCGCCAAATAATTAGTCATTCACTACTTCAACCTCCACTTGTGTTGTCCACCATGTGCCATGTGTTGTTTCAGCAACTTCGTCTAAATTAACTCCCCACACACTTTTTCTCTCGTTTCTGTCGCTGACCTTAGTTTATCCTCGGGCTGCTGGCCACTACAAAGGAAGGCTCGCAGCGCGCCGGAGTCATGATCCCCATCCCTCAGTACCCCCTCTACTCCGCCACACTGAGCGAGTTCAACAACTACCAGGTAGGCGCTCAACCTCTCGCCTCCACTGAACATCCCTTCAAAGTATGTTTTCCGATAATCGATAAGCCGATAATCCCTTGGGGATGTGATTTTGGGAAACCAATTTATAATCACTGTGTGCCTGTAGGTCAATATGCGCATTCATTTTCTCAAACAGCAGTTCGTTTTTCACTCCATTTAATTTTTTCCCAAAACCGGTTTCCACTATTTGATGCAAATGGTTTAATTCTATTTTCATTTTCTGAGACAAGCCATCAAAAGTCTTGAAGCTGAATGTTTTGTTAGGGATTTACCGAATGCAAACTTTCCATAGCATCACTGAATTTTAGAAATGTCTTTTCGGGGTAAGGATGGGGTTTTTTGTAGGTGCTATGTACAAATCACTCCATGAAATGCACTGTCCAATATATGCATGTGCGGAAGCCTTATATTTTAGTCAAATTTTTCGTCCCTAACATTGCATTCCCGGTTACGGAAGATGGCACACTCAGAGGAAACAATGCCCCAGTCTAAAGGCCAGCCTTTAAACAGTTAAACTTTTTTCACTAATTACGATAATGAAGAATTGGTTTCCTTCATTATTAAAGTAGATTGTTATATGTTTCTATTTAAATACACAAACAACTACTTAGGAAGAGAATACTCCAATATATGCGGGTTAAATTCTGCAAATTAGTACTAGGGAGGCACTATCACCGTTTATCTTCGCCTCCCTTCTTCGTGTGGCTGTGTCGGCCATTTGGTTCGGTTGTTTACTATCCGCAAATTGGCCATCAACTATTAGTGTTGGTTCTGGAACCATGTCACTTGCGCACTCACCACTTTTCGATCTTGTTTTCATCTTTATCACAACGTCAAAGAGTTGCTTCCGGGGTGTTTTCGTTGCAGCTGACCGAATAGGATGGTCTTTTTATCAAATGAATGCGCAAACCATCTTGAGATGAAGCGAATCAACCATTGGTTTTTTGGCATTTTGTCACAAACACTAGTTTAAACTCAAACTATCTGGTAAAAGTTCAGATTTGTAATGTTTCCTACCTCAAGATTATGAAATGTCACTGCGGATTTCTCGAGGTGAGTCGTGAGTACACTCGATCTAGGTATTTGGTCATGTGACACGTTTTTAGGAATGTTTTTTTTTCGTGCATGGAAGTGGGAAATTTTATAGCAGAATTTGTGGTTTTCTCAACATCCGTCTGTCTAGTTTTGGGCTTGTTTGTAGATTGAATCCACTGCACCCTCGGAAAGTGGGCTGCGTGTGGAGCAAAGCTCTGGATCGAAAATTACTTCCTTTTGGAAGCGTAAACTTTTTCTTGCTTGCAGGCTGCTCCAGTCTACTATAAACGCCTCGCCGAGCGCAAATAACGTTGTTTCTTTTCAGTTCATTTGCGTTTGTGCAGAATTTTGTGCGCTTTGGGTTCTCAGCGGGTTTGACTACGGAACGATGGGAGTCAAAATTGGAGGTTTGCCTCCAGATTGCACTTTCGGGGGTTGATTAATTACGGCCCATATGATCTCTCTTTATTTCATCCATTTATGATTCATTGCTAACGTGAGAAAGCTGACTGAGTCATCCACTGACTCAAGGTTAGCAGGAGGTGTAATCATTCTCATCGTGAGAGACAATCTATTTACGGGCTAAGGCATTTGCCGCATTGGTTCCAGCCATCCTCAAGATACAGTCATAAGTTTGCGCTACCATGCAGTCACAATAACTGAGCTGCTTTTTCACCTCGAACGGAGTTTTTTTTGATATCAACTTGGTTTCGATTCCATTTCGTACCCAAAGTAGTATCTCCAAAACGACACCATTTGATCTTCAAAATATTTCGCCTGTCATATTTAAGTAGATCATTTTATCCACGTGTATCTACTTCGTCATAAGATTTGTAGTTTGCAGCAGAATCTACCAGCAGAAGACCTTCGGGTTTGAAGACTTCTGCTGCGGCATGAAATTGCGGCTTACCCGGCCAATGCAGTGGAATGCGCCTTGTGCCTAATCTCTGTCGTTTCCGTTTATCCGACTGGTACCATAGCGTTGCGTAGCAGCGCAGTTAAACCGATAAACACCACCGTACTGTGTGCGCTTCTGTTTGTGCATTAATTCCCCAGTGGTGTGAATTGGCGGTACCTTCAAACCGAGAATTACAATGTTAATAATGGCTAAGTTATTTTTTCTTTGGTAGTTTGATTTTTATTCATACCAGCATTAATTTCCGGGAATTTCACCATTTTCTCAAGCTTTTTTTCTTGACTTTTCACTTTGGATGCCGACAAATACTCTTTTTCAACTTATCACTCCGTAAACGAGGATAACGTCATTAATGAGGGTGGCATATAAGCACAATCGTTTCAGCATTATACTCAAATGTATCATTTCCCAGTTTCTTGATTTCCAACATTGTCTGTGATTTTTGCATCTGTACATGATCTCTCACCCATGAGTTGATTGAAGCGGTTTTTAAACCGATGCGTACAGACCACCTCCCGACTGCAATCTTTCTACTACCCTCCAATGCTGTCCCATGGCTCAAGGCGACCCGTTATTTTTGAGAATTCACTTTAGATGTGTCCAGTTTACGCATTTTAAAGTTGTGCGTCTGCATGAAGTCCCTTTGTGTGATTGGATTTCTACCTTAAATGGGGCCACGGATTTAACCCTAGAATACGTGATTGAAACCGGTTTCGGTCGTCTCTGTCTCCTTTAGGTTTTTCTATGTCTATTGGTGATCTCACAATAAGAGCTGAAGTAGATGAATTTTTTTACTCCATGATGTCTGTGATAGAAACGGAGTGCTACCTTTGATTACGTAATTTAGATCCACAGGACCGTTTTAAAATATCTTCAATGATGTGTAAGGTCTATTTTGTCTCCATTTCTTCCTCACTAAAGGTGTACTTTAAGAGACCCGAGTATCAAGATACAATGTAGTACAATGGAGTGGAGTGTGCATCTGGGCAGATCCTACAACTGAATTTGCTCCGAGGCTCCCTACCGGCTGTACAGCCTTGGCCCAACCAATATATAGTTGGTGTCCAAAAGCATGGCCAGTAAACTTATTCCCACCTGGTTTCCTCCCCTGTTCTTTGTCCCATGGCCGAGAAAGCCTATCAAAAGGGTGGGTGTGTTCTTTCATCTCGAGTTTCGTCCATTGGCCTCCTCACAATAGCATTTGTTCATTTTGCTTCTAGTACATTTGGTTGGAAGGTGTTGCGTTTAACCATATATTAAACACTACTGAAAGCTAAACGCAAATTAGAGCGATACTCCATAGCGCAGAAACGGTGTTTTTGTTTCTATCACCTGGTGTTGTTCATAATTTTATAGGGCATTTCAATGTTTTTTGGGCTGTTGTGCTTGGAGTCTTTCCACCTTACTGTACACCATTCCCCTTGAAATTAGTTGCAGTTTTTTATTTATGCCTTCGAGAAGCTTTTGATCGTACGTAGTTAGCAGATTTTAATGATAGTTTTAGGCTATTAGTTTATTTTCCCTGCATTTTTCCCGTCTATCCTCATTGCTATGCATCACGAAAGTTGAGTTGGCATGAGCACCACACCTTGTTTGCCTTCTCAAAGATCGAAAATCCATAAGACGCCATCTTTGTCTTCAAACCAATGGAGCTTAAGGGCAGTTCGTGTCAAGTCCCCACCGGACGTTTTTGCAGCTCTGATGAGGGAGTTATTTTCCGCTGAACTGTATTTTTAACCATGAATTAAATAAAAAAATCAGGGAAACTGAGTCGGGATAGCACGACTCGATACCTTTTTTTGCGGTACCACGAAAAGCTAATGATATCAATCATGCGACCAATACGATATCCCTAAAGTTTTCGGCTTTTCCCATTGTTATGCGTTGTATTCATTGACACTTGATTTGTGTAAAACATACTTCGCTATTTCGCAAATATCCTAATTTCAAGGTAATTGATGCGATATGTGAAATTATTCCCTTAGTCTACGGTAAGCTGTGTCCACTTGGTGGCAAAAATCGGTTCAGGCAAGTTGTTCTGGAAACCACGATTACTTTGGCCTTTTCTAATGTTAAAATTCGATGATGATAATGATACGGGTTAATTTATTTTTGAGGATGTTTAAAACAAAACGGCGGTTACAACTGGGGCCCAGCTTTAGAAGAAGCTGTCTTGACAATCAAAGCCGAGAATTGGATGATTTGCAGCGTTTGTAGTATTGAAGCATTTAAGCGGGGAATGGACCGTGTTTTTCTGCTTGTGGAGTATTCATTCGAAATAGCAATTATTTCTTCCTTCCATTGGGCATTGTTTACGAAGTGTTTCAAAACCAATCGTCTGACTGGATGGAATGATTTGTCAGAATGAAACCGAAACGTCCAGGATTTGAAAGTCGGAAATGCTCTCCCTGTAGTCAACGGTCAAGTGGGTAATGCCCCCTCTCTTGTTCTGGTTCAGCTGATTTTGTTAGTTGTCTTGACTGCTTACGCTTTTGGAAGGGTCAATCAGTTCATTAAGTAACCTAAATACTATTTACTGGTAGAAGCTGTCTCTGGTTGTCTAAAATATTCCAACTTTTAAATAGAGATTTATCAAATAACAGTGGGGTGAAGCGTACTTGAGCTTGTAAAACTACTTAACATTGTGAAAACCTACAAATATAAAGAAATGGACATTGTAAAAGACTTCACCAAAATACGATTTCTTAGTGGTTAAAATATCTCAGTGCTCCTAGCAGTCTCAGTAGGGTGTCTCGTATGTCTTCGTTTGGATGTTCTTAGTTTCGGATAAAATAAGTTGGCAATGGGACAAAATATTGTCATAAGTTCTCTTGTTAAAATATATGCCTTTAACGTCTAAAGGTTTGCATCAAATAGAGCTTATAGATGGCTAAACTGTTTAGAAAGCCTTGATAGAATGCCGGCAGTGGTGAAATGTTACCACTCACTGCGACATTTACCACCGCAAAGACACTTATTGGTGGCTGGTTGACTGATCTGATATACTGGCCTAGAATGTGTATCCTCGCAGATTGGATACTACCTGGAGGAGGAGAGCGGCTGGAGCCTGCGGGAGGAGGAGTTGGAGGCGCGGCTGGAGGCGGCGAAAGCGCACTGCAAGCCGCGAGTGCTGGTGGTGATCAACCCGGGTAATCCTACCGGTCAGGTGCTCACCCACGACAATATCGCCGCAGTCCTGCGTTTCGCACACCGCAACAACCTTCTCGTCCTTGCTGACGAGGTCTATCAGCACAATATTTACGCGCCTGACCGGCGCTTCCACTCTTTCAAACGTGTCCTCCACGAACTTGGTGGCAACATCGCCAACGAAGTCCAACTCACCAGCATGATGTCAGCCAGCAAAGGATTCATGGGAGAGTACGTCTTTTTTAATCCTTCCCTTCTCTTTCCGTCTCTGACTCGAGCTTTTAAGAGGCAAATCTCCTTTACCATTATGTTGCACGTTTGAAGTCCCACTTCCTCTCATCTATTCCTGTGGTTCCATTTTAAAGTACAGGTTATGCTTTGTCATTTGCGACAATTGAGGCATCTCCACTATGCCTAATTTCCTGATTCATCAGTAAAAAATGAAGTTTGTTGACCTTATTGATTTGGAATTCTAATCCATGAAAGCTAACGTTCTTCCCTCTTTGTCCTTTTCCAACTCTTTTTACGCCTTTGTCTTCGATTGGCTGATGCCTTCGCCCGGCTCTTGTAATGTAAATTATTCGCGAAGTCCTGACTGGGTCATTTCTCTCAAAATTTTCCTAATCTCTTGTTTTGTCTGCCTTTAGACACCTAAAAGCCCATTTTCCTTCGCCACTTTCGACGGCTTCACTCCAATATAGACGGGTTTGGTATTTTTCTACTAGTTCTTTCTTTTTACCTATTTTAACATTCTGGTTGCCTTGATCCCTCGTACTACAAGCATATGCCTTGGAGAAAACTTTTCTCTAAATAACTTCATCCTAAAGATTTTTATTTTAATTCGGTTTGTTGCAGTGGGGGTGTTGCTTTGTTCTCGTTTGATGTCCAGTTGTAGGATTTAAGGTAATTCCCTTTTGGGTATCTTCTTATTGGCTACCTGGAGTTCGTTCAGTCTGCTTCGAATTGCTCTAAACTCTTTTTTATCCATCTACAAGCATCGGAATTTTTAATTCAAATTCAATCAATCTCTAAAAGCGTACATTTTGCGAGTATTACCTCTAGTACCTTATCTGGTCATGTGAACTCCCGTTAATTATACTTTAGAGGACATTACAATCATCCTCATCCATCAGAGGATCAAAATCCTCTGAATAATCACTTCCAATGTGAACTTTGGCAGTTTCATGGGGAGCGACGACCCCGGCGATTGCTACGACCCCAAAAAAATTGGAAGAACAATGATCTATCCGATAGACAAGAATGATCAGATTACCACTCATTTTTCAAGCACTCTCTGATCCTTGTTAAGAATCAAGTTTATAATATTTAGTGGACCTTTCCAACTCCATTATCCGTCGCTAATTCACCCCTTTTTTCAACGATATTACCTTTCAATTATTCTGCCTAATTACTACGTTTATCTCAAAACCCATTACCTTTTTTCGTCGTTTATTTTTCGAGATATTTCGGTTTTTGACTGTTCTTGGTATTGCAGTTACGATTATTAAACAAATCGTTTAGAGAGCAGTTTTTCGAAGCCATGTTTATGTGCACCATTACAATAGCCTCCAATCCGGTTGTACTTTATCTCATCGATGGGGTCACCTGTTCACACAACTGGTGGCTATGTCAAAAGTTCAGTGTTGCTCGACTTCCTCTTCGGTTAATGATACCCAAAATACTCATCAAGACTTAAACATAACACCTTTTTTGTATATTAATAGCCTCATTACTTGTGATCGGGATGTGTGTATGTGGATGTACATGTATGTATGCCTCAATTGTAGATGTGGCTTCCGTGGTGGCTATTGCGAGCTGGTCAACTTTGATCCTGAGGTTCGGGCGCAACTGTACAAGTGTCTCTCAGCGCGTCTCTGTCCTCCTGTTCTCGGTCAGGTAGATCACGTTCCCTCCTGGTTTAGACTAAATTTTCCCCAAATGGCACGTTCTCAATAATTCAGGAAGGTGACCCTTACAATGTAATTTTTTGATCTGTTTTATTCTTTTTCAAGTAAGATTAGCGGCGCTCGTTCTCGATTCCTGACGCGCGTTTCAATTTTTACGAGTTTTAGACTTCTTTTTGAAAATGGAATAGTTTTACCGATGTTTTACTCTACAAAACTCTGGTTCTCCTCATTTGTGCTTCGTTTCTCAATGTTCGTTTCAAATTTAACCGACCTTTGGATGATTTCTTTTTCCTCCGTTAATTAACGCCAAATGTGAGTTCAAGATTAACCGTCAGTCAGGCATTTGAGCACAGATTCGCTTTCCGTTGATGGACACGTGGCAATCCGAATCTTCTTTAGGCGGGAGAGATGAAAACTTTTGGATTAATTGCGATGATGAACCTGGTGACATTTAGGAAGGTAATGTTCTAGTATGCCATCTTTCAGGCAAAACTCTTTAACAGCAGCCCTGAAAGTAAATGCTTTATACGATTGCACTTTATGCAATAAAAATATGGCATATACTTCTCGGGTACTTGGGTTTTAAAAACCGTAGTCAAATTTTCCGTTAAGCTTTAAATGAGTTTTACCCAATTCTTCGGTCAATTTAGTACCTTTACTTATCTGTTTTTTCAATAGACTATTAACTCGCAATCACCACATATTTGTAACGTAATGCACGATAAGGTTATTTCTAGCTAATAAATTACGAGTCATTTCGGTGGTTGCTAGCCTACTCACAAGTACTAGATCCTCCGAAAGCATTCTGTGCTTACGCCTATTCTGACATCTGGGTAAATTTTTTAATCGGCATTAGGCGTATTTCGTCATATTCATACCTGTTCAGATCAACAGAACAGGGTCGGTGCAATTGATGATCTACAAGTGGTCCCTACTTCGCCCATGCTTCACTCGTCTCAAATCCACATACACCGCGTTTGCCCAGAGCCATTGAATTGTCGTAAAATTTGTACTTTTGTGCATTCCCCGGCTTATAGTTACTATTGCTCTTTTATAAGGTTTTCAAGACAACCCTACACAGAATCTCATAAAACAACGCAAGCTGGGCGACTATTCTTGTAGGATGGTTGGTTTAATGGCAGTAACAAATGTCTCGCATTGAGGAAAATTAAGTTGCTAGTTGCAAAGACTAAATTTATCGGTAACGCAAAATTGTGGTGATTTAGATTGCCACTATAAGTTATGCAACAGCAGCATAGTTTCATAAGTTCAAAGCCACAATTTGTAAGTGTTCATTCGTTAGTTGGTCTAAAATATTATCTTCCCTTCAATGCCGGAAAATTATGGAACTGTAGGTACCTACGAATCTACTTTTATTGGGAACTGCTGGGAATTAATTTTTAAGGCAAAAATGAATAATGCAGCTAGAGATATGATTCTTTTACTAGGTAAAAGTTGACACTTACAGACACTTTTGCGTGGAAAAACATGGGAGAAACAAGATGCCAGCGGCTTAGGAGCATCTTAAATCGGTCAGTCGGAAACACCCTAGCAACTTTTTCTGATGATGCTAAGATACCCTCGTGGAGAGCCAGATACTGCTCAATAATCACTGCCTACTTCTTAAGTATTATAAACGAAATACCTTTTATTAGTGACTATAAGTCGTTGTCAGTCTGACTAATTAAAGATTGGGGTAAAGTATGACTCTAATTGTGGTGCCTGATCATTGCCCAACTTGCACTTTTAAAGCTGACGATGGATGTGGTGGTGAATCCGCCGCGGCCGGGCGAGCCCTCCTTTGAGCAGTTTTCTGCGGAGAAGTCACAGGTGCTGAGCGATCTGGCGAAAAAGGCGAAGCTGGTGGAGAGCCTCTTCAACCAACTGCCCGGCTATCATTGCCAACCCGTTATGGGGGCCATGTACGCCTTCCCCCGTCTCGAACTGCCCCCTAAGGCCATGCGGGCTGCCGAGGTACGTGCTCCCTAAGACTCCTGTCTAGAGTAATTTGAATTTATACAACGTACCAGTGTGGATTTGGTTTTATCGTCAACATGCGAAAGGTCTGGAAGGCTGTTTGCCTTATGACCGAAGCGAGAGGGACTGAAAGAATAGTGATGAAAAATGTTCAGGCCATGGACCTCTCTTGAGCTGTTGGAGTGGTTTCGAGAGGTTAGCGCGATTTTGTTGTGAGTCTCCACAGATTCAATCAATAGTGCTTCAGTGCATCATCCAGCTAGCTAAATTGGGGTTGCTGTTGCTGTCTGAAATGTAGCGCTTGAGATGACCCTAAAGCAGTGATAAGACATTCGAACCTAGTAATGACTGGGAGGCTATTATTGCAGGGACGGAGTTGCAGCAGGTTGAAAAGGTCGTATAGTTAGAAACACAACAGAAATGCTATTAAATTGCTAAATGGGGTAATAACGTATTTGTAGACATGGTCGTTCTTCTATTTGAGTTAATCGTACATTTAAAGGGCACTAGTTATATTAAATACGGGGTGATATAAGTGTTGCATTTGTTTTTCGGTAGGGAGGGGAATCCGTTGCCTTTAATCCTGAACTGTTAAATCATTCACGTAAACATCTAAAAAGTAAGATTCTATTTCGCTCAAATGTGTTTGAGTTTACTTCGACAAACGCTCTAGATTCGGTTCTATGAACCACTTCTAGAGCTATTTCCATTTGTGGATAGGCACTTATTCCACCTTAGACGTATAGTATCAAAGGGGTTATTTGATCTTGTTTCCATATTTTTTAACCTTCAAACATACATTTTCTTGCAAGAGTAATATTAACCATTGTACCTCATTTTGAAGCAGGAGAGGGGATCTTCAAAATCGCTTCTTTTTTGTACCACTAAATACAGTCACTCTTTCCCGTGCCGGGAATGTCTTTTATCACATAATTTAACGTTAAATCATTTGCCGAGTTGACATTTCTTAGAACTCTTGTCCTTTCCAACTGGTAGATACTTGTGTTTCTTATTCCACTTTATGGGATCTGATTATTCCGTTTCTGCTTCAAACGACTTCCGGTAACCCTGGTAGCAAATTTCGCTTGGCTAATGCTCTTTATTTTTGCGCGAGTTGGCCGTTCTTTCGAAATAGTACTACTTTTTACCATTACACATCTCCTATCTTCGATTTCTTGCCCTGATTCGGGAAACGTTTGAAGTTCAACTTGTAATTACTTGACCTGAGCTGAAAATACTTAAGCCTGTTGCCCTTATCACGTCATAACTTCGTGGGCTTTCTGTCCCCTAATAGTGCTGTGAAGGTAGTTAATCTTATTCCTCTTTAATATTAACTGCTCTTTTTAACGGATAGTAGTAATGGAGTGATATCGTCTGCTCTAACTTTACTGTTCTTTATCAGTAGTGTTTTACCCAATCACCTATTCGAATGTTCTAAAGTGTCTACAATCTCCAGTCCCAAGAAGTATTCACTATTCAGTATTAGATCCCCTTTATAAGCAGTCACTCAGTCCTTTAGCTTACTGTCACCTTCACCATCCGTATTTCACCCGCTTTTCGTATATTTTAGCTTGCCAATATGCCTGCGGACGCGTTCTACGTTACCAAATTACTGGAAGAGACGGGCGTCTGTGTTGTGCCCGGTAGCGGTTTCTCTCAGAAACCTGGTACCTTCCATTTCCGGTAGGTGGAAGTCTAATCATCAGGTGGACTCATTCTAAACACCGCCTTTGTGTTTTGTGCTTTGTTTTTTTTAAAGCATTTTATAGCGGCCCAATTGTCCTCTAAGGTCTTATGAGACATACGCGCCCGGAGGTAATTTTATTATAAACAGAGAAGGGTTGGGAGCCTGGGCCAAATGGGGGCAACTAACAAGAGCTGGTCCGTCACTGATGCAGCGGATGACTGCATCGTGCATGGCCATTCCTTTGGAGCGCAAGATGTGTATAAACAGCTGGAATGACTAATCATCCCCTCCCCTTTCAGCGTCTCCATTAGCCTTAGATGTGACCAGCTGGCTTTCCAGATTTAAAGTCACACACGCACGTTAGCACTGGGATGTGCATTAGCCACGTTTCGCTTTTCGAGAATTTGGGAGGTTGTGCTTGAACAAGATTGCTGGACGAACGGCGCCACCGCAGTGGTGCGTTCTACTTTTCATAGTAGTGAGTTCAATGACCATAGTCTCTAGAACGTTAATTTAATCGTAATGCGATTCTCTTGACTTGGATGTCTAATGGTAGACAATGCAGAGACTTGCCATTATTAACGAAAATTCAAGTGTTTGCGCCGCTATGAAAGTGGGAATAGTGCAGGTTTAGGATCACCTTTAACTACTTTTTCAACTTTATGCACTATCAAAATGTTTACTTTTTCTTGAAATTTGGGTCATAAATGCATATTTAGTTTTCGAATGAAATACTATTTCATTTATTGTGTTTATTTTGGCATGCTTCTTTGCAAAGTAAGAAATGGCTGTTGATCAATTTCGGAAACTCCTTAACTGATGGACCAACTGAATTTTCGGACGTATTTATTGCCTCCAAATCCATTAATGTACTAGGCAAAGCCTTGTTAGATTGATTGGTGTTAGTAGACCTAGTGTTCATTTAAGTATTTTACAACGGGCATTTCAACTTCAAATATGTAGACTTCTAGGGTGAACTTGGAGATCGCGCAATTTTTAGGGATATGTCTAATTTCATCATCCAACACAGTTTTGCATGTGGACTCAGGTTTGCCATTCGCGCCCAGAAGCAAGTCCCGCGATCCAAATGAATTCACGTATTTTTGTATCATTACGTACTCAACGGTATGAGTAGATCGTCGGCATGCCTGGAACGAACCACGTATGATGCAGTTGACACCTAAATAACCATTCATATAAATAGCGTGGACCCATTCAAAATGCCAAATCGAAGGGTCTTGCTTCAAAATGTATTAAGCGATTACTTTTCTCCTTGTAGAACGACCATCCTTCCAAAGGTAGAACAAATGCATGTGATGATGGAACGTCTGGGCCACTTTCATTTAAACTTCTTGAAGACCTACAACTGACTGATTGCTCGCTCTCGCCAAATGGTGATTCGGTCTTAATACTCGATCTAAATGCTTTGACAATCGCTTTTTCCTGCGGGTACAGACCTTTTTACATTCGAAACAAAACGCGATCCCACCTTATTTAATCTTTTGGTGTGAAATTTGATTCCTTCCACTGTTATATTTCGTAATGACAAGTTTAACACACTTCACTTGCTATTGAAAAGACGGGAGAGAACATTTTCCTCCTACTGTTTTTAGAATGCCGAAGTGATTTTGGTTCTCAACACCAAATTTCTAGCCTTTATAGCGGGCTAGCGGTCACTAGCTCTTTTTGCCTCAATTTAGGGAAGGAACATTTCTTTCACGAATGAAGAATGATGAATAAACGTCTCGCTTAGTAGTGTTTGGTGCATAATCCTACCTGTGAGATCTCAACTGACTTCAAAGCACTTTAATTTTGATTTATCTAGAAGAGTTGAGTCTCTGCCACGGCAAGCCTTGGATTTGTAACACTCGTTTATTGTTGCATCTCTGTCACAATCCTTATGGGAACCGTTTACAGTAAGGCGCAATTTCCAGCTGTGGTTTCTGCTATGAAATTAATGATATTGAAGTACCAGGGAACCTCAATCAAATGAAGGTGTTCGGTTTATTCGTTCTTATTTTTTCTAAACCAAAAAATGCACCTAAAGCACTACCATAAAAATAATTTGTTAGGTAGAATCGCATCAGCAATCGAACCGACTTCATGACGGAGACCTGGGCTTTTTTAGTCGTGACGCTGACCAATTTCGACGATAAGTATTGTTAAATTTAATAAATTGGTATTGCAATCTAAATATAAACAAATCGACATGTTCAATCAGGTAGTCTAAACAAACTCTAAACGTAAGGCAAATAAGCAGTTGATGAGACCGAAGTATACGTCGCGTGAGTGATGATTTTCGTCGAGTTGTCCGAATTATTGGCTTAAAAAACGGACTAAACTCCCAGGACAATCAAATCACTTTAGGAATGCAATTACGAAATTGCAATCTGCGTCCAAACTAGTTGGATTAGGAAAATAGGCAAAGTAAACGAAGGGAAAAAAGTGTGTGCCAAAAAAGGTGTATAAGTGATCTGATGAATCGCTTTGTAATGCCGTATCAATTTCGTCTCAAAACAAAGGCCATAAACTTGAGAAAAAATAGAGGGACTTAGTGGGAATATCAAATGAGCCGAGGTATTGAGAAAAAGACGTTGGCTTATAGCGGTCTGCGGTGCCTGGCAATTTGCCTGATTCCCCTACTCTTAACTGTATTTGTGTCCATAATGCAGTTCCGTTCTTGTTACTATGATTTCCTCATTAGCTCGTCTTCATGCTAGTTCTAAGTTTGAGTCTCTCGCGTTCCGTAGTACTATTTTTCGAAGAATATTAGAATTGGAGCCTCAAGGCTTCAAATTTTCGAGTGGGTTCCTGATCCTTCACAGCTTCAAGGGAGGTCGACGGTTTTCTTGAACGTTTCATTAATGTTAGGCCTAACTCGTAAGGTTCTGGAAATGCCGCAACAATGTTTGGGCAATGAATTTGCCATTTTTAGAACCTCAATTTCAGTCCCGTGTGAGAGTACGAATAAAATTCCCTCTGGCTCATATCTAGTCTGTTAACTTCGGGACAGGTGAATGAGTTAAGGCCCGCGCGCTAGTGAGGCAAAGGGACCAGAGCATAAGAAGCTTAACACTTTTAATTCAAAATGTAGCTCCTCGTTTCAACTCCAGTTACTAACTGCAGACTCAACTCCGTGACCGACTAACTGCTGGAATCAATTTTCTGGAAACGTAGCGAAGGCTGTAGTTGATTCCGAATCCCAATTTTCGACCTGTTTAAAATGTTACTTGAACAGCATCAGGGTATGAATGCTGCCGCGAGAGTTAAATCCGCGATTTTATACATTATAATTTATTAGGACAGGACTGTCCGCAGGCTCGAGGCTAATACCGTAAGAGCACCGTAATACGACACCCAATAAAAATATGAGTTATGTGGTTTAAAACATTGGCTTCTGACCGTACATATGCATGATAGGAACGGCTGCTCTAAGAACCAAGTTCTGCCTTTAATTCTCTCCCGCTTGCTGCTTATCCTACCTACCCATTTAGCCGCGTCAAGGGTGCGTGCAAATTATTTGATTATCGACACAGACGACGGTGAAGCCTTAACTCCTCATTATTCCTTTAAACCCTTTAAATTTGTCGTGCATGGTAGGGCTTCTGTCACCCTCTGCTGACTCATGTCAAACCTAGTGAATGTCAATTTTTGGTTATTCATCATGGTTCCTCTAACGCGGATTTGGAACATGAGAAATTTGAAATTTTTATTTATATGCCCCACTGAACTTCAATCAAGATTCCCCGATTTTTTGCATTGTTACGCCAAGGCAAACGGGAGGATCAGGACTAAAACAATGCCACTTGACAGAAAAGGCCCTCCAGTAGTTGTGAAAGGAATTTTTTCCTTTAGTTTGGGAGAATCCTTTAGGAAAGCATTGAATTACTCAGTGGAAAAGACTACACACGGGCCTTTAGTCATCGGATTATTTTGACTCCTCTCAAACGTAGTGGCAGGATCCCTCCAATTTGTTGTGGTTACTACGACGTCGTGCTACAGTTTGTCCGGAAGACACCCCACATCAATTCCACGGTTCACTTCTCTTCTTCATGCTCGACTTGAGGTATGTCTATCTGTAGATTTGGCTTGATGACGCCTGGGGAGACTTAACTACTATCACTACTCCCTCTGAACACTTGTTATAATTTTGCCTATTTAAACCTAAGTATTTTTTCTGCTACCTTCAAGGGTGTGGTAAATCTATCCCTGCTAAATCAGAAAGAGCTGTTATTTACAAAGATGATGTTGTTACGTTCTCGAAGGCTGAATACGAAACTTACAATAAGGGTTCACAGAGCCCCATGAAAGTCACGTGGAACTTTCGATTACGCCTGATATATTACTGTTTTGGCAATAAAAAGCCTATTCTTGAAGGACTTACACTCCGACCATGTGCAAACCGAGGAAATGAAGTATGTATTTCGACTTCCATGTTGGGGGCAGAGCTTAGTGATGGTATCCTCCGGGTTTCCAGAACCCATGCCTAGCGTTTGCACAAGGTCCATTTGAGACCATCTCAATGAGTGCTATCGCCGATGGTTTGTGAACGCTTGCAGCATAAGCATGCTGAATACTGTGGTCCTTTCCTTGCATTTACCATGCGTTGGCTATTATCAACACTTACATTGGATATGGATGGAATTCATTACTTCGCACATATAGTGATTTTGCCCGCAGAACACTACGAAAATTTTGGCCGCCAAGAAATACCAAATTCATTTTACTACGGGAAGTTGATTTAGAAGTATCGGTCGCTGATATCGCTTGGCACTGCCCAGACACCAGAACTATCGTCATTACCAAATATGTCCATCCCTAAAATTTTATGGAACTAAAACGCAATGTGGGAAATTTCCTTTTGCATCACTGTAATGCTGCGGATCTGCATGTAGAGCTAATTCAGTGCAGCTCTTCAAATGTTGTGTTCTAGGTTTCAAGCATGCCCAATCTGGGCTCAGGAGGTCTTGAACTACCAAAGGGACGTGCTTAGACCGTCAAGAGGCATTGTTCCCGACAGTGCATTTATTCGCATATGTCAGCTTCTAGGCTTAAGTGCTGGTTCCGGTCATTCATTACACATTGCTTAAATTCTGTATTGCTGATCACTTTATAAAACCCTGGATCAATTCTGGTGATTTAGATCAAGTAAAAGGTTACACATCTATTACTAAACCACAAGAGCTGTGAACCCCAAGACAGCCCGGAGCATAAAGATCCTATCCTTCGTCACTATGGTGAATCATTCCATTACTTCTGCTTTTTTGTATTGCTATATTTATATGCACAATACAGATGCGTTTCTGTCAATCCCAGTTCCTTACTTCTGCACCATTAAGCTCCTTCTGGGCTTGGATGATACTTTGTGGAAGAGTAATAATGTTTGCTTGTAGGCACCCTAGGCGAAAAGAGGTCAGTCCAACCCATCCTCGTAACCTAGCAGACATCACCATTTTCCGAAACAGAGACAAAATCTAACTTCTTGTACACACTGGTGCTATACAAACTTTGTTTGCTCTACCCAATTAAAAGATGTCCTCATCCACACAAACTTCCAACTCCAAGAGCTTGAAGTCAGGGGCAGAAGAAACACTGAACGCGTTACAGTAGTACCACACTAAAAGCAATCTAAAATTGCGAGTTGGTACCGTAAGAAATAACATATGCCTAAAGAAGGTCTCTAGACTAAAAATACCAAGGTGGTCATTCGCGATGATTCTATTATGCAAATATGAAAAACTAGAATATTTGCCTTTTTGTGATTTTACTTAATGCTAGAAGCTTTCTTATATATAATCTGGTAAATTTCATCATAAATATGCACTTCAACAATACTTTGTGTTTTTCATTTTGTTTTAAGTTGCATGTCGACCGGTACCAATTTAGTTTAATCGGCGGAGTCGGTCTTCTTCGCGCGTTTTGTTTTGGCGTGTTTTAAAAATGGATCGTAAGCTTCTTTTTTTTCTACAAATCTTCAGCCTCTTCTCGACCTCGTCGAGTTAGCCAGAAGAATGAAAGTAGATCGGACTTGTTAAAAAAAATTCGGGAGGCCAGAGAGCGTGGTGAACGTTACATTGTCGTAAGTTGCCCATCGAGATTGTTTTTACTCCTAAGGAAACCATCGAAAAACCTGTTTATGAAACAGTAGATGAAAAGACCTACTCTAAAATAGTTCAGGAACGTATCGAAGATGACTGGATTGTGGACGATAGTATGCTAGGATATTTTCTCATTGCTTTAGATGGGCTTGGCTATGTGGACGATGGTCGAGAACTATTCGACGATCATGATGGTGATCTTGAACAAAGTGGGTCACATAAGAAATCCACTCGTGGATATACCGGGACTAAAAAACGTCTCAATCCTGACTTACGTCCCTCGTCATCCTCTCCTAAAAGTCATTCCAAGGATATTCGTCACATGTTCGCAGCTTCCGCATCCCGCCAGCCTAAGCGAGTATGTGGATTTTTTGGATAATTTTGGCCATTCAGGCTGCAGATACTGTTGCTGATGATGCAGCTCTGGATGACCTACTGGCAGAACTGGATGCGGACAGACCTAAGGATCCACCAGATAAAAAACCCAGAATGGACGGGATTCGGAAGAATCTTTCTGTAAAACAAACTCCGAAACCATCTGTTGTACCCCATTCACGTCGTGAAACCTCCTATGCAATTAGATCTCGACCGCTACCACCTAAGCCGCGGCAATCTCATTCGTCCGTAAATCTGGATTACGTGGAAATTCAGTCCAAAGATAGCAAGACATTAAAAGTCTCCCCGGTTAAGCCAAGTTAGCCTTTTTTGACTTGGTTAATGCAAGTTTTTAGGTCCCGTAGTTGGGCTTGAACCGGAACCCGAATCTACTTTGAGAGCCGTCGGCGTTTCTGTGGTCGATGATGTAACTGAAGCTGCGGAAGATGAGGAATCGATGGGAGTGGTGAGTCCAGACCCGGAGCCTCCGGTCAATGTGCCCTGGCTCAATGAGGAAAATGAGAATGCTGAAGTGTTGCGTGCTGATGAGAACTCTTCCGCGGGCTCTTCAGACGGCGATTCTGGGAGTCTTCGATTTTTCTGGTTAGACGCTTACGAGGATTTGATGAATCAGCAAGGTATAATGCTTTAAGATAATTCCATTTCTATTTTTAATCATCGGGTTTTAATTAGACGACCTTGCCAATCCTAGGCGTGGTCTTTCTCTTTGGCAAAATTCCCTGCAAGGAAGATCAGTCTGGTTTTTGTAGCTGTTGTATCCGCGTTAAAGATCTGGAACGGCGTGTCTTCTTCCTCCCCTCCACGTCCACTGTATGTAACACATACGGAAAATCTCCGCATTTTTGATATATTTGTACTCATTTCGGTCGTTTATTTTCAGGGGTGTACAGTTAAGGATGTTTACGAAGAACTTCGAGAACTCAGCGGTCAATGTAAAATCGGTAAATTTAAATGTAAAGTGAGTTTAATGCATATATTTATCAGCTCCTGTTAATTTGTCTCATATGTATTTATGTATGAGCAGTATTAAGATACCCTTCACCTATATCTAAGCAAACTTGCTACTGCCATATGTCCTCAAAACTTTATGATTATAACCATTTATAGAATCGTTTGTGTGTTATGTCTCATCTGTTCAACTTTACCTCTGCTGTTTTGGCTTTTCGCCGTTTATACTTTATGCATAGTATTCCAACGGCACTCCTTTATGTCTCCTCATTCTGTGCCAACTTTCCCTCTTGCAGCCAACTACAAAAAAGTACTGCTTTGAAGATGTCGACGTTCCTAGCGAAGCTGAATACCTTGAGGTTCGTTACCCAGCCTCCTATCCATCCCTTCCTAGCGACCTTAAAGGGAAGACATTTTCTCGAATCATGGGTTCCACTGCCTCATTGTAAGTCTCTTGTCCTGGGTTTTAGATTTATCAGCTTAGATTTATCGCTTTTAAATGTTGCATCGAAACTTATTTTGGTTATCCATCGTCAATTTCATTGGGACTATGAAGGACACTACCTTAAATGCCCTACACTGTTTTTGTTTTAGTCTGGAAAGCCTCATTCTTGATCTTCATCTCCGCGGCCCGTGCTGGTTGGAGCTTAAGGGGGCAAGTAAGTACCACTCATTTGGGCTCTCCTTTTATGTTGCATGTTTATTTTGTTACCCAAACCAGCGAAAAATTCAATTTTTCGGGTAATGGCTAGCGTCTCCGAGGTAAGAGTCTTACAGACTCGCTACTTTTCACATTTTAGTAAATAAAGCATGCAATGGCTTATTGACTCGTCTTTTGATCAATTGGTTGCCTAGTTATTGTGCCCATATATTCGTTTTTAGTTGAAACTGATTTGTGTAGTGAAAACAGTTGTGGGTTTTGGAATTCCATAATTTGCATTGGCAAAAGTCTTTTACTGCCTTTTAATATAATTGAGATTGAATGGACTAGATGATGTATCCACTTGTATTCATCTGTTAGTACGTCTTTATCATTTTAGCCTATCGGGGTTTAATTTTCGGGGGAATGTTTAAATTCTTCCTTGTAGTTTTAATGTGTAAGATAGATTGGTCCGTTTTCATCCGTAATACTTCACATAAGCTCATATCGCAGCTTAAAATGTTTCAAGTTACTAATGGGAGTGGCGAGCTCGCCTTTGTAAATATGTTATCAAGTGGTTTGGTATAATTTAGGTTGTGTAAACGTTGAAGTGCCGAATGACAAAGCAGATGTCTCATTTAGCGCTGATTGCTTAGGCGAATTCTCCCATGTGCGTTTAACGAAGATATCTCACTGTGGCCTAACGGTTCCATTCTGTGTCAAGGCTAATCTTGATCTACCCATATGCATGTGTAGTTTGATGCACCAAGGTTTTGGTGCGTTTTTTTATGTAAACTATTCATTTGTAACGTGAATCCATTTTTTTTCAATGTTCTTGAGATGTAATTGCCTATTACGCATAGTTTACCTGATTTTTGCCTAGCTAATATGGTTTCTGATGGTGACCTACAATCTTATCAGCTGATGTAATTTAATGCCTAAAAATCAATCCATTGTGGTCAACAGTTTTCGCACATCCAAGGTTTACATCCCCACAAATTCTACCAAGACCACATTTGTCTGTCAGGATAGGTAAATTGAGTTCATTTTTCTAGACACATTAGCATTTAAGGATTTTGAACAATTTTAAATTGATTAAGTTTCCTTATACCGTACTCGAGGCCTTGTGCTGCTTGGGACTATCTTCTCTCGGCGTCTGTTTCAGCTCTTCTTCAGCCACAGTTGAGTTGGTGCAAGGTGGACTACGACTTTTCCTTCCAGCAGCCCAACAAAATGCTCAAGTTGATAGATGTTTTAGCGGCCCGTAGCGATAATCTTGCACTGCCGCCTGCGCCGCCCATTCGGATGGTGGCATTGGACGTCAAGTCGGTCGCGCGCAAGCAGAGCAACTCTGCTGAGGTGAGCATTGCTTGTCTATTTTCACTCTCACTTCCCTGTTAGTGGTCTGTTTTCTAATCTGCAATAATATGAACAGTAGGAAATTGTTTTCACTATTTGGGATGCCATTGTATTTCATGTGATGAACAGGTGCCTTAGTTGCCTACATTTTATAGCTGGCTGTGCATTCTCCTCACACCTTTCTCCGTATATGGATGTGATTTGACCGTCACTGTTACATTGAGGTTTTAGTAGTGATTCTCTTTTTTAAAACAAGGTCAAAACTGGCCTGATTTTATCCCTCCGCTAAACAATCTTTTTGTGCGAAGCAAACCAGTTTCTGTCGTCTCTTCATTTTGGGGTATATAGTTCTATGGTGCGGTGTTTGACATCAGCTCAGCATCATAAATTTTAATAAACGCATTGAATGCCATTTATCCTGACACATATGCTCATACATGAATTCTACCCATTGTTATCTGATCCTGCAGTCTGATTCTAGTTCTATGATTTAGTCCAGAGATGGTTGACTAGTATTCATAAGTTACTTTTTTGTTATCATCAAGCAGAATAAATATGGGAGCAACATTCTTTCATTGAGCCTGTTTTTTTCGTTTCCTACACCAGGAATCTGTTTTCTGTGTTTGAAGTTTGAAACCGGCTCATAAAAGCCACACTATGATTGGTATTTTTACACATTATTACCTGAATTGGTCAGCTCGTTCACCATCATTACAGCTTATTTCATTAGGCATTTAATTTGGGTTATTATCTACCTCAGTTACTAATATTCATATGCGATGCCTTTATTTGCTGGAACCATGGGATAATTTATTTCATTAGCAGATGGTCGCATTTGAATTAGATGTCCTGAATTTAAACCCTTATTCATCACCTTATTTCAGGTATAAAATCTCTCCTTTGAGTGTGCTTTTTTTTTAAAATCGGGCGCCTGCATCAATATTAAGTCGATACTATTTCATTATCAAAGGATGATTCTATGAGTACATCATGTTTTGCATCAACACAATTTGTTGAGTAGTACACGGCCCTTTCGCAGAATGGACTTGTTTTTACTTGGATTCAGGAGTATTTTTGATATGTTGAGACCGGATTTGGCTAAGAACAACAAAAACGGACTTAGCTTGATTTACTTGGGTCTTTTAAACGTCCGAAATGGTGTTTTTGTCAAATTATCTTGCCCTTTTTCAGATCATCTCTGTAGGCCTCTTGATTGACAATCACTTTAATCTGGATAAACCCGGTGGTAAAAAGGCATTCCAGTCACATTATCTTGGTAAGTTTGTCTCGCTGTTGTATTTGTTCATCCTTCTCTGATATTGTCACACGCCCACCGTGTTTTCCAGTTTAAACATCAGTACTACTCTGTTTGAAGAACTTTCCCAGTTTGTATGATGGTTTTCATGTGGCCTTATTTTGCTCATTTTCTGCCATAACTCAGGTAAATCTTTAAATTTCGCGCTGCTGTTTTTAATTCTCGTCTGTCATCGTATTGAGCTGGCCATCGAAAAGTTTAAAATTCGCAAAACCTTTCCTGCTACCATCTCTTTTGTGTTCCCTCCTGGTGACACTAGTTCATGGAAACTTCCAGTAAGGCTTTGAAGATGGGGGAAAAACATTAACTCAGATGGGTATCAGCATTGAGAACTGATTGCGTAAAGTTGGGTGAAACAGCCTTTGTTTATGGAATTCCTATATTGCGTCCGACTGCATTCCTCAGTTTTGTATTTCAACCGAAATGGTGTTTACTGATTCAGTTTCGCCCAAGAAGCATTTCGTGGACTTTTAAACATTTTTTTTAGTACAAGCAAGGCTTCGAAGCCAAAAGATAGTTAACAAAAACGGAGCACGATTATATTAATAGGACACTACCTCAAAAGGGCTGGCATAAATCCAATTTCGCTGTCCTGGTGCATTCTAATCCAATGTTCATACTTTTAATTAGACGTCATTCACCCTCTTCCATTCACGAAAAATCTCATGGACTTGGGCTTTTGTTAATCGTGCCTTCAAGACTGAAGATGAAAGAAATTGTGGTGGAGGTTCACTACCTTATTGATTTCACTGTTTCCTTGTATATACCAAAAATCAAATGCCTTCTTAGTACATTTGATTAAAGTTGAGTACTCTTAGTAAAGTGATGTTCACGTTTACACCACGCCGCCGAATTTAACGCCCAAAACTCCCAAATAAGCTGTCAATTTGCATCCTTGCGTCTGTTTAACATGAAATTTCCTTCCACGAGCCGCTACTCATTGTTTGGAATTCAAAATAGAATTATACAATGAAATTTTTCTAATACGTAACAATCCTACTCTTTGCGCCGACTTTCGCGCTATCTTTCAGATTGATAGTTCACCATCAGTGGTACTAAATCGTCATCACAGACTACTACTTTTGTTGTTGTAAATGCTTTATCTACTTCTAGTACTTGCACCACCGAGGGACTCAGTGCTGCCTTACGACCTCTCTAAGCGCCTTCCCAGTTGGGGTCGGCAGTATCAGCCACCCTCTAGCAGTGGGAGCGGTGACGACAGCGACGCACCCTACGGTATCGACATGGAGCCCAACGAGCGGGCTCTCCTCGGTCGCTTACTGACGCGCATCCATCGCCTCGACCCCGACCTTCTCGTGGGCCATGACCTCTGGGGTAATCAACTTGATCTCCTGGTGCATCGCCTCGTTTCCCACAAGGTCGCCCACTGGCATCGCATCGGCCGTCTCCGACGCTCACAACACTTTGTTGTTAACTTCAACAGGGTGTGGCACCATCTTTCAATTTCCAGAGTCCGATTTTGTTTCACTTTTGTTGTCCTAGTGTTGAAAGGTTTCGAAGCCGTATTCAACGGTCTCGATTTCAGAGTGTTTCTTAGTACTACACCTAGTATTATCTGCTTCGAGATAGGAATTTCGTCGATAAATTGAGCGTTTAATGGAACCTACTGTTTTCATGCGAAAAATTTTATCAGTTATGATTTTAGAAGGCTCGTTGATAGTACCATTAATGCTACGTATCAAAACCGATTTTCTGTAACATTCAGGACGAATGGCCAAAGAGTGATAAGGAATTTGTAGCTCGGTGATAATAATAATCTAAGGCTTCAATATGTTATTGTGAATGTCTTAAAATCCAGACCCTCAAATTAAGCGAAATAAGGTATACAGAGCTCCATTTCGTACTTGCTGGGACCCAGGTCTGCATAATGTGGGTACTCAAGTCAAGTGTGCTATCTAGTAAATTCTTTGGTTGTTAAAACCGGCTTTTCTGAAGTTCTGGTCAGCTGCACTTTTTAAGTGGCGGAAATTTCACCAGTGTTTGTTTCCCTTTGTATAGTAGGGTGATTCTTTAGATTTTTTGGACTTATTTGCCTCTAAGAAGGTATTAGGATTAGCCTTTAAGTATGTACTTATTCAATCTGGTAAGTCGGCTACACTAATTTTAACGGGAATATTTCTACTACTATCATGAAAAATACAATTTAAGGCTCCTTTTAACCGTCTCGTGTTTTCATATATAATCTTTAACATGTTGAATAATCAGATCCCAACTTGTAAGTAATAGTTTCTACTAGATACTAAGTGAGTTACGCCTTTTTTATCAAGTGGAATTGGCTGTTGTCTTTTCTCATGAGGCGGGAAATGTTAACGAGGAGACGTTAACGTGGTATCTACGACGCACTCGATTGTCGTTCTCAGTAGATAAGGATTTTTTATTCACGTGTGCCACGATTTCATTTTTCCCGCTGCGGGGTCGAAATCGCCGGCTGTTTAAAACGGTCTGCGACACAACTGCTATGAAGTTGACATCTGGATGTAATGGATTTGTTTCTCCTCCCCACGCCAGTCTTGGTTCATGCGCCACGCTCTTCCCGGACGGCTGATATGCGACACGCGAATCTCGGCTCGCGAGCTGGTGCGCTCGCGCACCTACAACCTCAGCGAATTGGCTTTTCAGATCCTGGGAGAGGACACGAAATCACGACGCCAAATTCCTGCCCTTATAGCTCGCCAACTCGCCTCCGCCACCGCCTCGGCTGGTGGTGTCGACGAAGCACTCATCTCTGGCATTGACTTGGAGGTCGACTCGGCTGATCTGAGCTGCCTCTTCCTCTCAGCCACTGGCGTCAAAGAGCTCGCCGATTTTTGCCTCTCGGATGCTCTTCTCGTTCTCCGACTGGCGCACCAGTTGCAGGTGGGTGTAACTATAATCTCGCTAATACAAAATGGGTTCTTACCGTCTTAATAGGCTGTACCGCGATTTGTTTCTATGCTTCGCGGGTTTGTATTCTCCGCTAAGTGTAAAGCCATTCATTCAGTTGGTATCTTTTCACGTCATTGAGTCGAATATTATATGAAAATCTGATTAGAGTTTGGATACAATATATTGTTGCGAGGCCCTCAACATTAGTTAGATTTTTGGGCTTCATGTTTCGAATCTACTAATAGTAGTGGCTGATACAATGCAAATAAGTAGAAATTTCAGTCATTTCCCTTTGTTATTTCAACTATTTGATGGTGCGCTTACCACGTTAAATGTAAGCTTTTTCCAACACTAATTAGGAACCCAAGCACCTTATAGATTAGTTTTATTGTACACAAAATTCTATATGATTAAACCACATAGAACTAAGGTAGAAACGCTGAAACTATCCCATTGATGAAATAGTTTATTTACCTGTCAGTTGTATGATTCATGTCAGCCACGTAATCTCGCTGCATGTGATTGCCACTTTCTGGATCTTCATTCTGCGAATGAGGGAAAAGATAGCTTGCCTAATTGCTTATGTTCCTGAAGATTCAGGCCACGACGCGTTGTGGTAACGTGTCATGCTGACTGTGTACTCCCAGATGTTTTATTTTCTACACGCGTCAGCTGTCATGCATGCAAAGTCGTATTACATTCTTAGCAGATTTCGAGCAATCGGTTTTCTGATGTAAGGCCTAGATATGGAGCACTACGTAATCTACCTACCTCCATATACACATTGGCATTATTTTCATACCAGCCGTTCTGCAAATACATTGAATGGATGTGTTGTACTCAGTACATTTCCGTCGATCGATCTTTCTGCTCCCGCATCATATGTGAACTGTGTAATCTTAGAGACTGAACGCCTTCTACCCAATTACGACAGCTAGATGGGGGTCAACATGCCTCCAATATGCTATACTACTGTAGGTCCCATTTCATGTTCAAGAATCATTATTATTTGTACCGTCCGTTCTGCAAATTAAAGTGGTACAAAAGTAGTCGCTCATGCAGTATATTTTCATTATCTCGGTTTCAATTTAGTTGGCTGCGTTTGTTATTTGCTGCCCGTAGGTCTTACCACTGGCTCACCAGATCACCTCGATCTGCGGCAACGTGTTAAGTCGCACGCTTGCGGGTGGTCGTTCGGAGCGAAACGACGCGCTGCTACTGCACGCCTTCGTGGAACAGGGCTACCTCCCACCTGAAGCGCCCTCACGTCTCCATCCCAGCCGCGAGCGTGGCCGCGGCGTCAAGGACGACCTCGCCGAGCCGCTTGAGACCGAGCATGAGGGGCGCCGCAAACCCACCTACACAGGTGGTCTCGTCCTTGACCCTAAAGTCGGTGGGTCATCGTCCTGGTGCTACTGTTAGAGCATTTTGATCTACAATCGTATAATATGCAACCGCATGACTACCTTGTTGCTCACCCATATGGGGGATGTCAATCTCTCGAATAGGAATAGATGTATTAATTTATGTCGTTTCAATACATTTATATTTGACATAGAAGTGTACCGAAGCGACACTTTTCGGACACCCGAAGGTTCTTTTTTGCTTTTTAAATCGCTGTTATTAATAGCACTTCAATCATTGAAATGCAGTACGTATGCTAAGTATTAAAATGGTTTATTCGGGACTTTTTTGGATTTTACCAGTAACATCTATCTCTTCATCCAGCAGTTTTTAGTACTTTAGTTAAAGGGAACTTTACAGCTTCCCGAAGAAGGTGTTCATTGTTATCATAATTCAATAAGGAATCGGGGGTACGTAAACAATTAGATTTTTAATTTACTCCTGCTGTTCAAAACACCGTTCGAAGTATTTTATTCTTTTGCTTATTTTTGTCACCATCCAGCTGCTTTAATATCCCTTGAGTAAGGGTCACGTCACGTAAATTATGAGTCAATCTGACCATTCGACAAATGACTGAAGGGGGCCATTTTTGATGTCTTTTCAGGATTCTATGATACGTACATTCTGGTGTTGGATTTCAACTCACTCTATCCCTCCATAATCCAAGAGTTCAATCTCTGCTTTTCCACGATGGAGCGCTCCTTCTTCGCAACCAAAGATCCCACTGATTCAAACGCGGTGAGGGTCTCGCTTGCATAGCCGCATTGCTAGCTCTAGTATAACTGGAGATGATCTACTGAAATTGGGAAGTGGCACGAGTTTCAAATGGAAGCATCCACTGCCACTCGAAAGGGGCCGAAACTAAAGTGGCTCCATAGGCTCACAGAAGTGCGAAACATCTATTTCGCCCCAGTTTTTTTTTCGAGTAAATTTTACAGCTTTTCACATTTTGTTCCCCATCTACAGACGGCCACCGAGGACATATACATCTCGGAGCTGATAGCCAGTGTAACGCAGTCGGGCGGAACCAAGTCATTGCAGCAGCATCTACCGACATCTCGAGCACCGGGTATTCTGCCCTCCGAGGTGCGACGACTGGTGGAGAGCCGGAAGGAAGTCAAGAAGCTTATCGCTACCGCCTCGGCTGTCGCCGACGCCGCCAATATGGCTAAGGTGGCCCAATGGAACATCCGCCAGCAGGCATTGAAGATTACCGCTAACTCCGTCTACGGGTGCCTCGGCTTCAGCGCTTCTCGTTTCTGTGCACGCGGTCTCGCTGCTCTTGTCACCGGACTGGGACGTGCTCTCCTCGTCAATACGAAGGAACTCGTTGAAAATATGAAACTTGAGGTGGGTCTTTTTTTGCTCTTATAATCGCCACAATTACCCCTATGTCAATTGTTTTGTGGATCTGATTGAACAGTCCTGCCCCTGTAGTATCATCTTTCTGGGAATGTATTACATGGCACAGGTTTAAGTTTACGGGCAAAGAAGATAGAGTTTGCGTTGATTTTCATAACAGGAAAGTAAAAAGCCTATAAGAACAAGAATGTCTTTTTTGTCTATCTGAGTATAGCTTAAGCTAGGTCATCTTAACACAGAAAACGCAGGTTATAAAATACTACTTTTATTCATAAAAATATGAAGGTATTTGCTTTTCTAATAACACTACTATGCTACCGGTTTCGTTTAATAACATTTTCGTCCCTGCTTATCGTGCGTTATCTGTCTAGAAAGAATGCATGATTAGCATCAATCAATGGAGTAAGTAACCATCACAGTTTAAAACGTTTTAATTTGAAAAAAAATTGTACTTTTGACTTTTCTGTCGATTTTACTGTAGAGAAAGAGGCGTAGGGTACCACCGTAACAATGATTTAACTAATCGTTAGGCTACTGACGGCTCGTTCCACTTTGCAAGTTTCTTTAGAAACATATTTCGAAGTACTCTTTCAACATCAGAACTGCGTTACGAGTTTCATTCGCAGTTCAGTGAAAGCTTGCTTATTCTCATTTTAGTCAACGTCCACAGAAGTACACCAACTTGTATTTAACCGATATATACAGGAATAGGGACACATCACTATTGTAAAGCATTTTCCTTGCTTTTGCATGCTAGATTTTCTGGTTTTTAGTAAAAAAATGTGGAAAGTACGCTTGAGATACACCTCCAGACCCCCATATTTGTATACTTGACCCTTTCACGACCAATAACTGAGTTTTGTGTATCAAATCTGAAAGATTCATTTACCTAGTGCTGAATCATTTGTTGTCCAGTTTGAGGTTTACATAACCTCCTTACCGAAGAATTCAGCTTCAACTTGTGGCGATTTCATTCCGTTGCCAGCATACTTTCTCTTGCCCGCTCTTTTTTCTCAGTATAGCTTTGTAATCACTGTAAGCTCTTGCTAAACACTGTTAGCGCAGGACATTGTAAGGCGACCCTGCATTTTGCATCTTATTTACTTTCCACTGAAAAATAAGCCGAATGATAAATGCAGGACCATCCATATACGAATGACGGTAATGCTGAAATTGTTAAAACAGAATACTAAACAGTCTCGTACCTAGTGAACACCAAATTACGTATGAGCTCAACGCCCAAGTACTAATTTGCTCTTCTATCCATTCGTTTAAATAATGAAATAGATGGTATAACAAGTGTTAATGTAGTTGCTATTATGAATGAGATACATTAAGCGTTCTATTCTATTCGTCGAGGTCACAAAGAATTCAAACTGTAAACCCTGAATCGTTCATAGATTTATCGAGGTCATTGATGCGAATTTTGTTCGTATCATCCCTATTAACAATGATAAAATTGCACAGCTATAGCTGTTGAAATATAGCTTCCTACGACCTCATACATCGTGCTTTATTAAGAGTAGATCAGAAAATGCTCTAATCGGAGATGGGCGGATTGTCGCAGTGCAAATACCTCAGAAGTAGAGCGGCAAACGCTGGTATGGGTTAGTTGTTGATTATGTCGGTTAGAGGTTGGAAAAATGTACGATAATCAAATTTGTTTACGAATTGACTGACTTTCATTGCCCACTCTCGATCTTAGAATTTTCAATTCAACCGATTAAACTAATTGATCAGTGTAAATGTGCTAATGCGGTGGTGGTCGTTGGCGTAGGTGATATACGGTGACACGGATTCAATAATGGTGAATACCAATTCTACGGATCTGCTCTCAGCTCTGGCGATAGGGGATAAGGTGAAGCAGGAAGTGAATCGTCGTTACCGCCTAGTGGAGCTCGACATAGATGGAGTGTTTGCGGCGATGCTGTTGTTGGCGAAGAAGAAGTATGCTGCACTGGCTGTTAGCCACCCCCTCCAGTACGTTGAGCGGCTGCGCCAACAACAGCCCTCACAGCAGATGCTGCCACCACCGCCGACCAAGACGGAAATGAAGGGTCTTGACATTGTCCGACGCGACTGGTGTCGTCTGGCTGTAGAAGTGGGCAAGTTCTGCGTCGCCACTCTCCTCTCCGGTCGCGCTACCTCTGAAGTCGCGGTCGAGGAGATTCACGAGCATTTACGAACTGTCGCTCAACAGGTCCGCGATGGTAGTCTCCCCAAAACAGACTTTGTCATTACCAAAGTAAGCGCGCGCTGTTCATTCGCTTGGTGTGAACCTCCTATTTATGTACTGGTTGAGCTGGGAACACAGCAGTTGTTTTTGTGCCACAAGATTAGTATTTACTGGAGGAGCTCTAGGAAATTAGCTACTGTTTCTTTGGTAATCATCGCAATTGAACAGCAAATAGATATCTTGCAAGTTTTACGGTCTGGTTAAGTTGCTTACATTTTGAACTGCTCAAATTGTGTTTGGTATTGTTTTCGATATGCTTGAAGTGTCTTGGTTCGATTATCCCGACTTTAAAATGGATTATGGATTTGAATGACTGTGGGAGGTTACTTGGCGAAATTTGAAATCAAGCTCTCTAATGAAGCAAATCTATCTTAATCAAGACAAGGTAACTACCGTTTGTGGTCTGTTTAATTTCGCTGCCGGCTTATTTACACTAAGTGCATCCTAAAATTCATATTTTCCGACAGTTGAAGTTTAATACTTGTGAATAAACTGCTTTGTCGTGGATTAATCGCGCTTGTATGGAAGTAGCTAGAGAATACCTTGGTTATCAAAAGACTTATTTTAATTGAGCGTTGTTTTGTTATTTCTGTTTACTATTAAACTGAATTGTACTTGTAATCCTCATCTAGCGAAGGATTGAGGATCATTGGTTAGGTCTTAGTATTGTCACAGTTACTGAATCATTTAAAGATATAAACTGCCTTTTAATTAGATTACGGGCTTACAGTCATGCGGTTATGCAGGCGTATGCGGTTTGTTCTGTACCCCCAAAACAATCATATTTTATTGTCTCTGCTTTTGTCGTTGTATATCTCGGCTTTAACTCAAAGTTTTTACTTTCTTCACCCCACCAGATGTTGACCAAGAATCCCGAGGATTACCCTGACGCCAAATCCCAGCCACATGTGCAAGTTGCCCTGAGATTCAATCAGCAGACGGTTTCCAGAGGCACAGGAGGCGGTGGTGGTCACCGATTCCGTGCCGGCGATACAGTGGAATACATAATTTGCAATGACGGCACTTCCAGATCGTCTGTGCAGAGGGCCTACTCTCCTACCGAGCTCTCCACTGGCATGAGGCCCCCCGAAACCAGTAGTGGTGATGGCGACCGTACGTCGAGGGTGAAGCATAAGAATCAGGAGGAGCGACTTACAATCGATGTACACTACTATCTGGCAAGCCAGATTCACCCTGTGGTTTCTCGCCTCGTCGCGCCTATTGAGGGCACCTCACCAGCGCACATTGCTGACTGCCTGGGTCTCGACTCTGCCTCCTATCGACGCTCAATGGCAGCCACCGCTGCCGCTTTCGCTGGCGATGAAGAGGCATGTCTCTCTACCTCCTCACCATTATCACTGTCTAGATTCACTCACACATTAATCCATTGAGTTTTTGTGTACGTACAGACTAACGACAATGGGTCAATGTTCTCTATCAACTCCCTGATTGACGTGGACCCTCTGGTCCTAGCCTGTCTTGCTTATCATGAGGGGAAGCAGTGCCCCGGAAAGGCACTCATTCGCACCTCCCCGTTCACACAATCCGGTCTTGCCATGTGGGTGGTAAGTTGCCGATGGTAGTTATTTGGATTGACACCGGGCTCCGTTTCGGTAGATGGTTGGGTACTCCTTCCTAAAATTCTACAAATGTTTACTGTTGTAAGCGTGCTTTTGTAAGGGCTTATTGCGGCCTCATTTCGAGTTTTTATTGTTTTGAAATTTGTTATTGAAAATCCCTAATTACGCAATTATGTACACAAACAAGTGACTGTGAATTTCCACCTCAAGCCTTCTCCTGATGAGTCGCGATTGCTATTTTCGGAATTATTGTTGTAAATGCAGCTACCGTAAATTCTTCTTCCAAACAAGAGTCATTTGAATTTTAGCCAATAAATCATGCATAAGTGAGTTTCCCGTCTTATTCTCTTTTAAACTTGTGATTTTACAAATAGTCATCATCTAATCTGGAAGCGTAAAGTCATACTGGAAAAGTGATCTCCAGTCGTTGAAGTTGTCTGCGTTTGCATGTGTCTAGTCCATTCCCGCGCATTAACAACATGCTTGTACAACCCAAGTCATCACCTATGCTCTGATGAATACGTATTAATGCAGGGTACATGTCTGAATAAGTTATTTAGTAAGTCAAATTACAAATAGCCTATGCCGTCACATTTCGACCAAAATATGCGCTTTATTCACGCAGGGTATACCTTCCTTGTGGACCTTGGTCCTACATCATTTTTTTCAAAAATACAGATTTGTCTTCAGTTTTTCCAACCAGACTGAGGAACTGAATTTCTTGGCATAGCTAAAGCTCCGGATTCTTTAATTTCAGATGCGGATTTTGTAAAGTTTTGCACATTTACACCAAACAACGGAAAATGGTGATAAGTCATTGGATTTGCAAAACACACCCATGCAATCATTAAATTACTTTCCTACTCGTTAACTGTACACTTACGTAATGCTAATCTGTGAATACTGTCTCATGCAGGACAACTTAGTCAATGAATTTAATGACGCCATTCAGGAAGTCGCCTTTTGATTGTAGTTTTGGATTAATTTATGCAAGTTATATTTGTATTCCCACCGAGCAAAGATTAATTTGCGCGACTCTATCACGGTTGACTTGAGCGGAGCTCTGCGCCGCCAGAATTTCCGGAGTGAAAAGCTTCCATACTTAATACTTCTGAAAGTATTTTAGTGCACGGGAAGTTAGTTTCCTTAAAAGAACAGTTGGTTTGTTTTGACCTATTATCTCCGTTTGTTTGCCCTCCCGTTTCCGTGTAAAGTGTCCCGAGTGTGGCGAAGACCTCTTGGGAAGCGCGAGGCACGCCGCCGCGGCGGTGAACCAATTGGTGCTGCAGGCGCGAGCTCACATCGTAGCCTACGAAGTGGGTGTGTTAGTGTGTGAGGATCCTACCTGCGCCCTCGCCACTCGCACCGCCTCCTGTCCTCCCAGCACTGCCACTTCTACCTCCGTCAGCGAAGGCCTCTGGGCATTCGGTGCGCAGCAGCAACAACAGCCGTTATGTCCACTCTGTGGGACTGGCCAAAGTCTCCTGCGTCCCCTACACTCCGAGATGCAACTTTACCGCCAACTCCTCTTCTACCGCCACCTCCTCCTGCCCCCAGAGTCGCTCTTGTCACCAAAGTTGTCAATACCATATGAAGATGGTAAGGAGAATTCCCAGAAACTAAAGAAAAGTCTCGACCAAAATGCGCCCTGTAAGCATAATTTCTCGTTTGGACTTTAATTTGTACTGGATGTGTTTATAGATGAACTTTAAGCCACCATATTAGGATAGTAATTCATATATCCAATGGCAGCTTTATTCATTCCTGCTGACTGCGTCTACCATAGACGTGGATTGTTGAGTGAATTACGAACCATTATATTGGTGCAGAGGTATTACTAGATAATCACAACTTCGACCATCCATATTAAAGGATGACTCTATGTGGTGTAGTTTTTCTGGGCTATAATGTGCTTTCCCTTATTTCGATGTAGCAAGTTGACAGATGTAGACTAATGAGTGAATTAGAAGCTGTAACGTCTGTGCAGAAATCCATACAGTTATTAAAAACTTTGACCAACCTAGCTCATAGCTTTTCTCTCGAGCTCTATGTGTTTCATTCCATTCTTTCCCATTTACGCTAAGTGGGTTGTGTAGAGATGTATCTGGTTATTGACAACTCTGTTCATCCTTGTCCTTGAACCTTACAAGTTGTCCATGTTTTCGCATGCTCACTTCAAAAATTTGCTGTTAATGTGAATTGTCTATCCACGAATCGGTACGTTACGAAGAGTATATGGCCCTCAAATATTTATTTGCCAAATATTGATCATTTTTGAATTTTATAGTTTGTTGGTCTTTTGCTCCTCCCGTAAACCAGCTTTGAAACGAGTTTGTATGCTTTCGTAGTCACCTCCAGATATGGCAAATTACACCTTTTATGTGCTATTCGTGGATCTTACTGGATAATGTGCGATTCAATATAATGAATTTTCCCATCAGTTAGCATGTTTGCCACTAGGGCCTCAGTAGAAAGTCGACCACCACAGGTCAAATGTTATACTGTTCTTATATCCCATCAACTGTCACTAATTTTCTTTACCTAAATCAGCTGCTGTCCAAAAACTGAAAGTGGAATTGCTTTTCCCAAATCAAGAACAGCCTACAACTTTTGTTTTTTTTAATACTTAATATATTGTTAAACGGTTTGGTGCAGCCAGTTATCATGGGGTGATAGAAAACGCCTCGTATATTTGCACTGCTGAACTCAGATAAAAAATAGAGGCTTTACACGTACCGCTAGTAGTGTCAGTCTTAAGGTTTTTGCTAAAACCCACTTCATTTAATTCCGATCGAAATGATAGCGTTTTTACTAGTTTTACCTTGGTGGGTACTATAGCTCAAATGACTGAGAAACGGATTTTTTAAAAAATCTATGTACATGGACCTATGTCGTTACTACAAAATGTTACTTGATAGCTATCACAGATAGGATAGCTTTGCACATTGCATTAATTTTTTACATGTGTAGAGCTTCTCTAAATAGGTATATTATGCACTGCTACTTCCCTGGGAAGATGTTATGTAAACAGAGGTTAGTTGTGTCTTACCTTGCAAAATATCACTTTATGCTGCTAAACAACTTTCAGGCAGCCTCACGACAGTTACACCGTAATAAGCCATTTGAACAACTTTTTGACCCAAAAAGGGCGTCAGCATCGGTTTTAACCGCGGGGTGCGTATTCTGATTAACGGCTTGGAAAGTTCATGTGTAATAACCAAATCAGTTCATTTTAGGCAATTCATTTGACTTCGCCTTTAAGTAATCTCGCACTTATCGTTGACTTTTTCCCAGAAGACTTAATGTATGGAGATGGTGTTGGTCGTTTCCACCATGTATATTTTAGACAAAAATATCGGCGACTTTTGGTTGATCCTGCTTCACGATATCTTGGCCGGTGCAACGTGATACGTGTTGAAAGCATGCTGTCAATTTGGTTTGAACTAATAGGTGTAAATAGGCACTATCAGTCACAGCATTATCACTTTGCGATGATATTCCGCCTTCTTGCTGTTGATGCCACTGGCTGCCACAATCTCTAAGAGAACCCTTTATTAAAATACATTCACCAATTTCCTTGTTTCAATTGCCGTACATTAAAATAATGAGTTCAGTTGATGGTGATACCAATCACACCATAAGGCGAAATCCTTCAATGAGGATACATAATTGTGGGATAGCGCTACTCGAATTGACGTCACTTAAACAAGGGTGCTTTCTGGTCAGACTTGTCCTCAAGGTGGTTAAGACGTATGCCTATCTTTTTAAATCCAGTGGATCTTGCGGGTAATGACCCGTTTTGCTTACTTCCAGATCGTAGTAGTTGATTTAATTCTATTTTTTGCCCTTTAAGCATATATTTTGGATAAGTGCTTATTTTGATTAGGATTAGTTAACACCCAATTTAAACGGTTCTTTAAGAATACTATGTACATTTGAACATTTAATTGCAATTTTAAATCTCATGAAATGAGAAGTATGATCAAAAAACTTCGTTGCTATAAATCATAGCACAAAGAAGACCTAACAAGAAAGCCTAAATGGGGTTGCTCAGCATCAAAAATGGATTGAAGTCCGTCAGGTCGGAACACTAAAGTAAATTACAGCTTTAATTATTCAAAATTAAATCCACTTGATCTTCTCTTGCAGTTGCCTTGCCGTCGGCCATAAGAGACACCCTGGAGTCGGGTCTGCGACAGGTGCGTCGTTACTTGGCGCAGTCCGCCTTCGCCATGGTAGATTTGGGCCAGATTTTCGTTGGCTTACGCTCCACTCAGCCCACTACTGCAGCCGTGACTACGGCGGTCGGCTAGCCTTAAGGGACTTCTCACGGCCTTCTCTCTCCTTCCCTACCTCCCATTTTATGTGGCTCCAACTTTCATTGAAATGTTCACTTTTACAAAGGTGTATTTTTTTTAAGTGTGTGCGAATACCCTTTGTTGACTGAAAGGGATGACTTTCGGGTAATGTTTACATTCGATTCATTCACGAGGACTCGATTAAATGCGGTTTCTGTGGTGGCCTTATAATAAAAGTGCAGCCTTATTGCATTGGTAACCTGAACATGGTTCTGCACTACCAGCGTGGCAGCTATAATCGTGGACGAACTTGCGATTGAACTAGGCATTTTCTGCTATATGGTAGATATACTTGCTTTTGGGGTCGCAAATGCTCTTGATGGTGTAGTTCTGAACAGTAAACTCCCTGGAGGTTTGGGTAATGATTTCAATTTATCTTTTAGCGTTTGGGTGGTTGAAAGGAATTACCAATTCAGTTGCAGCCTTTGAGTTACGAAGATCTTATCTCTAGCGTTTCTAAGCCATTTACTGTAGTCTGGATCAGCTTTTGACGTTAAAGTAGAATCTCCACTCTGAGTGGCCACAAGCAGATGTTGACTTATCATGAAATTGCAAAAACCATTAACAGTTCCTCGGAGCGTAATACTGGTATCAGGGCCCAGGTCGCTGCATTTTGCCGCGAGGAAAACAAAATTCACTAGATGGTATCTTCGAGAAGAATATTGGCGCAAAACAGATCAGGGGCATAATTGTAAAGTTATTGGCGTACGTCCGTTATCTTATATGGAATCAGGGAGGCATGTGAGCTACACAAATTTGATCCCAAATAACGTTGTGACGTGGGGTAGCATTCTGCTCATGCGGTGTTTGTCAATTGTGATCCCGTGGAGTTAAAGTATGTTCCAATTGTTGCATCACCTGAATAAGCATACGTCTTTCTGAAGGGAAGTATTAAAAATCTCCTTCACTTATTTTCAGTGTAGAAGGTTGCGTTAATTTCCAAATGTAATACCGCTAGCTAGCAATAAAAGGTGCCAAACCGCAATCATTTAATCACTATTTGTAGATCTTTGTACATTCAATGCAACAAACTTCACCAGTGTACTCTTTAGCCTTATATAATGACCCTTTACTAATAACTACGGAGTTTAGTGGAAGGAAATTTTGTTTCGCCAGATGGAGCCCTTGTTTTACCCTTAAGACGCATTTCAACGGTCTTGCAATTTCACGAGAATCGGTAACACCAATTAAGACAATTCCAGCCCAGGAAACCTCCAATTCGGTATTTCCCTTTTTAAAACTTGCTTTTTAAGCATCATGTACAAGATCTAGGTAAAGTCCCGAACGAACACACGAAATCCCTCATTATTTCAATCTGATACGCTAAAACCAGTGCTGCCATCCAATTTTTCCTTAATCCCAAGCTCAGTTTGATGACACTATCCAAGCTAAGAATGCATCAGCCACATTGACGCGTTAGGAACGCAGTTGGGACATTTTCCAGTTTGTTAAAAAAGTATTTTATCTCTGACCCCCAAATACCGTGGAAAAGTTTCAACAACCCACGATCCGAGGCATAAAAAAATGATCACAGCATTAACACTGACCGAATCGAAAAATGAGATTCACTCATCATGGAAGCGCCGAGTATGTGGCGAATCCCCCCAGCAAGGAGCACTTGTAAAACAGACTTGCACCTTATGATGTCTGTAAGGATAGCACAAACAAGTCTTATTAGAAAAAGAACATTGTGTTAAAAATAGGCATTACATGTTCTATTTAAGGAAACAGTCACCACCAACAGCCAGTTGGTGGTGACTGTTCACCGTTCACAAATCAAAGAGGCGGGTGGGGGAGAAAGGAGATATCAACAAAATCAATGGTTTATGTGGAGGAGGTACAAAATACGCGGGACCGATGCTAACTGGGAGGAAAGGAAGAATAAGGAATTAAAAACCCAAATCGGACAAGTTGACACGCTTCGTCTCACTTTATCCCATATGGGTAATAAGGGAGCAAGATGAAACGGATGGAAAGACAGACGGATTTTTACGACTGTGATTGTTTCTTTGAATCTAGAGAAGTATAGAGAGCGTCTCCAGAAGGGCATGAAGGGAGGGAAGGAGAAGGGGCAACGCCATCACGAGAAGGAAGAGGAAAGAGGCGGCAACAGTGGAACAGGAGGAGCGTCGGGCCGCAGTAAGAGCAATGTGCTGCAGAGAGGGACCGCGATGCCAGCGAATAACCCTGTCCGCACTCGAGCTCACCAGCTCGTAATGCAGCGGCAGTTGGCGGTGCTGCTCGGTATTGTTGGTACCGGAGGCGGCGTTGTGCTGCTGATCTCGTGGGGGCAGGAAGGTAAGGCTGGTGACAAAAATGGGATGCGCTTTTGGCATACTGTAGACGCGCACTAGGCTACGATCGCGCAGAGATATCCTGTATGACAATGGCAAATGATACAATAATGCGATTTGAAAGGACTTAGTTCGAGGTGAACAGCGACTAATGTGTTCGCAAAATTAAAAAAACAGGACTAGGAGTATAATTGGCGCTCTTATTATCACAAATTTTGCAATCAATTTGTACGAAATAGACAAACACTAATGTCCATAGACACATTTTTAAATGAATGAGGGCATACAACTCCTACGAATTTTTCAACACCAATTTCTAGGACGCACAGGTATTTAAAAACAGAAAAAGGGAAGTTGATTTATTTCAAATGTAACACGTATAGGTGTGCTTAAATGACTATCAATTCTAGCTAGATTTTTTAGTCGACAAAATTATGCTTCACCCCAAAAGGAATGTAGTTGAATTTTGTAACACATAAAGAAACAATGATGAGTCTTCCCTGCCTTTTACACGTCTAGTTTATACCTTGCCGTGTAGAATTTTAAGAACAGGAGCTGGACAACGAGTCCGGTCCAGTGGCTGTAAACGGTGATTTTTGGGATGTAAAGGCCACAGAGATTAGGGGACAATAATATTTCCAAAACAGTGAAAGCGTTACCCAACAAGATCACCCAAGTAAAGGCAAGAATTCGACACATAAAGTCAGTCGTTACAGTTAAATACAAATCAAGAGGTGATAAGACGAAAGAGAAACATGAAAAAACATATTACTAATCTTTTATACCCTGCAAGAGTCTACTTTAGGCTCCAAAATCTAAATACCTAGAGTTCAAGGGTACAATAGTGAATCTAATACAAGAAAGTGTGGACCCTGGTTAATCAAATCAATGTCTCAAAGTCACCTACATGAAGGCGTCGACAGAACCCTCCATAGTGCCAAGAGCAATGAGGCCGCGATGGGAGCTGGGGTGGACGGCGATGCAGGCTGGAATCTCGCCGGGTGGCAAAGGTACCGCCGCGAAGCGTTGCAGGCCCAGCACTGGCTGTGGGCCACTGATGGCGACAGAGGTGAAGGGAGCGGAGATAGGTAGTGGAACGAGCCACACGGAGAGGTGGCACACGGAACGTGTGGTGGGACTCACCGGCTGCTCGGTGGTCGCCAAAAAGGTAAAGAGACCGCCCTCCTCTGTTGGCCGCCTGTGTGTCCAACGCAGGAACTCGCAGTGACGGAAACGCGTGCCGTTCTCTGACCGCTTCGATCGTGATTGCCCAGGCTACAATGTGGTCAGGACATAACCTGCACTACTACTACTCATGCAGCCATTTGTCCAGCTGGAAACCACTGTATTGGTTATCGGTAGGTCAAGCCACTATTATTTACCACAGTACTTGAACTCAATGCAGATGCGCCATGTTTGAATGTAGTCCGATGAAATAACAGGATTAGGGTAGAGATTTAGCTTAATTGCGGCGGTAAGGGATGAAACTTTTTCATTACACTTGGGACACACCGTTTTCTGTGCTTCGTTTAGACAAAAAAATACCCACTTCAGCAGTAATTTGGGGGCTAAAGCTTAAGATGACTGATCTTGCGCCCAATGCACTATCGAAACAGCACAAACGATGTTCAAGTTGTAGTATTTTTTTAAGTTCGAAATGCGGAAACACTGCTTCTTCATAAAAACTGTAAAAAGTTAAATGCAAGCTTTTCAGCGGCCAGTACATCACTACCGTGGAACTCCAGACAGAAAGAAGTTTTTGGTTCAGACGCCTACCAGTGGTTACATTCTACTAAGTCGAATCGTACAATTTAGTAATATTGGTCAATAAATGTCTAATTTGCGAAAAATGATTTCAAACCCATTTACACATCAGGCAATATTAACTCCACTGGTATATCAAATAGAAGCTTGGACACTTTAAACTATGCCGCATAATCTGACAGGCGCATAACGCATTGTAGGCCGTAGGGCCAACATCTTTCAGAGAATTCGAAACGACCACTGAGTGTGCCCAAAAACATGTAGTTCCAGGAAGATTTTAGCCACAAAGCATAACCTACAAAAACTGGGATATCAACATAACCCCCAAAACAGGTCGTTAGTATCTTCAAAACCAGAACCAATATACGGCAAAAATACAATCCGTCAAATACAGAGATCGAAACCATTCAAGAAACCTACGATGTTTAAAGCACGGGTTTAAGGCATTTCATACACCATAAATCCAAAACACTTATCCCTAATAAAGTTATGCTTTGCTTAATTCATAATTCATATGGTTAACTTCATACTATCATAGCGTAATTTGCAACCCGCCACAATAACCGCTATAAGAGACGTGATATAATAAAAGGCGGAAACTCCGTCCATCTGCGTGTGAAACTCATGGACCCCAGCTAAAGTGAAGGTGAAAAACTGAGAATTCACTGTAAACGAACAAGCGCAGAGGGGAAGAAAACAATTTGATACATGACCCAAAGAGCATTTTCAATATCACGTGGCTGCCTTAGTACTTATGAGAGCGATAAGCGTATGAGACACCACCTCCAACGCAAAAAATGAAGGCCTTCCCAAAGTCATTAAAGAGTATGCAACTAATTTAAACAGATTCATCTACCATTCCATACACCAAACATCGTGTTGTAAAACTTTAAATGAACTATAGAATGGTTTTAAACCGAGTCTACAATAAAAATAAAATAAAAAAGAAAAAATACAGCTAATGGATACATGAGTTCCCAAAAATCCAGAAACGTGATCGTATTTAATTGGGCAAAGCAAAACAGATGACCGGGAGCATTGCAGTTTAGAAGCAGCGGCTTCAACCACACTTGAGAATAAACTGATTACAGACTGACCGTCCAGTAACAAAAAAGTGTCGTCATGGTAGTTGAACTACCCACAAAGACGCGATAGGTACAGAGGTAATTATTAAAAGACGGTAAGTAAGTGACAATAATATTAGTTTTACATTAATCGCGACATATATTAGATAGAAATTTTTTTCGGATGAAGTAATGAGTGCAAAATAGTACTTGATAACTGGATAGGTCGACATTGCAACTTTGTCAACATGCTCTTCGCGTATGTTAATTACTACCGAATTTATTCCATTTTCAAAGTTAAACTAAGGACCACAGAAAGTGAAATGGCTCATTTAAAGCAAATTTAATTTTATTCACAGCACACTGAGAGGTTGATGAACCTCCAAATGAAATCAGGATATAGTTAGCAGAATAAGAAATGCTTACCTACATCCCACAAACACCTGGTCACTACTTACTGAATGAAGCAATACCATTGAACATGACCTCGAACGAAAATGAGAATACACACAATCTTAGGGAGCAGCTGATTGAAAACACAAAAGAGGAAGAAAATTCACAACAACAAACCTTTTTCTGCCCCATAGAAATACACGCATTCTCCATCTTCACTTCGGCGTAGAGAAGGGGTGAGGAGGTTACCGCCCAATCTGCCTCGCGCCCGCCCTCCGCATCCATGGCGAACTTGACCCTCTTGGCGGTGGCGGGATCCGGGAAGAAAGGCAATCGCCAGATGCATAATAGGCTGCCCATGGGTCGACCACTGATGGTAGCCAGCAGGGGCGTCACTGAATGATGCGCCCTTCCACTACCCTTTGAAGCGGTGGTGGTGATCGTGACGAAATTTGCAGCTGACAGCGCCACATCACAGACCGGCGCGCAGCGACCTCCACTTGCGTCTGGCAAGGTGCAGAACGGCTATGGTAGAAAGGAATAGCCAAAAGAAACCTGATTTACTACGCTGGATTAAAGGTGACATAAGACAGTAAAAAAGATAATGGGATGTTTTTCCCTTGGCCTTCCAGGCTCATGCCACATAAAGTCAAGAGCAACTCGGCCTACACTGTGTCAGATGGACCGCCTTACACTCCGTTCAGATTCGTGCGGCATCAAATTACCACAGCTGTTTCTCTTTCCTTGAAAATAAACTCCTGTCAAATTTCACAGCAAAACTAGCAACTAATCTTGACTGGTTACGCCGTAAGCGGATACTATATGAACGATTTCTATGAGGCAGCTGATGTATGACAACCTAATTCATGGGAATCGCTCTTGCTCACAATTCCCCGTGGCTCATAACTATTCATAAATAAATGCGACTCCAAAATCTGCCCTAGAAGCAGAAAACATAATTTAACGGAACATAGGTTGAGCCTCTACGTCGTACCCTAATTGTAACTTAAGAGTGTCATAAACTAATAAATGAAAACTGCCATAAATTAACATTCGCGTAGACAAAAGGGAGTTAAAGAACCTAGTTAAAGCAGTGAGGGATTCACTTTGACGAAAGCTTTAAAAAATATGCACCGTTGACACTTTATGTAACTTTGTTAAAAAAAACATGCCGATTTTTGAGAAAGGGCCTAACAGAGATGCTCAATTGTTGATGTGGAGTTTGAGTGTATTTGTGGCAATGTCAAGTTAACCTTCCTCAATTAAGCTACGTGACAGGCTGGCGAAAACCTCGAGCTTGTTTTTAACTGAAACCTTGCACTCTTCTACCTCAGTCTATGAGTTTAACGATGAACAAGACGGTAAACTTTTCTTTATTGAGTGAATTAAAGGATTCACGAATATTTCAAACTTCATATAAACTGTTAGGAATATACATTAGTAGTATTTAAATGAATTCGGTACCCACAAATTAGTGGTCCACATGTTAACAGTTTAAGCGCGCCTGCTCTATTGGATTTACTATGAGTTCTGAGATGGATCTTGCATTACAGTTGTTTAGCACAGACAAACAGACAATTCTTCAGTCATCAATGGGCTTCCAGGTAGAATGATCAATACTAATGTCTATGGCCTAGTAGGAATATAAAAAAAGCCATTTTGATTCCGAAATGTAGTTGCTGAATCCTATCAATGAAAAAAGTCGGTGCTTAAATCCGCCTCTGCATATGGTATTTTTCGAACTAAAACTCCGGCGGTACATAAAATATCCAAAAAATAATAGGAGTGTCTTAAAAAAGTTCCTTAATTTCCAAAATCATGCATTCCTTAGCTCTCAAAACATAAACCACCAATTACTTAGTGTTTGAGCGGACACTTAAACGTCAAGGTAAATGTCTCCAACTCAAACAGCCAAGTCAACAGATGCTACACACATACAAAAGTGAAAAGACGAAATCACTCAAAAATTTTGGCAGCAGGATTAGTTGGTAAAATAGGCTTTGATTCTATCACAAAAACCAGTATAGTCCAGTTTACATAAATTTATAATTAAAGGAAAGTGCTGTGTAAAGTGTGAAAGGCATTCACATCGCAAATGACCACAGAGAGCAATTCGGCGATTAAAGTTGTGCCCAATAGTCTTGTTACAGGTCGAAAGCATGCATTTACATGAATCTCTTAAGAAAGGTAAAGAAAATGCACACAAAAGAATAGCTAAGTTAAATATACTACTTTATATAAGTACAAGTTGATTTTAGGCCTTGCCGAAGTAAACAAATCATCCAAATAAGAGAGCGGTTTTAAATTAGGAGTCATCAGAGCGATGTGTCAATCTGTTTTGCCATGTCTGCGGATTATGGCTAACCCTAAAAAATAATAAAGGAATACCAGGGACGCCAATCATTATGATGAATACCACTCAAAATGAAAGATTCGCCCTTATAGCATGGCATTCCATCAAAACGTCAATTTAAAAAGGTGGAACACAATGTATACCAAAAGAAACATTCTCACCATTTCTAAAAATACACATTAACTTCACTACTTCAACTATGCATTCTTATTATGTACATCAAATACAGGTGGAAATTTCGTCTAAAACTTTGTTAACAAAAGTACCTGCCCTGTGAAACGAAAGCAAATGGGAAAACTATTAAACAATGCCTCATCTTGTAATATAGATTAGTAAGACAAAACATAGAATGACCCTAATAGCATATACCATAAGCGGAATTTCCCATTATAGCGTTATTAATGAATAAAAGTGAGGAATCTTACGCCAATTTCCGATTAACAATGTGAAACTAAGGCAGAGAGACCGCCACCTGTCTGCATTAAAAACAAATAAGTGACAGTTGACTTCTTCCCAAAGGAAGTGTGTATTAATGGAAGCACAACAAAACAATGACGTAATTTCCACTGAAACGGAGTGATCCAAATTTAACACAAAACTCCACTTTAATTGATAAGCGCTATTTACCGAGGGCAAGAGACGAGTAAAGCACCAAGCGTATTACCAGAAGCAAATATTGGAATTACCAAAATGAGTGATAAACGTTACACAGGAAAGCAAGGCAATCGTAAAAATAGACAATTGGGCACCAAATTAGGACGCAAATCCGTGCAAGGACAATTTAAAAAAGGCACATGTGGGTTTCAGCGCAAATAAAGCAAGCAACACCTACAAGAAGGACACACACACACGTGACAGAGGTAAACAGAATCAGGAAAAACAAATGTGACCAACTTTATGGCTTATCAAAGTGCTTCATTCGCTAGGTCAGATGAAGGAATGCTCGGAAGAATTCCGATCACTAAGTCCTGAGACGAACGTGAGCTTTAAAGTAATAAAATGTTATAAGATTATAAGAAAAAATATGACAGTGACGTCAATGGATAAAGTTGGCTTGAATATATCTTTTAGCATAAAAACACTAATGTCAAACGTCTTTTCAGACCAACCACAAATGATAAGGGACAAAACTAACTTGAAGTGGAAAGATGACATCTTCTTCATTATTATCGAAGGTGAAAGCGTAGGAGGCATTGGAGGGCGAACGGGGCGAGAGGGAGTAACGCGTCTCCTCCACTAGAGCGTATCGGTCGATGAGAGCGACACCGCCATGCACAGTACCCACCGCACACCACCCACCGCCTGCCGGTCCGCCCGACGTGATGCATGTCAACTCGTCACCGTCGTCAAGTAGTGCAGAGACGCTACCCGTGCTGCTGCAGCTGTCCAGACGGCGACGCTCCATCAGAGCTTTGGTGGGCGCCACGCTGACGCTACGCAACGCCTCGCACGTCCACGGTAGCTGCTCCTCGCCACTGCTATCGGCCGGGGTCTTTTTCGCTACTTGGGATGCTTCAAAGAGAGTGGTTCGCGCCGAAAACCTGCGCGCCATGGTGGTAGAACTGACACCAGTATTGGAGTGGTTGTCTTCAGAGGAGGAAGAGGCAGAAGATGGTGTGTGCTGATGCTGGAAGTAACGTGCCACGCCAGTGGATGATATAGCTGACTCTTGTTCGGTGAGAACTTCATCGGCGATTGTGGATGGTTCAAGATCGTTGGCATGGAGGAAATACTCCTGACAGGTGGAGCCCTCGAGTGCAAGGATTGAGGCTGCACCGGGAGACTGACATCCGAGTGTCATGTGCATTATGGCTTCGTGTTTGGTATTGAGACCACCAATCAACTGAAATAAAAAAAGATATTAAATGACAAAATTGGGGTGGACCTGCTGCTGCTAGTAGAGAAGGTACCGTAGTGTTAGCTGGGATGAGAGCTTCATTGGCATCCTGACTAATGGGGGCGCAGGCTGGGCGATCGAAATGAATTACATCTATTCGATTAGGCACTCCAGTTTTCGAGTTTCCGCCACCCCCTGCTGCAAGAAGAGTGTTGGGCCCAATCACCTTCAGTTGATAAACTGGATATGAAAACCTGTAAAGAATCGTGCGATCTGGTCGACTGGATTTCCTCATGATTGTAGACAAGCTATGAAGAGAATAATTTTTGTGGCAATAAGATAGCAGTTCGAATTTCAAGAACACTATACACTGTTTAATGCCAACATAATAGCACTAATTTGAAAACAAGTTAGCAAGGAGCATTGCACGATATAACGAAAATAAATGAAACCCCAGTGAGCTTCGACAATACTTGGCGTATGAAACCACTTTAAAACATATAATAACTGAAGAACAGGGTGCACATAACTACCAGAGGCATATGCAAAGGTATGAATAGAAAAGTGTCAAGACCAAATACAAAACCCATAGGACTAAAAGGTGGCAGAAAAAAATAAAGAACGCTCATCATTATTTGATAAAACATGCAATCCTAGAAAACACGGACGGCACTCGAATCAGGAGGCAGATTCAATCATAATCACACAAGTACTTAATTGAGAGCATGGAGTAAGGAGCTAAGCACGTCGATACGGCACCAATTCTCACTAAACGCACTCAAACAAACCCGCCGAAGCCAACGTATAGCAATACCTAGTCTGCTATGCCACAGACTAGACAAAGTGATGCGTTAAAACAAATACCCGCAAGGTACTGCTTTCATACAATAACATAAAAGCAGTATTTTCACTACCTTTTTGTAAAAATAGCTAACCTAAGGTCAGACAATTACTCGCAACGGCTCTACTTATTGGAACAAGTACTCCTTTAAAAAAGTGACTTTTGTGGTCATTAGCGGAAAATATCCACCGTTCCATACTGCGTAAACTGCACCTAGACACATCATGCAAGAGTTTCGGTACCTGACCCACCGGCCCAAACCAGCGTACCCAAAGGGCGCTGTTGGACTACACGCAAAGCGAAGCCCGACGCACCACAGCCACACGCCCCGCCCCCTACGGCGCCGCCCCGCGCGGGTTACATAACCCAACCCGGGAGAACAAAGAACGCAAAATTAGCGCGGAACAAATCATAATTCCCATATGTATGTATAAATAATATATACAGCGGCCCGGAAACAGTGTGCGCCCATGAACCCGCCTTTGGAAAGTTCTAAAATGTGAAAGAAGATTGAATACTAATCGAGAAAACAGAATAACGAATAGCTGTAGTTTTGTTAGCACGATTTCACCAAAGAAACCAGGTTTGACAGTAGAAAGGAGGTTATTTCCGGATCACAATCTAGTAGCAACGTGATACCTAGAATACACCACGAACTGTGCTACTTTACATGCCCAAGGTGTGAGATCTTTCGAAACGATGGATTAGCAAGTGAACAAACCGAAATTAAGATTAAGAACATGTCATTACTACATACTTAATGAAGATGCTTTTACGTAAAGTGTGTCACACGCAAAACAGAGATGAAAGTCCAAAGTCCAGTGACATAATTAGATAGAATAACATAATCAAGGAAACGACTACTTTAATTTACCATCAAGAAACAGGTCCATGTAGGTAAGACGAGATAACACAACTTTCACGTTTTTTGATGTCGTCGTCGCCTTTGCTGGTGCGATCATCGGCTCCATCCGCCTCCATCTTTCCTCCATCCCTCCTCGATTTGCATTCGTTGGTGCTGTTACCGCTCCCGCAAGCATAAAAATCCTCAGTTTTGATCTAGAGCAAGATGTTTTTGGGAGAAATAAGGAGGTCTTATTATATGCTAAAATTCTGTTTAATTTTAGAGAGGATTATTGGACAGACTGGTCTATCACTACTTCTCCAGTGCTTTTCTTTGATTTATTTTTAAGAAAGATTAGATCTGGACTTTGTGAGCGGAATCGGTCAGCACAAATGCTGATTGCATTGCACGCTGCGGTGGCAACGTCGTTTAGCGGGAAATCTGGACATCACGATAAAGATGCAGCCTCGGAAAGTACCACTGGCACAACAAACTACGGTATTTATAGCAGTTTAAAGCAGCGGACTATGAGGCTAGATATCTCAAGTTTAGTTTGGTCGTTTTTGAGTAAGCAAACCGACCCAATCATGAAAGCACTAAGTGGCTAACGTAAACGACTTAATACAATGGAAATACGGCTCGAATGATACCCTTGCACGCTCGAAAGCAAGAAGACGAGCACATGGGGAAGAATATGGGAACAACTCACTTGATCAACATAACAGCCATTCGTTTGCAACTTTGGATCTCGCATTCGCAAATAATTAGTGGGAGATTCGTAAAAGGGAACTAGAGACCAAAAGAGCATATGAATGACAAAGACTGCTTGACACACGGAGGTGCCAACCAACAAAGCTCTCAGACTCACGGGTGTCCGCTTCAGGAAAGGCATCGCATTTATTTCGCTCTTCATCACCGTAGGAGCGGGACCTTCGCGTGCGCTTGGTTTTTCCGTCCTGTGTGCAATACAAAAAATGCAACAGAAACCAGTGAAGGAAACCATTCTACTACTAGAAGGCTGTCAATTGATGAACTCAGTCTACCGAAAAGCTACGCTAGTGGAGATCCAAAGACGATAATAACTAAGAATCCGTGGATAGCAATAAAAATTAGGGAAAGAAAGTTACACTTACGGAGGTCCGCGAGTGTGATGAACGAGTCTTTTTGAGCACAATGGGCATAGCAGGTAGGTCCTCATCCCGAAAGCCGTTGGCAGCAGTTGCGGCCAAATTGGGCAGATCAAGCTCAAAATCTACCTCCGCATCCTCACCATCCACCTTGCCGTAGGCGTGGCCCGGTGACGAAGAGAGGTCGTCGTACTAAAATATTGACAATATCAAAACCTGGGCAACCAACTGCCACTAGCATACTTTCACCAGTGTCACCATCAAACAAAGGTAAGAGGTTTGAGATGGGGAACCCGGTCTTTTAAGAGCGTAGTGATCACATTTGATATGTTTTCACCCATCCATGGACACACATAACGCCCGATTTTCTTGCTTGTGACTTCACACCACATGTGTGGTATAATCAGAAGGTAAAGCGTTATGCCAATTTATGGCAAAAAAGATCTGACTGGGTTAGTCTACCTGAATTCAATACGCAAACCTTTACATAATAACATTTACTCCGTATACCAAACTACCAATGCTTAAAACTTCGAGAGTTTCTCCCTTATCTTACCTTCAGAAGTTGCTTAAGCTCCACAAACTTAAACGCACATTTGTGCAACACAAAAACATGTCGATCCAATCTGGTAAATAAATACACCTATACCACTTCAATCAGACTCAAATATCTTGGCCACCATGAGTTACGCTCAAGCTCTTTATGGGCACCGTCACGATAATGATTCGCTTGACAATAAAAGAATGCGTTGCAAAAAGCGCGGATAGGCACTTACACTGACCAACTTATACAGAAGCTCACCCAATGCCTCATTACAGGAAGTTTTGATGAAAGGAGAAGCATTCCGGAAACTGACGCAAGAATTTTGACACTACTAACGTCAGATCCGTTTTATCATCTAGGGGCGATGGAACACTTCCATTGTCGCAATTAAACCGATTTTTAACCAAGAAACCTGAACTTACAAAAAAAGGTTTTTGCATGGACCCAGAGCTCCGATAAGAATTAGAGACGATGTGATTATGCTTCATACTGTAGAGCATCACCTTCAGCTTGTCCTTCGCTATGCAGGCTCGAATGCGCGCTTGGCAGCCGATTTTCTGCGAACGGACTCCGATGTAGGCGGAATTCCGCTGCTTCGTTTTACCTGAGTGAATGCAACCATAGTTGACCCTCTCGTAAACCAGTCGCGTTTTATGCTCACTCGACTCTGGAAGCATCCTAGTCGAGTACTTGGTAAATCGCGTTCCCGTCATCTACTCACAGAAACAATGGCAGTAGAAAGCAAGGTACCCCATACTTTGGAAGCCAAAGTTTAACAGCATTAAACAGTAGCACTAGAGCAAAGCACTCGTTCGATCAGTCCTTGACAAATAGACTAAGATTGATGAAATATAAACTCTCGTGAACGACGGAAAATTAAGCACAATGTATACATGCAAGTCCAAGCGACAAGGAGATAGTCTAGATAATGGATACCTGCTCTAGTTCCCGTATTTTGGCTTCAAGCTCCTGAAAGCTATCGAAAATCATTGAGGTAAAGGTGCATTTAAAGGATTCGGTGCAGTCGACTAGAGTGGAAGTATCTGGAGGGTCGGGTGGGTGATTGTGTTCCATGGACCAGCAACGAATGTACATGAAGTTTCGCCGACATCTCACGTTGCAGTAGGCAGTGCAGTTGCGTTTCTTGGCATAGGCGCATTTCAAATCGAGATACTTGTAAACGAATCGCTCACGATTCTGCGTCCCCTCGTGGTAGTAGCTGAACTTTGAGTTGACAAATCGATAACCGAATGTCTGTAAGTTAAGTTGTGGCAAAAGGGAAAGCATACATCAGAGAAGGCGGTTAAGTTATCCTGTAACTGTTTGAAAGAACCAAAACGCTGTGAAGCAATATTGCGTTCAAAATCTGCGACCGCTGTCATTCCTAAAAAGAGGAATTCATAAATGAAAACTACTAAGAGTGCAAAATAATTTTAGAAGAACAATATTTCCGCAAAAATATGACTGGACTAGAAAACACCAGTGATGTATTCAAAGACTTTAGAGGACACGGTGTACGCAAACAGAAATAATTACTTTCACGTTAAGTGAATGTGCCGATTCTAAATAAATAGATAGTTTGTTCTGATAGCGGCGATATGAATGCAGCAGTCATTGGTCGCAAAACAAAGAGTAAAGTATTTTACAGAGAGTGAGTAGCGAGCTGTCAAAATGGGGATGCATTCACACCAACGCGTTTTTTTTTCAATCTCAGCCATGGAAAAGAGCGAATCACAACAATCCCATGTGAATTAGAATCCAAAACTGAATATGGTATTCAATTCACGTAAAACAGGTAAAATATGCATTAAGTGTCCTACTTAGTGAAAAAGCGCAAAGTATCGAGTCATGCACAGCAAATACCACACACAGATAAGTACCAGACGAAACGGAAACGAACATTAGTAATTGGTTGGTGTGGGATACTTAAATAAACGGCTATTTGATAAAACAATGAGCTAAAATGTACTTGCAAATTTTAGATATTTTAAAAAGTTCCCTAATCTTTAGCTGTTTTTTTCACTATTTGTTGGATTTTAACCAAAAACAGCCGGCAGTCCTTCTACATTTTACGAAGGCTGGTTCAGTTGTGCATAACACGTATATTAACGGACTAACTGCCTTAAGTCCTTTCTAGGTTTCACAGTGAGCCACGGTAGCACTTTACAACACAATAATAGCGCAAAGAAGGGCTGGAATATTGCTAATATTGACAGAAGGCTATGCCACAAATTGGAAGTGCAACAGTCGAAATGGCATTTGTCTACGTAGTTCAAGGCAATTAAATGCAATACCATATCAGTAAAACGCCATTTGTGATCAAATCATTTTGAAAGTACAGTAAGTTGTGCGGGTTTAAACGCTGCTTTACCAGAAAACCACCAGTATTTGTAACATAGCAACATTCGTTTCAACCATCAGGATTCCGACATTAATCTTAGTGGTGCGGTGCTACAATCACATTATTTCCCTCCATTGTGCACTAGACCTTCATTATTAATTTAAGCATAGCTTTGTACAGGGTCTTATACCCTATAAAGCCCTCATAGTGGACCCAGCCGTTGCACATGCATATGGTAGTTGAAACGCCGCTGGACCTGTGCACTGCTGTGCAAGCAACTAAAAACACCGCCTCATTGGAATTTTTTTCAGTTCGATAAATTGAATCGTCTTTGTTTGTTCTGATTCACCTGCTGTTTGTTGGGTCGCTATTCATGTGGCTAATTTTTTAAGCGATGTAAAGTCTTTGAAATATGTGAAAAATTACGACTTCAATTTACTCAACTTTTTGGACGGAAGTAGATGAAAATTGTGACTAGGTGTAGAAATAGCGCTTTATCCTTTTGCACTGTGAATACAGTTCTATCACGTGAATACGGAACTGGGATTTTCAACGCGGCAATCCGAGCAAGATAATGCGTACATCAACAGAACAAACTTTTATCTTTGACCAAGAGGAAAACAGTTATTTATGATAGTCGCATGTTTGGGGAATAATAAACACAAGCAGAAGGTAATTAACGCATAATCTATTTCAGCAATACCATATTGATGAAGATCAGAGGATGATGGTTTGAAGCTAATCCAAAATCTTAAACAAATAAATAAATAATAAATAAATCAAATAGAACCCATTTATACTTAACGGTAATTAAGTGAAGAAGGTACTTGGTTATATTCAATTGATAAGAGTAGAGCGAGGGGAGGTGTTAACATGTAAATTAGCGATGAGGCAGTGGTATATGGCTGTCAGCGCACTCCCATCTGCGCAGTCAGGTGACGTCACTCTCACTAACGGTAGGTGAACCAGATCATTTGGTTGGACTATCTTCGAGCATGGTAACTTTTACTGTCAGTTTAACGAGGTGACAACGAGCCTTCAAGGGTTCGCCCATACACCTAAAGATAATATGTGATCGAAAACCGCCTGTTACTAAATTGGCTCCAATGAGTTGATGATCCTCTACAATTGATGCAAAATTGATTCGGCGTCTTGTTTAGACGCTGGGCGTCTATATTAGGTGGCGCGTACGCTCACTAAACCTGCTTCAATTGTACATCCTTCATGCAGTTATGAAAACGCACCTCTATTCTCTGGCCACTTAACAAAGCCTAGCCAAATTATTGCTGTTATGGTAACTTGAGTTGGACAGTTTCGTACCGAAATATCTGTCAAATACTTATATTTGGTGTCGCAAAATGCAGTGGATTATTCAGCCAGGTGGGGGTCACCTAGGAAATTGAAATTTGCTAAAAACACTTGACACAGACCAATTGAGATTTAAGAATTAGTTATTTTTGGAGGTTACTAAGACTGTCATCATCTTTGCTGAATCCACACAATTTGTCGACATTCTATGTGAAAGTGTTCATGAGTCAGTTTGCTTGTGATGCATTCTGAAAATACCTTCGTTATCAACTGCGTCCTAGTTCCACGTAAGCGTAATTGTCGTCGCTTCGTTTTGATTTACTTTTATACTGAACTTCAGTATTATTCAAACCCATCGGTACCAAGTTAGCCCTACACATTACTCTTCAAGCCAATGCAACCGCTTGGATGCTTTTGAGATAGCATCGCCGATATTTCACCGTTAGAAGCACAAGCAAACAGCCTCCAAAATGTCATCGCTGAGTATGCATAGCCTTCGAGCCCAAAGGTGTTCTCACTGGAAAGGGCATTAAATTGCGAGTATTAAGTCATTAGGAGAAAGTTAGAGGGAGTGACTTAATGCTTTTCCAAATTCCATCCTGGGCACACATTACGTGGCCCCGACGAGTGGCGTTCACAGAACCACGAAAGACCACTCGTCTCTCTTAGGTTATTTACAAATTTTTTCTACGGGCTGCGACAAGGATCTCAAAAGGCCAACCAAGTGATGATCACCTCACCTGTACATTTGCCATTACTAAGGGCACACCCGAGCAACTAAAATGCGTCTCCCGGTCCCAGTTACACAAAAGTCTAAATCCTCACAAGAGCATAGTCGCAATTGAAAAATGCCGAATGCCGTAGTTGTCAACTCGTAAAAATACTAGCAGCCAAAAAGATTGGCTGATTTTTATTTGATCAGCTAATAGAGAGAAATATCTACTGAAGAGCATCCAAACTTGGTCCAAGTTCGTTGCCTTAATCCCTTGATATTCAAGATCGAGAGCATCATGATTTGCTTTGCATTGCACAAATGTGCACGAAAGTGTTGGCGATAAGTATGACCTTTTGGTCAGTCAGCTGAACCCTAACATGTGCTCTGGCAATATTACAGAAAGAGTTTACTTTCCCCTCACTCCTATGCCACTCAAGTCCTCCTTCAACAGATCATCCAACTCATCACTCCAACATGCCAAACGGAAGTTGATTCATCCATTCTATCGATTCGTTCCATTGACGAGACGAGGCCCATATCTCCACACCGATCGGATCCGTCAACGGAAAGTCGATTGATAGGTGTGATGTTGTGTCATTCTCAAGTCGTCGCAGCACCTCTGTCATAGCCAACATTCTGTGATCCGCATGAGCTAAAGCCTCTCAAACTTCAGATCTGCATGGCTTAAATCATCTGTTGTTCTTATTTTGACTGACATTTGAGGAAAAGTTCAGAATGAATGAAATCTTGCATGATTGGTAAAGTTTTGGTTGTGGACCTTTTTCTACATGTGAAGGCTTCATTTTGCCGAGTATATTTCGTAGAGAAAAGGGTGGCAATTATGCTTTTTACTTGGCTATGTATCGCACACGGGCATTTAGCCACATCGGTGGTGGAGAAGGGAAAGGATACTATGAAAGATGATTCATGAATGAACAGTAGTCACAATTTTCGTGTTTTAAAATTGCCATAGTAGAGGACGCGATCTCATCTTTTTAATAAAAGCGCTCATGGTGGTGCTGGATTTGAGAAGGACTAGAAGTGGATGATGAAGGAGAAGAAGCAGTTCATTGTCTTGTAACCGTATCATTACCTACGGATCCCTATGTGGACAGCTGTATAGAAGGCCATTTGAACTTGGTCGAATTTTCTGAATAATAAACCTTTGTCTAACAGGAAAGGCAAGTCATTTGCCATCTACAGATTGTTCAGATTAAGGATTCTCTTAATCTTTCAGCAGAAGCTTACATTTACGAAAGAGGTTGGCACCAGCCAGTCTTTATACCTAATCCCTCTTTCTCGATTCATTCTTATTTCTCTGCTGAAAAAGGGCACAATAAGCATGTTTATGGTGGGAATTTAAACAATTGCATTTCACATGCCAAAATTTTTACCTTTTCTTCACCAAACAACCGGTGGTTAACTATGTGAGCAGACTGTGTACCTCCTATTACTCCTATTTTCACTGTTTACCAGTCGAATTAAAGATGCTTAAGCAACTACACTTAACTTATTTACCACTGTGACCCAAGTCATCCCTAAGGGCCCAATACGATGAAGCAGCACGAAGGAAGGTCCATTTTTGAAGCACTTTTGAATGGGAGGCGATGGGCTTGGACCCAACGCCACTGATGTCAAATTAACGGGTGGATCCACAGGTGCATCATGCCTGTCCACAAAGTGCATGATAGTAAAAAAGGATTTTTTTTTGAATTAGAAGAAACTCTAGAGCAGTATTCCCCAAAATCAGCATACCAAGCACATATGAAACTAGAAACCCTCATAGGTGACAAGGAAGTTAATTAATTAATCATATAATTTTCAATAGCTATCAGCATAAATTAATTATTCAACTCATCAAAGCAAATGACATGAGATACGCAAGCATGTTTTTTTGGATCATGTATAAGAAATAACTTTATTTATGTAGGAAAAGTAAGGAAAACATCAGCCTTGATAACTGTTTCAACGCTTCATCATGCGCGAAGTTTACTTGACGACAGTAGGTCCAGGCGATTCGAGGACACGTAAAATTCCACCCGCCCCCCGGGTCCAACCACCGTTTACCTATTTTCCCACGGTCATGATATGAGGGCCACAAATGGAGTTCCCCTTGGCATTATAATTCCCCCCAAAAAACGGCGAACTCGGGGCAGCTCTGCTATTGCCATCGGGGGTCGATTAATGCAATCAACTTACAACAATAAACTATTATTTTACGCTTCCTATAATGCTTATTGAAACCCACTTAATCCTAATTTAAAATTAACCTTGCGCTAATAAAGAAGAATGATTAAAAAGTTTCCACAAATATCTCCTCTTTGGTTGTACATGAGGACATGGAGACTCGTGAATCCGAATATAGTTTGTCCTCAGTTATGTCGTGTAGTGAAATTTAAATCAATGAGAATCGAGTTTGTGAATTAAAAGGACAAATTTTGATTTACTGTTCCTCGTCTAAAACTTTTCCAAACATGAACCTCTGTGAGACGCTACTTTACTAATTCTCTGTTAACATTTATTCTGCGATCGTGACAAGCCTAGTGAGATCGTATGTAGTGCGTTGAAGCTGACACTTAAGAGAATTTACCCAAGAGCGTCCAATGCAAATGTGGATGATTAAGCCGCAACTGCGAACCAAGGTCCTCCAGCTCCAATGATTTGTTTACTTTACACTGATTCCTACCCCTCCTATCACCATCTGAAGAAGCAGTTAATTCTACAGCCGATTTCCACCATCCACGCATGGAATTACTAAAGAAATTTTGTCATTGAATATTCTGGTGGCACCCATACGCCTCCTCATCCTTTTGTAACAACACTAATTCTGCCTGCTTATCGAATCGCGGCTTTTTCTCACCCTTCTCTTCCTTTCACTATTTCTGACCTGGCAAACATACCTTACTTAAGAACACTCTTCCACGTACGTCCGAAATTTGAACTATTTCTGAAGTGGTTTTAAATGGCTTTAATTGGCGCAGTCCTTAACAGTGCAAACTCCACTACTAATGCCATTGGATAGCCCACTGCCTGCAGCATCGATAGCATCACTGCTAATAATGATGTGAAAGAGGGTACAAACAGCTAAGGTACTAGCTCTTCCACAAGTTCTGCCAAAATGGACAATGTAGGTGAGAGGAATGAAGGCACAAAGGAGAGGAAAAGAGGAGATTTTGAAATAAACCCGCACCAGTGAGAAGGTACCGTCAAAGCCTGAGCGAAGTAATTGTCGCCTTTGGAAGAAGTGCTTATGTAAAAAGATAATTTCACACAACTGGCTTCTTGAGAGGCAGGAGTGGATGCGCACAAAGGGGAAGTGCTTCGCACGTCCTGCCTGCCAAAGCGCTCCCGGCGTTCGGCAGAAACTAAGAGCAGTCGCAAATGCAGTTGCAAGTGGTGATAAAATATCCCTATCTCCCAATTTGCTGGCGTTCTTTCAGCAATCAGAGAGAAATCAGCCGACGCCTTACTGAACACTATCCACAACATACCCATTTGATGTAACATGCT